ATGGAGAAGGTGAGAGGGATGGAGATGGTGAGAGGGATGGAGATGGTGAGAGGGATGGAGATGATGAGAGGGATGGAGATGGTGAGAGGGATGGAGATGATGAGAGGGATGGAGATGAGAGGGATGGAGAAGGTGAGAGGGATGGAGATGATGAGAGGGATGGAGAAGATGAGAGGGATGGAGAAGGTGAGAGGGATGGAGATGATGAGAGGGATGGAGAAGATGAGAGGGATGGAGAAGGTGAGAGGGATGGAGAAGGTGAGAGGGATGGAGATGATGAGAGGGATGAAGATGATGAGAGGGATGGAGAAGGTGAGAGGGATGGAGATGATGAGAGGGATGAAGATGATGAGAGGGATGGAGATGATGAGAGGGATGGAGAAGGTGAGAGGGATGGAGATGATGAGAGGGATGGAGATGATGAGAGGGATGGAGATGGTGAGAGGGATGGAGATGATGAGAGGGATGGAGATGATGAGAGGGATGGAGATGGTGAGAGGGATGGAGATGGTGAGAGGGATGGAGATGATGAGAGGGATGAAGATGATGAGAGGGATGGAGATGATGAGAGGGATGGAGAAGGTGAGAGGGATGGAGATGATGAGAGGGATTGGTGAGGGATGGAGATGATGAGAGGGATGGAGAAGGTGAGAGGGATGGAGATGATGAGAGGGATTGGTGAGGGATGGAGGTGATGAGAGGGAAGGAGACAATGTTGATGATGTAAGGGATGAAGACGCTTTTGATGAGAGGGATTGGTGAGGGATGGAGACGGTGTGAGGAATGAAGATGATGAGAGAGATGGAGATGATGAGAGGGATGGAGATGATGAGAGGGATGGAGATGGTGAGATGGATGGAGATGATGAGAGGGAACGAGACAATGGGAGGGATGGAGATGATGAGAGGGATTGGTGAGGGATGGAGGTGATGAGAGGGAAGGAGACAATGTTGATGATGTAAGGGATGAAGACGCTTTTGATGAGAGGGATTGGTGAGGGATGGAGACGGTGTGAGGAATGAAGATGATGAGAGGGATGGAGATGATGAGAGGGATGGAAATGATGAGAGGGATGGAAATGATGAGAGGGATGGAGACAATGTGAGGGATGGAGAATTGGAGATGATGAGAGGGATGGAGACAATTTTGATGATGTAAGGGATGAAGACGATATTGATGATTAGAGGGATGGAGACGTCTCTATCCCTCCCGTCTCCATCCCTCTCACCATCTTGTCACCATCTCCATCCCTCCCATCATCTTCATCCCTCACACTGTCTCCATCCCTTACACCGTGTCCATCCCTCACACCGTCTCCATCCCTCTCATCATCTCCATCTCTCTCATCATCTTCATTCCTCACACCGTCTCCATCCCTCACCAATCCCTCTCATCAAAAGCGTCTTCATCCCTTACATCATCAACATTGTCTCCTTCCCTCTCATCACCTCCATCCCTCACCAATCCCTCTCATCATCTCCATCCCTCCCATTGTCTTGTTCCCTCTCATCATCTCCATCCCTCTCATCATCTCCATCCCTCATCATCTCCATCCCTCTCATCATCTCCATCCATCTCACCATCTCCATCCCTCTCATCATCTCCATCCCTCTCATCTCCATCCCTCTCATCATCTCCATCTCTCTAATCATCTTCATTCCTCACACCGTCTCCATCCCTCACCAATCCCTCTCATCAAAAGCGTCTTCATCCCTTACATCATCAACATTGTCTCCTTCCCTCTCATCACCTCCATCCCTCACCAATCCCTCTCATCATCTCCATCCCTCCCATTGTCTCGTTCCCTCTCATCATCTCCATCCATCTCACCATCTCCATCCCTCTCACCATCTCCATCCCTCTCATCATCTCCATCCCTCTCATCTCCATCCCTCTCATCATCTCCATCCCTCTCACTGTCTCCATCCCTCTCATCATCTCCATCCCTCCCATTGTCTCCATCCCTCTCATCATCTCCATCCCTCACCAATCCCTCTCATCATCTCCATCCCTCTCATCTTCATCCCTCTCATCATCTCCATCCCTCTCATCATCTCCATCCCTCTCACCGTCTCCATCCCTCTCATCATCTCCATCCCTCTCATCATCTCCATCCCTCACCAATCCCTCATCATCTCCATCCCTCTCATCATCTTCATCCCTCTCATTGTCTCCTTCCCTCTCATCATCTCCATCCCTCACCAATCCCTCTCATCGTCTCCATCCCTCTCATCATCTCCATCCCTCTCATTGTCTCCATCCCTCCCGTTGTCTCCATCCCTCTCATCATCTCCATCCCTCACCAATCCCTCTCATCGTCTCCATCCCTCTCATTGTCTCCATCCCTCCCGTTGCCTCCATCCCTCTCATCATCTCCATCCCTCACCAATCCCTCTCATTGTCTCCATCATCTCCATCCCTCTCATTGTCTCCATCCCTCCCGTTGTCTCCATCCCTCTCATCATCTCCATCCCTCACCAATCCCTCTCGTCTCCATCCCTCTCATCATCTCCATTCCTCCTATTGTCTCCATCCCTCTCATCATCTCCATCCCTCTCATTGTCTCCATCCCTCCCGTTATCTCCATCCCTCTCATCTCCATCCCTCACCAATCCCTCTCATCATCTCCATCCCTCTCATTGTCTCCATCCCTCTCATCATCTCCATCCCTCTCATCATCTTCATTCCTCACACTGTCTCCATCCCTCACCAATCCCTCTCATCAACAGCGTCTTCATCCCTTACATCATCAACATTGTCTCCTTCCCTCACCAATCCCTCTCGTCTCTATCCCTCTCATCAAAGAAAGAAGACGATTTGTTGTACCGTTCTCGACTCTTAATCCTTATCTGAATTCAGTTCCATCCCCCCTTCCCGCGCAAAGCGCAGAAGCTTTGATGTTTCATTAAATAATTAGAGAAAGAAGACGATTCGTTTTACCGTTCTCGACTCTAGATCCTTGTCTGAATTCAGTTTCCCCGCTCCCGCGCGAAACGTGGAAGCGTTGACGTTTCATAAATTATTAGAGAAAGAAGACGATTCGTTGTACCGTTCTCGACTCTTAATCCTTATCTGAATTCAGTTCCATCCCCCCTTCCCGCGCAAAGCGCAGAAGCTTTGATGTTTCATTAAATAATTAGAGAAAGAAGACGATTCGTTTTACCGTTCTCGACTCTAAATCCTTGTCTGAATTGAGTTTCCCGCTCCCGCGCGAAGCGTGGAAGCATTGACGTTTTTATAAATTATTAGAGAAAGAAGACAATTCGTTGTACCGTTCTCGACTCTTTATCCTTATCTGAATTCAGTTCTGTCCCCCCTTCTCGCGCGGAAGCTTTGATGTTTCATTAAATAATTAGAGAAAGAAGACGATTCGTTTTACCGTTCTCGACTCTAAATCCTTGTCTGAATTGAGTTTCCCGCTCCCGCGCGAAGCGTGGAAGCATTGACGTTTTTATAAATTATTAGAGAAAGAAGACAATTCGTTGTACCGTTCTCGACTCTTTATCCTTATCTGAATTCAGTTTTGTTCCCCCTTCTCGCTCGGAAGCTTTGATGTTTCATTAAATAATTAGAGAAAGAAGACGATTCGTTGTACCGTTCTCGACTCTTAATCCTTTTTCTTCCTACGTCCTCTTCCTTTTTTTTTCTCTTTTTTTGTTTTTTTGGAGGGCGACCGCCCCCACTGCCCCCCCTGGCTACGCGCCTGCCTGCCCCTCCAAAATAAAAGAAGAAGGCGATTCTTCAGCTCACTTCTCTGCTTAGAGTACTAGGCTAGGCCCTTACGTTAGATCTAGCTATTTATCAAGTCTTTAACTTTTAGGAGTAAAATATGATTATCTGATTATGAAAAAGAAAAATTCCATTCCTTCATTAATCGGATATTCTACTCTGAATGACTCATCTAGTGTATGATAATGATGTAGCTACAGTAGATATAAATCTAGGTCTAGTTTACTCACTAAATCAAATTGGATATTCTACTCGGAATAAATAATGATAATACAGTAGATATAGATCTAGTTTGATTACTCACATCACTCGATCAAATTGGGCAGTACAATCATGCAATGCAGTGCAGCGGCCCGGTACGGGCGCCGAGTCAGTGAATTCCCCCGCCGACCCGGCCGGCGGCGATGTACGGCTAGCTGCACACTGAGCTGAGCTGCTGCGGTAGCACTAGGCAGTAGTCTGCTAATTTACGGCCAGGACGAAAGAATGTGAACAAACATCAACCATCTCGTCTTAAATGTCCTATATTCGACTTCTCAATAATAAAATCTGTGTCAGGAATAAAAAATAGACCTTCATACGAGATAAAAATGATATTTTTGCAGTGATTTACCGACAAAAATACTGCTCGAATTTCAGTGGTCCGAGTAGATACAACGCACATTTAATGTACGTGCGGCAATGCGGATTGCGAGCTGTGAGTAAATTGTCCGAAATGTCATTTTTTTTGTCATTTTACCTAAAGATAAGTTATAAATTGTCTTCATTGGTATCATTTAACACAATTCCGTTAAAGATTTTGGTTGGAAAGGGCATTATTAAGTCACAAAGAGCACAAACATATACACATTGGTATCTCTCGATCGATTAATCAGGTCGGGACATCTCGGCCCAGTTTTTCCAGCTGGGCCGAGTAGTCCCGTGGGCCGAGTTAGCCCGACTCCGATCAGACACCCTAATTATGGCTTGGATTGGTTTGGTTTATTTACTTGCAAAATCACATCAAACAAGCAGCTCGCAGGCTGAAAATGTTCAAAATACAAACAAATAAAAAATATAGAGAGTCATACACATATACGAAACTAAAATACATATTGTAAGTCAACTTTTGCAGAAATTATTTAGCATTGGTAAGAGGATGAAATCGAAATTCTGAGTTTGCACGAACTGAAATCAAGTCTCAGTTCGCGCGCGTACCCTCAAAAATTGGTTTACAATTGTCCATTTTCTATTTGATTTACTATAAATAAAATGTCAGAAACACCACTAACCTTCTTGCAATTCCTTTGAAGCCATGATTTCACATTATCAAGCTGGGAAGCAATGTCAGCGGACTCAAAAAACTTAAAATCAGCACCACCATCTCTCTTTTGTATAGCCATCTTTGTCTTTTGTGCAGCCTTCTTATATTGAACGAACATATCACTTATTTCCAAACGTATGTGGGGAGAGACAATGTTCAGCGTTGCCAATTTGAAATATCATTGTGCACCTGAAATATTTCTTTGTTTAATTTCTTGGTCGAATTAGTATAAAGAAAGATAAACAAGTGAAAGGCGTAAATGTACTAAAAAAGAAAGAAACACCGATAATACCAAACAAAAAGAAGGCCTACGTGTAGGCCTACGAGTAAGATTTTGTTTTGCATTTCAAGCCTCAAAAATGCAACTTTTAAATTCTTATGCATTATGCTCTTAACTAATAAGTATTATTTGGAAGAGATGAAAGCAGGCGTTTGTTACTGAGCTTCTTTTCAAACATTAAAACAGGGCTATATTATGCGATTGTAGCTAAATGACAAAGGTAAGCCTATATCTATAGACCAGTTTTGGAAACGCCACCCCCCCCCCCTCCCCCCCCCCCCCCCCCCCTCTACCCAAAAAAACGAAATGGAAGCTCTTATGTTTTGACTAATACATGATGATACAAATTTTGCTGGGAATTAAACCGCCTACTAACTGCTATATTTGGTAAGTTATCATATCGATTCGCCAGTGGATAGATATGTTGAATGCACTTCAGCATTGAACATTTGGGCATATATTTCTGCTTTTTTGCGAATTTAGGTTGAAGTATTGCTATCTGAACCTCTGAAGGCAATATTTAATCAATATTGAATGGATATTTTGCACCCAGAAATCTTTGAACCGCAATTTTACCACTACAGGTAAATGCTATATTTCTAGGTTCCATATTTTATTATCCTATAATTAAGAGAACAAAATTTGACCCTGATCCGAACTGATCCTAGAAAGCCAAGCGTTTTTTTGTAAATAAAAATGTCGAACTCTCGAGAAAAAAATTGAGATAAAAAGAATCATTATGCAAATGCGACCAACTTTTAAGGAAAAAAATGTCACATTTTAAACACTCTGAAAACATCATTTCATATGTATTTTACCCAGGATGATTGAGAGTATAGTGGACCATACAGCATGTTCCTCTTCCCATCCGTTCTTTTGCACTGATTTGCGCCCCTTGGGCAAATGCCCCCTCTGTCCCCTTAATTAGACACGCCACGTTACCTTAGATCCCGGCCCCCCACTCAGTGTTATTTAGGGTACGCGTATGCTCGTTCCCTCTTTTTGAAAGCACCCCCTATCTGAGGACTGCCAACATTTCCAAACCCCCTTTCGCGGGCTTTTCACGGGCTTTTCCTGCCTTGGAGACCCCCCTAAACACGGAAAAATGCTCAATGTACCCCCCTAAATTCAGAATAAATACTCAGGAGTCCGAAGAGATAAGAGCAAAAAAGAAAAACACCTCCTTTTTAAATAAATCTCCGGGTGAAAAGTCAAATACACCCCTTTTTTTACAATTATCGGGGCCAGACTTTGTCGCACGAAAAGTACCCCTTTACCGGACAATTTGGTAACACGCATGCGGTCGTTACGACCCCGGAGTTGGGGGGGGGGCCGGGCCTATAAACTCCATGGATAATAATAATGATGATGCTGATGTTTATATGATAATTATTATAATGATAATACTACTAATAATGATGATGGTATTGATAATGATAATCATCATACGAGAATTAATCATAATAATGATTATAATGATAATAATAAGGACAAAAAACAATAAAAATAATAATATTAACATTATTATCATTATTTATTATACTACTAATTTTAATACTACTACTACTACTACTACTACTACTACTACTACTACTACTACCAGGCGCGTACGCAGGATTTTTTCAAGGGGGGGGTTTTAACATTTATAAATCGGTCCGAAAATTTCGCAACGACTCAGCCAGCCGCTGAATAAGGGGGGGGGGGGGGGTAAGAGGACACATTTTTTTTTTTTTTTGTCCCAAAAAAAAATCGCAACGACTCAGCCGACGCTGAATAAGCGGGGGGGGGGGGGGGGGGGGGGGGGGGGGGGGGGGGGGGGGGGGGGTAAGAGGACACTTTTTTTTTTTTTTTTTGGTCTCGAAATTTGGAAATTTGACATTTTGCTCCGTTGGGGGGGGGGTAAGGTCACCTTTTTTAGGTCGGCCATGGGAATAATTTTTTTTTTTTTTTTTTTTTTTTAATAATTAAAAAAAAAAAAAAAAAAAAAAATCCAAAAGGGGGGGGTTTTAGGTTTTTTTAGGGGGGTTTACACACAAAAAATTTCAAAAGGGGGGGGTTTAACCCCCCAAACCCCCCTGCGTACGCGCCTGACTACTACTTCTACTACTACTACTACTAATAATAATAATAATGATAACAAAAACAACAACGAGTGTCATCAGTGCGTCATCATTATCATTGTCGAACATACTAGCTTGGCAACAGCATAAACTTCTTTACTCTCAGATTTGTCTAATTTTTCAATTCGAGCACAGTTAAGTTGCTAATTTAGGCACGCATTGAAATGATCTGTACATTACAATTGCAAATACTTTAAATAATATTAATATGGATTAATGAATCATTTTAAATTTAAATTTATTTTTAAAATTTTATTTAAACTTTAAAATTTTATCTCAATGATTATTTTACAATAATAAAAATTACAGTTCGTCATTTAGGTCATGAAATAAGATGGCGGCTTCCCATGGACTGCATGCAAATTCTGCAATGATGAAGGGTAAACGACTTTAATTTTCACTATTTATTTTAGTAATTTATCAAAATGAATTCGGGAATAAACGTCTATTCGAGTCCATGTACGGAAAAATCTATATCGCAAATTGCATCGTATGATTGATTCGCTGTGGTGACTCTGGGGAGGCCATTTTTAATGTTCAAATGTAAAGCCCCAGAGCGGCCCCAATCATTGAAAATTGTGTGTGTTCAGGAGTGTAACAATACATAAGGGCGCCTGTTCAGAAACCTATCCACAATTTGACCCGTAACTCCACCGTGGGGATACCCTACTAAAACATGCCCCAAATGAAGTAAATATTCATAAAATGTCCAAATAAAGATCATGAGTTAAAAATCGTTATGTTTATTACCTGTTTCGTGTTAATTTTTTTGTTATTTTGGGAGTATTTTTCGGAAAAAGGTTGATTAGTAAACACTTTTTCACAGGTTTCACAGCATAACCGCTGCACAATACAACTTGCAAGTGCATACCGATGGTGGGTTAATTGCGCCTTTGTGAAGTTATCTACCGTAATGAGGATCTGCATAAGACGTTATGGTGGAACAGTTGAACATTTATAACGTGAATGTCTCGGTGCGTGTAATTTTGTAAATGAGAAATGCTTCATTGAGCATCATTGCGGAATCCATTTTTCGCATCCCCTTCACGCGGATTATCCCCGAAAATGAGGACGATCCTTCTTTTTTAGGATGCGATTTGTCTGCATATGTTCTATAGTAAAAGATTCATGAAATCTACAAAAGAGTAATTTCTTGGTTGTCAAATAAGAGTAGCCCTCCTAGAATTCCATATATAAACAGCACTGTCACATACAGTTGGTCACAACACTCTTTTATCATGTTCAGCCTCTAGATAAAAAATAAAAAAAATCTTTGTTCTTTTCTACTCCTCATTTTTCAGAGCAACCAGTTATATACAATGAATTGGCCATAAGGGGTAATATGTCCATATTGGACTATTGTCGGACATTCATGTCAGCGATATCTGGATCAGCAGCTGGTATTCTAGGTCTTACCGGTCTCTATGGTTTCATCTTTTATTTCATCACAGCCTTTCTCTATCGGTGAGTATGCTGCTCTTGATACTGTCACATTCAAGGAACCAACTTTTTGTCACTCATTTCAGTTCAACCTTCTCACATAGACTATGTGATGGTTAAGCGGTTAAGCCCTTCCCCTGTAATTTAATGAATTATATCACAAGTGGGAATCACATGTAGTTTTGTTATATGCTTCATGTTGCCTGTGTCTAAAAATACATTTAACCTGTGTGAGATAATTTCATTTGTTATTTTAAGATGTGTTTTTATAATGGGTTCAAATTGTAATTCATTTTGATTGTAAATGTAAGAATTGCAATACATATTAAATTAAAGCAAGAGTGAGTGAGAGAGAGACACACACACAGATAGATAGTTAAAGGGGTGAGGGGTCCATATCCTACATGTACGATATCATTTTGCATAACATTGTTGAAGCAATTTTGATTTTCTTTAAAGAAAAGAACTTTTGATAAAAGAGTAATGGGAAATGCCTCTGCACCCTCCAGTTACTTGTATCATGTTAAAAGAAAAAAATATATCGGCAAATGCAATATATTACAAATATTCCTACTGTATTTATATGTACCACTCCTGCCTCAGACATTGAAAAGCAAGTTTGAAAGTGTGTTATTTGCTTGTATTTTACAGTTTATGCTGTTCCTGAAGACTGGTGGACAATGGCACAAATATTTTAGGATAAGACGACCACTCTTGACTCATGGACTCTTTGGTGGACTTTTTGTATCCTTTCCAGAATAAATTGAGTCAAGAAAATACGAAAATGCATTTAATCATGTTTAATCTGCAGTAGTTTTTTAATTTGTTATTAATTTGTTGTCCTGGTTATTGTTATCTTTACTCTTACACTCAATTATCTATGAAATTTGTTATCCAATGTACAAAAATTGAGAATGATCCTATCTGTTGGATTGAAATCAATAAAGTTTGAATTTGAATGTTAAACGTCTTTGAAAGTTCTGCTCTATACTTTGACCACTTCTATTGTTTCTTATTTCATCACAATTTAGAAAACTAATTCAAATACCATTCAATAAAATAGCTACATGTATTCGTTGAAAGCATGAAGTGAATAATATATCATTGGCTTTTATTCATATTTAAATTTCAAATGGTGTTACTTTTCATATGTACATACAATTGTTTTCCTTAATTTTGTTCTTCTTTTCAGACATACATCTTATTTTGGACGTATCCTTTTTGTTTTAAGAATTCAACAGTCACATGGAAACATTTAGTGCATTTATTTTAAAGGGATCTGTATCTCCCCTGAGTATTGTTGATTCCTATATTTTAGGAGAGATAGAGACGGCAATTAAAGGGGGAGGGGATATGGCATTGCCGTCGCATCTGAATTTTATCTCAAGTTATGCTTTTTATGGTTTCTCTTTATCTTACTTCCTGAAAAATTTTCCTTTGCACTATTCACTAAAAATGTGGTAATTAGATACCATATTTATTCACCTTCCCATTTGGTATTTGATACTACAGTGTACTTTCTCATAAACATAGGAAGATAGAATTGTAGGGCACATGTTCCGATGACAATATCGTCACAGTAAATTTCATCAACTAACTGAATTTTAGACTTCAACTGTTTACCAAACGCTGTACCTAACTTAAGCTTAACAATGAATTAAACTCAATCACCACTTGAGCCTTACGCTATGTCTTTGGCGAAATAAAGCCAAGTAATTGTCACTGAAGCAATTGTCAGGTCATCACCTAAACATACAAGTTTATTACCTTTCTTGAGGGAAATATAAATATATCAAAATATATCTCATAATTTCACCTTTTGTGAATAGTCAGTTTGTATCCTTTTGAAGATATATTGAACTTTTTTTTCTTCAATATATTTTGTTGAAAAATGTATAACTTGAATTTACTGGTATTCAAGTTCAGTTTCAAGTTCAGTATTAAATTGTTCAATTTGTTTAAAAAGTATGATTGCTTTAATTGTTAGCTTCCATAACTTGATTTGATCCCTCTTGCACAGGTTTCTTTATGGTATGGTGCATGTGTACTGACCCAGGACTCTTAGGAGACTGTATGCATCACTAGGGACCCTCCTAGCAACCACCATGTGTCCTCATAGCAACCATCATTTATCACCAGGATGGAGGTGCTAATGTCATAAGAAATAATCCTTCAAGGAAAGAACTGCTTAATACCCAAAGGAAGGAAATACTAGTACTGAGCTCTGTCTGTACAAGGTATTCATCCATTAGCTACTAAATTGCATTCCCATAGGCGTAATACAGGGAACACCCAGTTTCCGTAGGCTACGGGTTAGCATTGTGGCACTGTGATGGCTTTATCCTACACGCAGATATCGGTTACAGTATTTTCTAGGTGAAACTGCAGTTTATGTAATGCATCGGAACATCCTATTCCTACGTGTAACTTCTTGAGAATTATTCCCTCCAGGCTTAAGAGCTGAAAACAATACAGGGCATTATGAGTAGTTGGTACACTGTGATGAGGACCCTTCTTTTATATACAATTTATCTACCGTATCATGAACAAAATACTTTTCTTTTTTGTTGTGGGGGGGGGGGGGGGGGGCCGAGGGGTTGGATGTTGGATATTTCATTTACAGTGGAACCTTGTTATACAGAATATTCCTACTGTTACAGCAAACTTCCCTCATACCAAGTTAATTTCCCCCAGATTTCATTTCTGTATTAAACATGTATTTCCTTTGTTTTAGCCCTGACGTAACAAGATTTCAATATAGAAAGATAATTGATTTGGTTGCAGATGAGTTTACCGGTATGAGGTTTCACTATATATAGGTTTCAAATACCTGTATGAACAGCATGAGAAATATCTGAAATTTGTACTCGTCCCACAGCAAAGAAAACATGGAAACATACGTGTGCAGTGGACTTTGTTGTATTAGACAATTTTATATTCCAATGAAATCCCCAACTGTGAATTTTTTTTGTTTACATCAAACGTTGACTTTAAAGTTCCAAGGCTACATTTCATGAGATAAGTTCTGTCATTTTTATAAGTCTATTAAAAGTATTATATTTATGTGCCAAGCCAGGGCTCCGAATAAATTCTACTGGGGGGGGGGGGGGGGGGGTTGTGGAGTTGGAATTTATTTTATATGTAGGGATCCAAGATCATTATGTTTTTAATAAGGGTCAAGCCCTTGTCAGGCACACATTTACATCTCACAATTAAAATTCTGATTTTCCTGTTACATTTATACCGGTAAGCAGTGTAGTCACTGGTATTACGAGGGGAATGTTGAGCGAGATTAACAATAACTAGATCAGAGATTCATTACATTCATAGATAGCAATGCAAGTATCATGTTTTCACTTTTATTCTTCTCTTCCTACCTGTTTCTTCCCCTCCCTCCCTCTCACTCTTCCCTCTCTCTCTCTCTCCTTCTCCCTCTCTCTCTCTCTCCTTCTCTCTCTCTCTCCTTCTCCCTCTCTCTCCTCTCTCTCTCTCCTTCTCCCTCTCTCTCTCTCCTTCTCTCTCTCTCTCCTCCTCTCACACCATTTAATTGGCTATGCTTTTGTGGACTTCATGTGTTTTGAGAATGAATATGCATTACATTGTGTGTATGTAAAAGTTACATGTAAGGGATTAGTGCCAAGAAAATGTATCGTTTGTATTTTGTATCCACATAAATAAACTTAAAGCATATGAATAAACATTTACAATAATTTTAAAAGAAAAAACAGAAAACCTGATTTGTGAAGGACAAGTTCCTTCAAATACATTTTGACATTGCAAATCAAATCAATACTGTTTTTTGTGTTGATGTGTTGTAATATGTTACAAATGATGCCTAATGAAGTAAGTAGTGTTGTGTCAGGTAATGGTTATATTTTGTGCAATTATTTATGAAGCATTAAATTGAGATAAACCACAGCTCTTGGCTTTGATGATTCTTTTGTCTCTATCACTAGTAATTACTTTCTTACATGTATAGTTGAAAGTCGGTATTGCTTAAAAAAGAAAATGTAAACATAAGAAGACAATAGAATGTTACAATACCATGGTTTCTGATTTATTGATATTGGGAGCAAAGACAATTTCTACAGAATCGAGCCAAACTTACACTTGATGTTCAAGAATAGAGAAGCAATGTGAAAGGCAAATACACAATGCAACTGTAATCAAGCTAGTAGACACAGTTGAGTGTTGACCACTAGAACATACATTTACAATACATGATTCTAAACATGTCGTGCTTAACACAGAATAATGTTTAATCAAGTTTTCACTGTACAATAATGAGTAAAACTGTAAAAGGATTATGGTTGGGTTTAAAAGTGCATGTTAATATAAGAAATGTGTATCGTACTACAACACTTGTCTGATACAGACTTTTTTAAAATAACACATAAATTGAAAATATTTCTTTGCCAAATCAAGTACTGGTATAGTATAAATAAATAAAATAATCCATTTAAAATGCAATGTATTTCCGAAATATAGTCTATTTGCTGCATTTCAATTATTCAAAATATTAAATATCAACCTCGTTACATAAGGATGGAATATTTGTTTCCACAAATGGGTCACATTTCAAAGTTGCTTTATTCCCTTGGCTCTAGCCACATCTCCACTTTCTTTCAAATTTTGTAATTGGATTATAATTAAAGCTTATCTTGAGCTCTGATATGGGAATGGTATTTGAGAGAGAAAAAAATTGCCATGATTTTTTTCTGGATTGTTTATCCTGCAGAAGAATGGTTGTTTCAACCAGTGCACAGTGGTGTCAGTTTACCCAGATTTCCTTATCTTTTTATGCTGGTTAATCGCCCCCTACATATTTCCTACCAAAATGGTTGGGCACATGCAATTTATTTGTAATCTTAAACATTCAGTGTGAGTTTTGTTGGAATCTGTGACAATTTATTTTGTATATTTACCAGAACTCAAGTTAATCTTTAATATACGTATGCATTCGCACATATCAAAATAACTATACTTTTATCGCACATATCCACATATCAAAATAACTATACTTTTATCGCACATATCAAAATAACTGTACTTTTATCACACGCATAAATATATTTACCGGTACTGTGTCTAAAATTGGTCACTGCACTGCTCTGTCTCGTTAGACTCTAACTAATAATAAAAATATTGATCACTACACTACTCTGTCTCATAGACATAACTATATATATACATTTAATAAAAAAAATTTGGTCACTTCACTGCTCTGTCTCATAGACCTAACTACACAATTTTAAAACATTAGTCGCTATAATTTTTTCTACCACATATAAATATTTTATATAGACGGTGGTCATTAAACTGCTGCTTTTCATATTTCATTGAAACCAGAGTAAATTCTACACTATCAATTAGTATGATGTCAATCTCTAGATTCTGATTGTTCCAGAAAAATAGAGACTAACAAAATAAGTGTCTACATATATTTGTTTTGACTTTTTTAGTTTTACAAATTATTAATCATTCAGCCGGAAGTATGTATAAAATTTGTGCGAATAAAAAAAAAAAACGTACACTAGCTTCTCTATTTGAAAGAATCAAAAATTCTAAACATATAAAAATGAATAAACTTATGAATAAAGAGTGCCTACTTGGGATACTCCCAAAACCTGTTTTGTATACAAGCAAAGGTTTACAGTCTATATAAACCAGCTCGCCAATCTCACATTTCTATTCATATTGTTCAGAAACCTCGTGAGTCTTCTCATTCTATAATATATCCCAAGGTGGCCACCCAATATTCAATGTGCATCTTCTTTGTTTTAATCTTCATATATCAAATTGATCCAACTACATTGTACCACATACATCTGTGAATCTTGATTTACACCCCCCTCTTTCTTTTTTTTCTCTCTCTCTATCTCCCCTTTTACCATATTTGTTCCACCATATTTGTATTATTATTATGGATTCATTGAGGGTAGTTGTACTTTCATAATCTACCTCTATAGGTCCTGAAGGTGACTATTTCACGGAAGATCAGACTTTAAGCCTTTGTACTCCTCTTATCACAATCACTAATTATAAAGCTTTACTATCTAATATCTGAATATTCCAGAAAAGGTATATAATAAAATATTTGATTTGAAGATATTCTAGAGATTTGGTGGTATTATAAATGACTTTATATTGCGTGAAGACTATATACATATATACTTATAAATTACAAAAAAGTATAAATAAAATGATGACTATTTTGCCTGAAAACAATTCTTTTAATTGATTTGCAGAAGATTTACTGTAGTCAAAGATTAAGCTTGAGACAGCAATGTTATAACATCACAATTAAATGATGTGATTCTTAAAATTTGAATCAATGTATACATGTCGATAACCTTTAATCAAACATCTTAAATTGCTGTGAATCTACAAGTTGCCACCTACAACAATTTTAAAGGTGGCGTTATAAAGATTAGGCAGATAAAAGTAACTAAATAGGAATAATGGTTTTGTCAAACTCAAGGTATGTGTTCAAGAGATGTAGCACCTAATACCGCATTTACATTGCATGCATGTATTCCCTCAAAGACAAATATTATACTTCTGTTACATTGCATATAGCTCAAGCCAAGTGACATCTGTATACAAGAAAAGCATGGCACAATGAATGGTTTAACAAAGTTTTAAGAACTTTATGTTACCATAAACTGATGAGAAACTCTCTTATTTATTCGCCTGGTCCAAACGGATTGCGATCGTCGGGCTTGATATCACTCAAAGTATGGTTGACTTCACGATGATGTGCTTCATCTGCCCGAATGGCTCTGAAGAGATCAATGTAGTCTGCATCAGGCTGTAAAGAAAAGACAGTATAAGTTCATCAAGACAGAACTGATGTTTTTTCTTGCAGTTAATCACATTTCTCTCTCTGTATGTCCACATATTTGTTAACATTATCACCTTTGAAGCTCTTATGATCCCTTTTAAAATCACTTCTGTTGATTAAAGTACTCGACATTAACTGCAATAAGATATATGGAACGCAACTTACTCGTAATTTCCAATAATTTTATTGAGATCTCTGGAGCTATCCTATCTTTCCACTTTGGCAAGGCATCTGCTCTCAAGTCCTGGAAACAAGAAAAAGTGGAAAAACAATGAATTTCAACTATGAGGAGGGATGGAGAGAGGGAGAGACACACCCACATGCACACACCATACACAGACAGACAGACGAGTCTACATCAATTTCTTGTTTAATTGGTATTACCTTGAGAAGCTTGGTGTAAGTGATGACTGCCTCCTCCTCGAGGTATCCTACAAATCGGTGACAAAACCTTGGACTAACCAGGTAAGAGATGAAGAACATATTCACAAAGATACCTGGACAAAATAAAGAAGAAAAAAAAAATAGAATATGCACAACGAAATTGGATTTTTTGGTAAAAAACACAGTGCAATATGCCTTTTGTAATATAACTTGGGCATGAAAAACATCAATTTCTTAGGGACAGGATGTCAAATTTAATAAATTATACAAACAGTAAGTGGATAGTTAGGAAATGATACCACAAATGCATTATCAAGTTGTATTGTAAGTTTGTGTCTATTTGATAGCAATATTCAACTCATTAAAAATCATATCTTTATGATTACTTGCAGGGCTCAATAAATTTTTGTCCACGGGGGCTCTTCCAAAGTAAAAAGCGCCCCCGTGAGCCTTCTCACGGGGCTCTTTAGTACTGACGGGGGCTTTTTTATTAATAAAAATTTCCATTTAATTGGGGGTACCCATGAAACTCCTAGATTATTTGCTTTAATTTTCATCATTATCATGAATAGTCGGCATTATTTTCCTCTTACAACTTTACAAGTTATAACATGCAGCTAATGGTCAGATCTCTTCCTTTGTACGAAATTTCTGGTGCAAGCCCGTATACATTTGCCTCCTTGCCAACAGGTCTCCTTTTACTAATTTTAGCTTTCGGTTGATTTACTGGTCGAGGTGATTATTTGCTGGTGTTTTTGGAATTAGATTTCAGAGGATTCACGATTTTCACAACGAAAACCTTCTCCACGTTTTGGTCCTTGCGGGATCGCCTCTAGCTCCAGCAGATATGGGGCTGCATGCGTGCACACCAGTATACTACCGGCGCAGCAGTATAGCCGCTCTGCTGACGACCGCGGTGCACTGCGATCTTCCGTTGTTTGTTTGAATCCGAATACCCATAGAGATGTGGAGATGGGAGATATATATATATAAGTATCCTAATACAGTATATCATTTCACGCAGCAGACTTTTAATCATCATGAAATATGGCGGACAAAGCTCTTACCTTGGCCCCTAGAACCATCAAGCGAAAGAACAAAGATGGCTGCTTGATCTCTAGAGCTGTCATGAGATGCATTCTTTCATTTTCAGCTTCCTCTGAAAAAATAATAATTGAATGATATGCAGTAGCGATATATACAGTATTTTATATTTAATCATTCCTGAATGCTAAGAGTAGATTAGATTTTTTCACCATATTATTAACCCCATCATCGCCTATTTGAACAACCACTTATAAGTTTACCACATGTGCAATTTTTCACAAATAAGGCACCAATTGATAAAAAGGATCACTTTGTGAATTTTGCCAAACTATTCATCTCTATCTATCCCATGATAAATACTATGTGGCACAGGGATATTATTTGTGTGGCATATAAATGGTAAATACATAAGTTCATCATCATGATCAACATCACCATCATGATCAACACCACCACCATCATCACCAATTACACAATCATTAATGCACCGTAGCCACCACCACCATTACCATCTTCTCCAGAGTAAATAATATTCTACTCATGTGTAGCTCATACATATGATTATATCATAATGTCACTCTTCCAAAGGACTTTGGAAATTATCATCATCATCGACACTATTAGCTTCACCCCTCATAGCCAACCCACCACCACCACCACCACCACCACCACCACACCACACCACCACCACAACAACCCGACCTCCTCCACCCCACCCACACCACCACCACCCACCACCACCACCACCACCACCACCACCACCACCTCCTCCACCGCCCCACCACCACCGCCCACCACCACCACCACCACCACCACCACCACCACCACCACCACCACCACCCACCACCACCACCACCACCACCCCACCACACCACCACCACCCACCACCACCACCACCATTAGCTCTCTTTGGTTACCTAGTAGCGTATGAATCCATCCATGGTCTCTCTGCATCCTCCTCAAAGAGCGAAGATGTCTGGACATAGCTGCCACCATACCAGGCACCCCCTGCTACTGTTTCCAGGAATATGATACGACTAGGGTATAAAACAGGTAAACATAATCCTTCATTTAACTAAAATGGTGGTATGAATATGTGCATGCATTGTACACAAAACAGTAATTTACAGTATTCATCATTCATACTTTTCTGACAAAAAATGAACTAAAATTTGTAAGTTGAGTACCACATACAATTAGCATAATTATGTGAATCTTGAAAACAAAGATTTATAATGACATGCAACAGGGTGTATGCCAAAATATTTCACTACTGAATGTTCCAATTTTCAATTTCTCTATTTCACATGATACTATTATATTTAGTCTTTATGTTGTTATTTGTACATTCAAGTTGTATCAGCTTTTAGGTGTCACTTCAAGTTCTATAATCAAACCTTGTCAATTATATATAATTCAAAACCTAAATCCTGAGGTGTCAATATTCTACCACGCATACCGGTAACCTCTCAATATACATTACAGGTGCATTTAAAAGAAAGACGTAAAGTTGCACAGAACAAATCATATCTTAGTCATCATTTCGAAAGATGTGTACCTAGTACCTATATTAAAAGAAAGACCCCAGTAAAGTTGTAGAGAACACTGAAGGAAAAACAAATCATAGCTTAGTCATCATTTTGAATGTTGTGTACCTACAGTACATAAACCACAATTCACTGGTGATAAACCTTGGGAATGTTTCTTGTCAATGTTGAATCAATTTATGATAGCAAAATTATGTTATCTTTTTCCATATATGATGTTGACATAAGGAGTCAACAATCATATTATAAAACATCCAGTAAGTCCTCTGCTATGTGCAGACTTGAAATATTTACTCCTAGCTTGTTAGCTGCGGGTAAACATTAGCCCCATGCATGCACCCCCTTCATGAGAACAATATCCTTGTTTCTACTGTTGCAGTATCTAACATTAATATGGTGGCCCTGAAGGGACATCGCGAATAGACTAAATCGTGAAAAATATGCGATAAAATTCACGATATCGTCAATTTTATCGCATATTTTTCACGAAGAAATTCACGAATTGACGATATCGTGAACTTTTCAAGATGAACTTGACGATATCGTGAATTTTATCGTGAAAAGTTCACGATATAAAGTTCACGATATCGTCAATTTTATCGTATACTCTATCGTGTACTCTATCGTGTACTCTATCGTGTACTCTCCTGACGGGCGCTTCGTAAACAAAACCAGCCCTAGCTGGGGGAGACAGAGAGAAGGAAAAAAAGGGAAAGGGAAAGAGAAGATAAAAGGAAAGAAAGAATATATAAGAAGAAAAGAGGGAAACGGGGGGGGGGGGGGGGGGGGGGCGAAGGGCTCTTGCCTCCTCCTCACTCCCCCCCCCCCCCCCCCCGCCAAAAAAATAAATAAGGAGAGAGAGAAGGGAAGGGAAAGGGAAAGAAAATATAAAAGGAAAGAAAGAAGAGGAAGAAGGAAAGAGGGAAACGGGGGAAGGGCGAAAGGCTCTTACCTCCCCCCGGCCCCCCCCCCCCCGCTAAAAAAAAAATAAGAGAGAGAGAGAGAGAGAGAGAGAGAGAAGGGAAAGGGAAAGAAAGAAGAGGAATAAGAGGGAAACAGGGGAAGGGCGAAGGGCTGTTGCCTCCTCCCCCCCCCCCCCCGCCAAAAATAAATAAGAGAGAGAAGGGAAAGGGAAAGAAAATATAAAAGGAAAGAAAGAAGAGGAATAAGAAGGAAAGAGGGAAACGGGGGAAGGGCGAAGGGCTCTTGCCTCCTTCCTCCCCACCCCCCGCCAAAAAAATAAATAAGAGATAGAGAGAGAAGGGAAGGGAAAGGGAAAGAGAAGATAAAAGGAAAGAAAGAAGAGGAAGAAGAAGAAGAAAAGAGGGAAACGGGGGCGAAGGGCTCTTGCATCCCCCCGCCCAAAAAATAAATAAGAGAGAGAGAGAGAGAGAAGGAAAGGGAAAGAGAATAAAAAAGGAAAGGAAGAAGAATAAGGAGAAAAGGGGGGCTCTTGCCTCCTCCCCCCTCCCGCGCCAACAAATAAATAGGAGAGAGAGAGAGAGATAGAGAGAAGGGAAAGGGAAAGGGAAAGAAAATATAAAAGGAAAGGAAGAAGAAGAAGACGGAAAGAGGGAAACGGGGGAAGGGCGAAAGGCTCTTACCTCCCCTCCCCCCTCCCGCCATAAAGGGAAAGAGAGGGAGAGGGAAAGAAAATATAAAAGGAAGAAAGAAGAGGAAAAAGAATAAGAAAAGAGGGAAACAGGGGCGAAGGGCTCTTGCCTCCTTTCTTTTCTTTCTTTTCCTTTCTTTCCTATTCTCCCTCTTTTTCGTTTTTCTCTTTCTTTCTTCTCTTTCCCTTTCCTTCTCTCTCTCTCTCTTATTTATTTTTTGGCGGGGGGCGGGGGGACGAGGCAAAAGCTCTTTGCCCCCGTTTCCCTCTTTTCTTCTTCTTCCTCTTCTTTCTTTCCTTTTATCTTCTCTTTCCTTTCCCTTTCCCTCTCTCTCTCTCTCTCTGATTTATTTTTTGGCGGGGAGGGGGGGGGGAGTGAGGAGGAGGCAAGAGCCCTTCGCCCCCCCCCCCCCCCCCCCCCCCCGTTTCCCTCTTTTCTTCTTATTATTCTTTCTTTCCTTTTATCTTCTCTTTCCCTTTCCCTTTTTCCTTCTCTCTGTCTCCCCCAGAGCTAGGGCTGGTTTTGTTTACGAAGCGCCCGTCAGGAGAGTACACGATAGAGTACACGATAAAATTGACGATATCGTGAACTTTATATCGTGAACTTTTCACGATAAAATTCACGATATCGTCAATTTCATCGTGAAAAGTTCACGATAAAGTTCACAATATCGTCAATTTCGTGAATTTCTTCGTGAAAAATATGCGATAAAATTGACGATATCGTGAATTTTATCGCATATTTTTCACGATTTAGTCTATTCGCGATGTCCCTTCAGGGCCACCATACATTAACCAGTACTCACAAAGTGTTATTTCAATTCATTTTTTGCAAGAAGAATGTTAATTTTGTCAATGAAATGAGGAAAACTTGATAAATTTATAAAAGCCCTCACAAATATCTGGACAATTACCTTCCAAAACCCAGCTCCCTAAAGCACTATCTTATGGATAATTACCCATAGACAAATATTTCCCAGCACAATTCCCCCCCCCCCCCCCTCCAGGAAGAAATTACCCCCATAGTTATCACCATCATTAATACCTCCTAATTGGAGGAGGGGGGGGGGGTAGTGCAAATGCACTTGCCACATCAAGAGAAAAGTATATGTACTCCAATAATTCCTTGCCTACAAGGCATGATATACCTCTGATTTCCTTTTCTCTGAATTTTACAACTTAAATCAATACCACATGAAAACTGCTATAAAAAATTCTGCAAAATCATCTAAAATGATGGCACTTCAAATATTGACTCACTAGATCCATTTCCTTTCAGTTCGCTTGCCCCAGGAAAAGCCAGAGAAGAAGTCAAAGTTGGCCCTGAGTGCCTTGCATGCAAAATAGGCTGCCTGGATAAACACAAAAATATCTTTGGGGTCAATGGATATCACACGGTCAAGACTGTGCATCTTTATAATGCTTGCACGTAAGCATGCTGGACACATGTACAATCTATGAATTTGTCCATTCATTGTCACATTTTACTTGAAATATACTTGGCTATCATTACTATTCAAAATCTGGTATTTTCATTGTTTTCAATTTATTAATTAATTTCATAAAATTATACAAAGATATATGTTTGTCATTATGCTATAAATATATATATATATATATATATATATATATATATATAAATAGCATAATGACAAAAATATACAATTCTTGCAACAAAAATCACAAATCTCTGCTAAACTCATTTCAAGGGGGAAAATATATGTTAGCCAATGTGGGTAATAGTTATCTTTTGAAATGTTCTCAAAATTACTTTTATCAATTTTCATGGTTGTCCTAATTCACATTATCACTGCAAAACTTGATACAGTTGAGTTCTCGGCAATAATATTGTGAAAGAAACTAGAAGCGATTTGGAAAGGTTTGATTCGTAGTACTACTGCATATAGCAATTGGTGCATATCATCAAAATAATAAGAAATTGACTCCATTTTCATCACGTTAAGCATATATATATATACTAGCAGGACCCGCGGAAATCCGCAGGATTCTAGAGGGGGGCGGGGGGTGTAAATAGATATATAGAGACTGCCTAAATTAAAACCACCAAGAACTTTATTTGCCATTCAGGCCATTAAAAAAATACACATGTTTGGCGTCCCCGCCCGCTTCCTTTTTGGGGGCCGCCTCCTATTTTTTTTTTTTTTTTTGAAAGAAAAAAAAACAGCGTCCCCGTCTGCTTCCTTTTTGGGGGCCGCCTCCTATTTTTTTAAATTTTTTTTATTTATTTATTTATTTTTTTAAATTTTTTTGTAATTGTTTAATATTTTTTTTAAGAAAAAAAAACAGCGTCCCCGCCTGCTTCCTTTTTGGGGCCGCCTCCTATTTTTATTTATTTATTTTTTTATTTTTTATTTTTATTTTTTTATTTTTTGAAAGAAAAAAAACATGAAAAGCACTGCTAAAATGTATTTCTGATTTTAAAAAAGAAAAGAAAAAAATTGTCGGCCGCCATCTTGAAAAATAGCCAGAATGTCAGGGAAAATGTACGGAGCGGCCATTTTGAAAGAAAAAAAAAAAAAAAAAGGGCCTCCTCCTTCCCATTTTTCGAAAAAACAGGACGCTAAACATGTTTTTTTTTTAATTTGGCCTCATATAAAAAAAAAAAAAACGATCCAACTGTACTTGTAGTTATTCTTTAAGCCACTGGAACTGCGTAGAGTTCCGTAGTGTGGCGTACCGACTACGCAGAAATTAGACTGCGTATTAATGGGAAAATAGTCCCTGCGTAGATTATGCGTAGGCTGGCGTACAGGTTTGCTTATGGTTGCTTACTGTGTAGAAAGCTTTTACTGCTTTGACGATCTGGCGTAGGGTAGCGTACTGTTGCGTAGTCATGCGTAGTGTTGCGTAAAAAGGCGTACTTTCTGCGTCAAGTTTCTACGCCGAAACTACGCGAAAAAAATTAAACATGTTGAATTGTTTTCGTTCATCTTGCGTACCTCTTTCCGTCCCTCAGCATATAGTAACGTAGGCCAGCGTAGGTGGTACGCAACACTACGCAACTCTACGTATTGACCCCATGCCAATTAGTGACCCGCAAGTGTCACAAATAAAGTATTAAAAATATGCTCATCTGACCCTAATTAAACGCCTAAACCCTCTGATCTGATCTCTCCCCCCCCCCCCCCCCCCCCCAACTTTGAAGAACGTAACCCCCGAGCTTTTGGGGGTTTATGGCCCCTTGAAACCCGTGGACCCCACGCCTATATTATACATACACTCAACTCAGGACCCGCGGAAATCCGCCTGATTCTAGAGGGGGGGGGGGGGGGGCGCAGGCAAAAAATTATTTTTTTTCATTTCGGGGGCTCCATTTCAAATTTTTGGGAAATTTCTGGGGGCTACGTTTTCATTAATTCATAAAAGGATAGGCCTACACTTTGTTGGGATTTGTTTAGTAGGCTAAGGTTTCAGGCTTCCTACTTCATAATTGCCTAGGCCTATTTAAAAAAAAAAAAAAAAATTCTAGTTCAATAACTAAGTTTTCATGCATTGATTTGATGCAAGAACTGTAACATAATTAATAGACCCTAGATTGTGATTATTTCTGACCATGAATTTCGATAATCATTTTCAAAGTAAAATATTCACAAGAAAATCAGACAGTCGTTTAAAAACGTAGACATTAGTAATACTTTTACTAATTCGAAGCTCAGGTTTCGTACATCTATTCACGAAACTATATTGAAATCGCGGCAATAATGATGCAAACCAACAGATAACAATTTCAAAGTGTCAAATCTCTTCGACTCGAGCTCAGCTCAGCTGAACTCACACACACTCCAGCGAAACTCCAGGATCGAAGCCCGAACACCGACGCCGCAGGCCTCGGACGCCTGCGGTGCGCGGTGCCGGTGTTACACTGCACTGTGTGTAGTGTACGTGTGAGGAGTGAAGGCAGCTTTGCGACTGAACTGTCAGTCCAATGGTTTTCTTGTGAAAACTTTCCTTTAGAAAATGATAATCAAAATGTAGTATACATAACCGTCATAATCACAAAATAAGCTTTGATTTCATACCTCCATTCACGAAAACAATATAAAAATCGCGGCAATAATGATGGAAATAGGTCCCTAAGTTTGGACGTGGACGGGAAGCTTCGTGTGTATCTCTGTGGCTTGTGCAGCTACTATACAAAGGATATCCTATAGAAAGATGCTTTACTCGGGTAAGCCCGACCCTGTGCGTCGTGCATTTAATACGCAACTTAATGTGAGTGGATGGTCATCGGTCGTGTGTCTACGGATGTCATGTTGAATATCCATGAGGTATCTCTGTCGTCACGCATATCCTGCATTATGCATATCGCGTCTGTTTTCGCCCTGGACGTCGACACGGAGGAGGACCTCGGGCGGAGTATAGCCAATTCCACAGAGTAGACTCTCCCGCGGACGACGGCACCGGGCACGGGTACCCCGAGGGGAGGGTTCAGGAGGAGATAGCCGCACCAACTTCGGTCGGCGATCTCATTAAAAAAACAATAGAATACAAAGGCTCGCGGAGACGTCGCGCCCCCCGCGGAGCCTTAGCGTATTATTATTATAGATATGTACCACATACAGTAACGAGTATAAATGTGTTGGACTACAAAAACATGTAACATGATTTTTTTTTTTTTACAAACTCTTCAGTTATATTTTCATGTCATTTTTTAATATGAGGGCATTTAAAGAGCAATACATTTCAGGGAACATTTCTTCTATCACTTTCTTCCAAACTAACATACAAGTACAGCATAAAGAATGAGAAAGCTTGCACATTATATTTTTTCCTTTACCAGAACTCAACCTTCCCATTTATCTATGTGTTTTATCCTCATAACAAGCTTATATATCGAACTCAAGTCTCTTGGAAGCTTATATTCATACACCTCAATTACAGGTGCAATGTTATAACCCATCCACTTTGTAAAACTATCCTAGCCACATAGAGTTTATATACCTTGTCTACTCTTTCTTTGGGTGGATTATGTGTGACCTCCACAGCATCAAGTTCTTCCTCAGACCTACACAAGAAAAGTATAATATATATAGCATTTTTAACTATTTTACATCACACAAATAATTTTAATGTGCCACATGGTGTTTATCATGGGACAGATATAGCAAAGGCTTCAAGATCATTTAACTATTTTTAGTGCAAGATTAATCTACATCGGTATTCAAAGGGTTGTCATGGAGCAAATCAAAACTGGAAAGGGGTATTTATGCAAAGCTATCGCGTTGCACATCCGGTGGGGTCACTCAATGTGACTTCCGGACCGCATATGACCGTTACCAAAATCGCAGGAAAAGGGGTCAATTTCAAGCAATGTCCGCGAACAAAATATTCCTCGAAATATAGAAAATAGGGGTGCACAGGTGTCCTCGAAATTAATATATAGGGGTCAGGAAAAGGGAAAAGAGATAACTGTAAAGAAAAATTTTCGGAGCCGAGTCTTGTCCTTGAAATATGGTAAAATAGGGGTAAATTTGCGAAAGTGTCCTTACAATCTTATAAATAGGGGTATTCCAAAGTACGATTTTGTCTTTGTTAATTTTGACGTAAAATAGGGGGTTAAATTTCACAAAATGTCCTTGAAATTGACCACAAAAGGGGGTTATTTGCATTTGTGGTAACGGTCATACATGTCACCTTCTGTGGGGGAGTAACCCACCGGGGTTGCACAAAGCAATTAAATCCTTCTCTCAATTGGTGCCTGATGTTTTGTGTAAAATTGCACATGGGGCAAATGAGCAACTATCCAGAGAGATGAAGAAAGCAATAGAAGTGTTAAATCTGACAAAGAAAGAGAAGGAGTAAACCATTCTCTTATGTGAGCACATTGATACGTTACATCGTTACAAGAAACTCCTGCTTTTAACTGTATACATTCTGGTGGATCAGGCATCGGGGAAAGGTGCCCCCTTCTCAATAAAAATGTGATCAATTTGTCATTGTTTATCAGATATTTTATGGTAAATGCATCTTTTAAAGAAAATCCTCCATCTTCCATCCTCCTATAGAAAAAATAGTAACTTTTCTTCTCCAGATTCTGTCAGACTTAGCAGAGCGAATTATTGTTTTTACCTGGGGGCAGGGGTGATGAACATTTAAAACCTTTCTTTTACATGTCCTCTGGCAAGACATTAATCTACATTTGCCACACTCGACCCAGGTGATGCAAATGGCAGGACTTAATTTCATGAGCACCAAAATGGCAGCCATGTTAAAGCCGGGGTAGTAATTGTGGAGCACCAGGTGTACCAAGTTTGACAGACGTGAGCGCTAGACAAGAACCCACTATCACTATTAAATATTATCATTATGCCATTGACATAACAAAATTAAATTATCCTGAACCAGACACTGCCTAGGCAGTATACAGTAGGCTGCCACTCTGAAAATCAGAACTCCCCCTCCCCCCCCCCCCCCCCTCATTTCTTATAATGGGATCACATCCCTGATACTCACCAGATAGGGTGGGGCAATAAATATTTTTGGCTACCTGGTTTCTCCACTGCAGCCTGGATATGATCATCCACTTTGCCACTTTCCTCTTCAAGATTCTTGCGAGTCCTAAAGTACCGGTACAACAAATGGAGAGAGAGAGAGAGAGAGAGAAAGAGAGAAACAACTATTGAGGCTATATTTTTATAAAAAGCGTAATTTTCCTCTCACTCTAGTTATATTTAGATAGCTTATTCACCAAGCTAAATATACAAAATGAATTCACAATCCACAGTGTCATTTAGCCACACCCAGCGTCGATTTCATGTGATGCATTATGGGAAAAAGTTGACATCGTATCAGATATGGCTTTGTTAAATAACCTAGGAGACCAGGGATTTTAATCAGGATATTCGGTGGGGGAGTGTTGAATAGCTTATCCGAGAGTAGTTATTTCGCTGATTCTAAAGATGACCTTCTCACTACATTTTGGCCACTTTTTGTCCAAAACTTACCAATATGGTCACTTTTGGTTGGGGTCGGGTAACTTTTCTGAATGTTATTATTAGCAAAGGAGATTCGATGGGACAATTCTATGTAAAAATGTACCCAGATGCTAGAAAAAATGGTCATATTGACCCCCATCAACAAAAATATGGTCATTTCAGTCACTTTTTTTTGGTACTGATTTTTGTCCTTATATTTATCAGGCCACATTTTCTTTCGGAATCAGTGAATGCATGGGTGGGTTTTGACATCCAAATTCAACATAAAAATGTGTGCTATTGGATATCAGAACAATAATCTCATTGAATGAATGTATAGTTTCAGGCCGCTTTAAGGTCATACCGTTAGGTATATAGCGTTTTGCTGCACAGCACTGGTGAAAAGATGTTGACCTGCCAGTTGAAAAATTGGCCAGACGTGGCTTGCCGGTGAGGGTGCTGTTAATTGTCCACGCTATTGCATCATGACAATTAAATGTTAGTGATAAAGTAGGTAGGTTACCACATTACGTGTATGGTAATGCATGAAGCAAGTTAAGTTTAAAAAACAAAACTTGGGCAATTAAAAGTATTTACATTAAAAGGCAGTAAATTATGTTTTGGTGTCAGTTGCCCCAGATATACCTTGACAAATACATAAGAAGCTCATCCATAGAGTACCAGCATTTTTATACCAGAAGTAGTGATGTAGTTATCCCATTATACTGTTGTATTCTCAAAAACCTCATATTCATGTGAAAATCACAATTCACAAAGAAAAATTAAAATCTCGAAGATACTGTACTAAAAATGGGAGCAGCTTCAGTATACCCCACAACAAAAATTGACCGAACATTCCTAGGGTACTACCAAAGCTAAATCCCAAGACTAAAGCTTTTAAAGTAACACTAACCTAATCCTAACCCTAACTCTAACTCTAACCCTAACCCTAGGGCTTCAACGTTTATGTACATTAACCTTAATGGTGGGGTATTCCAAAGTTAAGCCAAAACAAAAGGCTCTGTATATTCAACAATAAATAATAATTTTTTTCAATTCTTACTTGAAGTGTGGAGAAGGAGTTGACTTTTCTTGACCATCAGCTTCTCCTGGTGCTTGTGTTTGAGTGGTGGTGCTAGTGTATCTTTGGAGCTAAAGTGACCATTGGTGACAACAAAAATTGTACAACTTAATAACATGACAAGTGCATTTTAAGAGCAAGCTAGGTTGCACAAAATGTACAGGGACAATTGATAAATTACGATCAAGAACAAATTAAAACACAAAATGAAGAGTGAATTAAATCAGTTATAATATAAAACAAAATAGAAGTAATAACCCCCTCCTAATTATATAACCCAGCATTCCCATTGTTATGGTGTAGGCCTACTCACAGCAATAACATAACAATAACATACTATTCCTTGCTCACACAAACCCTCACGCAGCCCCCAGCCCCCAGCCCCGCCCCCTCCCTCACACACACGTACTGGTATGGATATCATATGTGAGGACAATGATTTTTCACCTTCTTCCGAGGGCACCTTTTTAGGGTAATGCTTTTAAGACACGATTAAATGTCTTTCCAAAAAACAAAAACAAAAACAGGAAAATCATGTCAGTTTTTTATTTTATGAAAATTTTAGAACTTAAAAAAATGATATTCTATCGAGGACAATTCGTGTTTAACGGACAGAGTGAGGACGTTATCATGTTAACCTCTTCACTGGAGGATGTTTTTCATGTTTAACTGCCAAAGTGAGGACTGAACTTAGCATAAAGGAATTACTTCCATTGACGCTAAACCGGGGACAAATTACAAATATGACTACACAAAATGGAAGCTGCCTTTTTCAAATAATTGTTTCATTTCTGATAGCACGTTGGGTGTCTTTCATATTATGTGAGAATAAATACCATTAGTAGTAGTAGTATTCAATTGACCGCCTTCATTGTTTTATATTTCTACCTTAAATCTTATGAATTAGAGGAAGAAAAAAGCACAAAGAATTGTCTTTTTCTCCTTCAAGTATGGAAATAGAAAATTATTGAAATGGAAACATCATCATCATCATTATCATCATCATCATCATCATCATCATCATTATCAGGGGTTCTTGCATATAGCGCTCACCTTGGTCGAGTATGTCAAGTGATAGATGATTATGATTCGGATAGATATGATGGAATCATGCAGGCCAGTTGCAAGGTCTATATTTGGCAAAAAAGAATATTTAAATAGCTTTATGGATCCTTGCAGTATGTTTTGACGTAGAACAAACTCCTCATTCAATATGAAACTCATGTTTGGGAAAATCTTTGAGTTTGTATTATTCATTCAGCCAGAAGAATTCTTTCTACTCGCTTAGCATATATCTACATGTGCACATGAAAGGCACTCATAATCAGTTTATTATAACCTTTAAACTAGCCCCCACTGAATGAAACGCAAACTATATGGCAGATAATTTAATACAATTGAGCATGTTCCAAAAAACATTGAAACTATACCTATTTGACTATTTAGTAAGGAGAACATACTCTCTGCAATACTATATGTCAGTAAAGGTGCAGTTTCACTATTTCTCGAACAGACTTACATATTTGTATTATATCAGCAATCGTAATTTGGGTTTCATTCTCCTTAAGAACTCTGTTGAAACGACAACATAAACGTGATTACCGAACCTACAAGAACAGAATACAAAAAACAACGAAACATACAATGCTCATGTCATAAAGAAAATGTTAACGTCTCTTTATTTGAACTAGTCATCACTTCAAACGTTTTTACTGCTCTTATTATAGATTTGACAGTGATTTCACAAGAGTAAGAGAAACATGAACCTTCTTTACTATTTCAAAAAGGAAAAAGAAAAGACAAACATTTTGATCCAAAGGCTGGTTGCCAATTTCAAACAGTACAACTTCATCACAGTGTATGGCGGTGCAGGTAACAGATTACAATTTTCAAGCTATATATCTCAACAAATTAACAAGCGATCAACATTTAAAAGTCATGCGATTCCTAGTTGAATCAGTATTATCAACTTGGAATTTGAAGCAATGCTACACTGAAATGTTTCATTGAGGGGTACAGGGGATGATATGGGTATTATGTATACACCCACAGGGAGTTGTCTGCCTTTTTGTTAAAGAATAGGTGAATAAGTACATTGACAACATTACTTTGATACCAGTTCCAGCCCAGCCCTAAATACATGTATGAAAGGTTGATACAGAATGTTGGTTCAACAGGCCTCCAGAAAAGGATGACTTCATCTGCATCAGACTGATATCTCAGTTGTAATACAAAGAAGTATGTATCTCCTAAAAACACTCATATTATTCATGAAAACACAATTGGGTGCCAGGTTTTCAAGACATGACATTATCAATGAATCTTTAATCTCTTTTATATGTGATGAGAAGTTGTTCATAAGCAATTATCTTTATCAACAAGAACAAAATTAATTAACAAAATGTTAAAGGAAAATGAAACATCCACTGCATGAGCTGATATTCTAATACAAAAATGTGAGCTTGCTCTAAGAATCAATCTTGGAACAACACCAATTTGATCATCTAGTAAGGAGAACAATCTCTCTGTAGTTTGCCTTTGCCTGACATGATTTCATACAAATGATGTTGCCATTTTTCATAGTTGTACCTCCATTGATCTATATACTAGCTAGGACACTGTCTCGTGAAATAAAATGCCTTTTACATATTTTTAAAATACATGTATTATCAGACATTGTAATTTGGGTTTCACTCTCCTTTAAGAACTCTATTCACACAACAAAAATGTGGTTAAGGAATGCTCAAACATGATCATGAAATTAAAAAAACTAACTGATGCTCATGTCATAAAGAAAATTTAATGTCTCTTTATTTGAACTAGACATCATTTCAAACGTTTTTACTGCTCTTATTATAGATTTGACAGTGATTTCACGAGAGTAAGAGAAACATGAACCTTCTTTACTATTTCAAAAAGGAAAAAATAAAGACAAACATTTTGATCCAAAGGCTGGTTGCCAATTTCAAACAGTACAACTTCATCACAGTGTATGGCGGTGCAGGTAACAGATTACAATTTTCAAGCTATATATCTCAACAAATTAACAAGCGATCAACATTTAAAAGTCATGCGATTCCTAGTTGAATCAGTATTATCAACTTGGAATTTGAAGCAATGCTACACTGAAATGTTTCATTGAGGGGTACAGGGGATGATATGGGTATTATGTATACACCCACTGGGAGTTGTCTGCCTTTTTGTTAAAGAATAGGTGAATAAGTACATTGACAACATTACTTTGATACCAGTTCCAGCCCAGCCCTAAATACATGTATGAAAGGTTGATAAAGAATGTTGGTTCAACAGGCCTCCAGAAAAGGATGACTTCATCTGCATCAGACTGATATCTCAGTTGTAATACAAAGAAGTATGTATCTCCTAAAAACACTCATATTATTCATGAAAACACAATTGGGTGCCAGGTTTTCAAGACATGACATTATCAATGAATCTTTAATCTCTTTTATATGTGATGAGAAGTTGTTCATAAGCAATTATCTTTATCAACAAGAACAAAATTAATTAACAAAATGTTAAAGGAAAATGAAACATCCACTGCATGAGCTGATATTCTAATACAAAAATGTGAGCTTGCTCTAAGAATCAATCTTGGAACAACACCAATTTGATCATCTAGTAAGGAGAACAATCTCTCTGTAGTTTGCCTTTGCCTGACATGATTTCATACAAATGATGTTGCCATTTTTCATAGTTGTACCTCCATTGATCTATATACTAGCTAGGACACTGTCTCATGAAATAAAATGCCATTTACATATTTGTAAAATACATGTATTATCAGACATTGTAATTTGGGTTTCACTCTCCTTTAAGAACTCTATTCACACAACAAAAATGTGGTTAAGGAATGCTCAAACATGATCATGAAATTAAAAAAACTAACTGATGCTCATGTCATAAAGAAAATTATAATGTCTCTTTATTTGAACTAGACATCACTTCAAACGTTTTTACTGCTCTTGTCATAGATTTGACAGTGATTTCAGCAGAGTCTTAGGGTGCTTTGGACCACAGAAAGTAATGCAGAATATCTGATTTCTGCGCAATAACTTCTTTATGCTATATCGACTAAAATATACCCACTGGGAGTTGTCTGCCTTTTTGTTAAAGAATAGGTGAATAAGTACATTGACAACATTACTTTGATACCAGTTCCAGCCCAGCCCTAAATACATGTATGAAAGGTTGATAAAGAATGTTGGTTCAACAGGCCTCCAGAAAAGGATGACTTCATCTGCATCAGACTGATATCTCAGTTGTAATACAAAGAAGTATGTATCTCCTAAAAACACTCATATTATTCATGAAAACACAATTGGGTGCCAGGTTTTCAAGACATGACATTATCAATGAATCTTTAATCTCTTTTATATGTGATGAGAAGTTGTTCATAAGCAATTATCTTTATCAACAAGAACAAAATTAATTAACAAAATGTTAAAGGAAAATGAAACATCCACTGCATGAGCTGATATTCTAATACAAAAATGTGAGCTTGCTCTAAGAATCAATCTTGGAACAACACCAATTTGATCATCTAGTAAGGAGAACAATCTCTCTGTAGTTTGCCTTTGCCTGACATGATTTCATACAAATGATGTTGTCATTTTTCATAGTTGTACCTCCATTGATCTATATACTAGCTAGGACACTGTCTCATGAAATAAAATGCCATTTACATATTTGTAAAATACATGTATTATCAGACATTGTAATTTGGGTTTCACTCTCCTTTAAGAACTCTTTTCACACAACAAAAATGTGGTTAAGGAATGCTCAAACATGATCATGAAATTAAAAAAACTAACTGATGCTCATGTCATAAAGAAAATTATAATGTCTCTTTATTTGAACTTAATACAGAATGTTGGATCAACAGGCCTCCAGAAATTAAGGGATGACTTCATCTGCATCAGACTGATATCTCAGTTGTAATACAAAGAAGTATGTTTCTCCTAAAAACAATCTTAATTTTCAGGAAAATGTTCATGAAAACACAATTGGGTGCCACATTTTCAAGACATGACTTTACAATGAATCTTTAATCTCTTATATGTGATGAGAAGTTGCCTTACTTATCACTAAAAATCAATCTTTGCAATATACGATTTAAATGGAGAAAATAACAATTTCTGCAAGATCATAAGCAATTATCTTTATCAACAAGAACAAAATTGATTAACGAAATGTTAAAGGAAAATGAAACATCCACTGCATGAGCTGATATTCTAATACAAAAATGTGAGCTTGCTCCAAGAATCAATCTTGAAAAAACACCCATTTGATCATCTAGTAAGGAGAACAATCTCTCTGTAGTTTGCCTTTGCCTGACATGATTTGATTCCAAGGATGTTGCCATTTTAATGAACTGGTGATGTCATAGTTGTACCTCCATTGATCTTTATACTAACTACAGTAGGACACTCTCTCCATAACTACTGGATTTCTTTTTCTCATGTGTGACATGCTGGGGTCACAAGATGGCCATTACTTTGAAATGGTGGGTTTGAAGTACAATGGTCAATTATATGCAACACCTTATCAACTATACAGAGATCAATGGATATGTAGTCGAATGGGACGTCACTATTTTCATCAAAATGGCAACCACACGGAAGGAGGTCTTGCAAGGCATGGGCAAACGTTGAACAAAATTGGCTATTATAGTTTGGGTTTCTTTCTCCTTTAATGAAATAATCATATAGGTATGGTATGACTCATGAGTATATTAAAATGCAATGTGCAAACATGGTTTAATCTGTAATGTACAAACCATTCAATACATGTTACATTTCTGGTAAGCATAATTATGAGAAGAGAAACATGTACATACAACTTATACAAGTAACTTCAACAACCACTATTATTTCAAAGTTACATCAGAATGTAAAATTGTATGCGTTAATTCTTTCTCTTCGTCTTTTTATTTTGGTTTGTTTTTGTTTGAATTCTGCAATAACAATTATGCCAAGCTTATGCTACAATGCAATATGCTACAATGCAATAAGCTACCAAATAAGGCACTGGAAGCCTAGCCCCATTCTATAGTCAAAACAATGGGACAATAATTTCTGTTAAATATCACTGTTACCAAAGAACTCTATTAAAAAACATGTCATTCTAAAACTTGCATAATAACAAGCATTCAAAATGCTGAAAAAACCCTGCCTTCAATTTTGCACTTACTTACTTCTTGTGCTGCACTAAGAGAGATCTTGATTTTTTCATCTGATTGATTTTGTTGTGAACTCTAAATTTTATTTTTTGCCATTCAATTCTCTCCAAGATTGGATATTGGCCTTTACATTCTAAGCATTCATGCTTCCGTGGAACTTGACAATTTGATACATGTGAGGCGAAAAAATTGTCCACTGCTTTTCCTTCTTCCTCAAGCCATGTCAACTTCTCCATCTTGTGAGTTCCTATAGAAAATAGATTCATAACTATAAATAAACAATAAACAATAAACTTATTAGGAAATCAAACCCTTCAGTAAACAACCCCAAAACATAATGCCTCCTGCCCTGCTTTCAGTCTTTTAGTGGGCAGAAGAATAAGAATACCCATTTCTTTCTCCATTTACCCCCATCTTTCTGTTGTTTTCTTTGAGGTACGTTATCTCATTGATAACAAACCTTAAAAATGAAAAAAAATAAAACTCACTACCCAAGGGTGATATCCCTCCCCCCCCCCCCCCCAAAAAAAAAACAATACCCAGAGTTCATCCATGTGGCTCCAGGGTAGGGAAATGCAAATGCAATACAGCTCAGTATAGGATTATGAGAAGCACAAGAAGACATAGCATGAAGAAAAGAAGCAGTATGGAAACTGTAAGAAAACAACAGAAGGATGGAGGAATCTGGGTTGGGGCAAGTTGAGGAAAAGAAAAACTGGCAATGGATGTATGGACAGATACATGTGGAGGATAATCATGGCAAGTACAGGTAGGAGTGCATACCCCAAGTGAAGAAGGCTGGGAGGAAGATGACATGGAAGAGGGCATGGATGGTGGAGAGGAATCAGGAAAACAAACAAGCGAATAAGGCTTGGATGAATCTGAAGAATATGAACTCCCTGATTCATAATTGTGAGATGTAGGAGGGGCATGTTGAAGATGACGACATAAATAGCAAGTTGGAGGGGGATCGGGAAGAGGAAAACCATCAACTGGAGGAATGGACTGTGCAGAACACAGAGATATATAGTCTGACTCAAGAGAAGAAGGTGGTGTAGGAGTGTATGAGTCAATTGTTTCTTCCAATTGTAGAGATGATGACAGAGAACAACGATTCGATACATGCTGTGCCAATGTAGATGCAGGGCTCGGAGGAGGAGGAGGGGGAGGAGGCGTGATAGAAATGTATGAGTCACAAATTTCGAGATCTGTGGGTGCAGAAATATAAATATATAAAATACGTGTAGGTTTAAAAATAATAATTACAACAGGCAAGTTGATAATTTTGTTGTCTCCATCAAAGTGAAATAGGGTTAGAGCTGTGGATTCCTGGCATCTTTTCTTCGTAGATGGCAGTTTACCTTCTTGATATCCCTAGTAATTTTAAAGGGATATTATCGTCATGGCACTATGGGGCTCTGAGATGTTTGCTGACTCCGTGGTCATATTTTGACACTGTATCTCTTAGCATTGACTAATGCATCAGCGCAAAGGTCAACAATCAACAAACTTTCATAGAGAAACGGTCCAAAGGAGGAGCGACAAGGTACCCGAGTCTGGGCCACTCATGAAAGGGAATGTGCATGCACTTGTTCTCCAATGAATTACAGGTGATTCTGATTTTATCTCGAATGTGGACCATGCCATATACGATAGTATCTCATTAACAGAAATATATCACACCTGAATTCCAGCAGGATTTTTACAATTATCTCTTTTCTTCCCAAAGAATTAAGGAACAAATCAATTTACCATGTTAATGTATTTTGCATTTTATATACCTTTTTCAAACAGATTTGAGAATAAGCTGTAATCTACTGAAGGGAGAACTTCTATGTGATTTTTTAAATTTTCACTCCATTCATACCTTTCTTCATCGGTTGCAGTTGAGATGTGGACTCTCTATCTGTAGACTCTCTATCTGGAGACTCTCTATCTGTAGACTCTCTATCTGTGGGCTGACAAGTCTCACCACAATCACCATCGTCTTGAATATCATCACAATCATCAATACCCTGATCATCTGTCTCATAGCAAGGCTCTGCAGGAAAATGGTGACAATTAAATTTAATTGAACTGTGACATTTTTGGATAACAAAAACTACTGAATGAACACCAATCATCATTTGCAAAACTGGGATCACAAATGTAGTGCAATTATAGCTGTCACATCAACACAGACAACATAGAAATCACAAGTCAATTCTTGGCTCCCTTGATGATGGTGACCTGTGATAATTTCATTTTGATTTCTATTTCTTACACATATACAGCCCACACCTACATTCAACTTTACATGACTTTCCCTAACTTACAGAGGGTTTTCCCCCTAATGAATTTCCATGGCTTTCTACAAAAAAAATTCCACAAATTTCCAAATCTGTTCATGACCATGGGAACTCTGTCTGTATAAGTGAATACATATATTATGAAATAAGAAAGAAGGAAATCATTTACAGACAAAATTAACATAGATGAAACTACCTTCTAAGTCTATTGCATCCAAGCTCTTCCCTGCACAAGAGGTCAATCTTTCTCTGTCAGCGAGAATCAGGAGTTTGGCCACTTTTGCTGTCTGAAGTGTGTCCTCAGGAAGACGGTAGTAGTGTCTATGAGTTCTGATGTCATGCCCCATGAACGTTGCAAGGACATCAAGCTCATTTTCCTTCAGAGAGATTAGTTGAGACATGGTGGCAACATGCTTTCTTAATTTTGTGCTGGTGATGTACTCTGGATGTTCAACTCCTGATGCTTGAGCAAATTTACGGATGCAATCAGAACCTCTGTAAGATGTATCACAACCTGGAATACCAAAGAGATAAGGATTGCTGTCTTTGACACCAGCAAATGCTCTTTTTTCTGACAGGAACTTGATGTTTGCGGACATCTCCTTCGTCAGAAGGACTGGGACTTTCCTTCCTCTCTTTCCACGTATTTCGAGTCGTGTAAGTTCTTTACATAACTGCTGTTCCCATTGTGATAGGCAACACATGATTTCTGGATTATTGTCTCCAAACTTGGCTTTTGAAATGTCATCAAGTTTTAACCGCTGCACTTCTCCACTTCTCCTCCTGTTGAACATCACTATGTCTGCAAGTATTGCCTGTGCAAGAGAAGCATACGTGTTGCCAGAAGGATATTGTGCTTCTTGCAAAATGGCCTTGTTCTCTTCGATAGCTTTGAAAACACATTGGCGAACCTTGGTAACTTCACTTGTCATTGGAATCGCGGGCGGAGCATTCCATCGTTTCTCCTCAAGACCTTGTAGTGCACCTTTAGACACTTCTACTCTCCACTCGCTCTTGCACAGATCTTCAAAATCTTCTGCCTTCAATTTTGTGATTCTGTCCTCCTGCTTGATGGCTTCTGCCCGACAAATTGTGGCACACATGCTCAAACTATGTCCCAACTTCAAAGCTAGGGAAGGTGTTGCATATTTTCCTGTTTTTGCATTGAATCCTGCCTCCTGCCTCACTGCATCAATAACATTGTCAAACATTTTTGGGTCAATGCAGTCTTTCATGGTCAGTACAGAGTTATCTTCTCTGAGTCTTCTCAATAATCTGGCCATCTCACGCATCTTCTGGCTTACCGTCTGGTAGCAGGTAGAGCTGCTCGCCTTTGTTTGTTTCAGAACACGAGAACCCATCTTGCATATCAAATCATCGTTCCTGGCTGCCATAGAAATCGGGCAGGGATACCTCATACGGCTTAAGACCGTCTCTCGCAAGTCTGCTGTTGCACTCTTGGACATTGGCAACATCAACGCACATCGTGACTGTAGAGTCTTGCCATGCTTTCTACCACTTTTTTGAGCTACAAAACATGTTTTTTTGTGCTTCCACATGTCACTTGACACAAACCAACCAAGGCATTCATCACATGGGAGATAATCCCTGTAATCCACATATCCACTTGGTCTCTTCACTGGTATGAGACTTCCACTCTGAACCTCCAAGACAGAAATATTATGCTTGTGATTACCTTCATTCTGAAGAATCTTTAGCAGTTGAGCTCTTGGTGTGGTTTTCTTTGGATGGGAGAGAAATTCTTGAACAGGAGCCTCGTTTTGATGATGAGATTCCAAATGTCTTGGTAGCTTAGAGACAAACTTTTCACAGTAGACACAGACCTGCCTCTTGTCCCACTTTCTTTTTTCCCGGTTGTTTGCACACAGCACTGTAATTGATGAAGAAGAAATGGTGTCATCTTGCTCTGCTTTCATTTTTACTGGTGCACGGCTGTCAGATGGAATAGCCTAGATGATTGGAAATAAACAAAAGTAAAAGAATGAATTATAATTATAAATGAAACAGGGCTTAAATTATTCCAAGGCCACCATGACCGTGGATGCCCTTTTGATTGGCCTCAATGCCCCTCTCATTGGCCTTGGAGATTTGTTGTGCCCTTTCCAATTCTTCGTATTTGTGCTGTAATATAGGAATGTGCCCTACAGAATTGTGGCCTTGCCCTAAAATTGAAATTTAAGGCCTGATGAAAAATTAGCATTTTTTAAAGATTGATGTAATCTTGTTCTTTACGTTATCTTTTTCAGATGTGTGAGAAATTCGCAACTGAGATATGGTAGGGAGCCATCGTATGGCCATCCCGCCCCCCTCTCAGTCTTCTGAGGATAAAACGGTCCTACTAATGAATGGGATGGGCTATCACTATATAATGCTGCTAACTCCCGCTTGTGTTTGTTGGTTTTCCAGGGTTGTTGATGCTGGATTTTTTTGTTCTACTGAAATTGCATTATGAGGAATTACGTATTTTATATTCAAATCTAAAATTCCAACACATACCATTTCCATTTTTTCGCAAGAAATATAGTACCAAAAAAAAATATTTTTTTTTTGACCAAAGATGGATTTGAAACACAAATCATTTTTCCCTGACAGGATGAAAAGGATTATTTTGCTCATCATTTATGCACTTTTCCAGATTGGCAGATTTGCAGAGCAAACTTCAAGATAGAGGTACCAATTTCGTTTTTTTAAACTGCAATTGAATATTTTGAAATGGTACATGTACATGTACATATAAGATGTAAGAATTCTAACATTGAATTTTGAGAAGAAATGTGATACATACTCTTTTTCTAGGCAAAGAGGAAGTCTTTACACTCTTCTTAAACTTCTTTGGACGTCTGAAACCCTCAAGACGGTCACTACTGGTACTACTGGAGTCACTGCTGTCGGATTCATGAGCATAGTAGGTTGGGTCATCATCAGAGTCACTCAGTTCAGCATGAAGAACATCCTATACACCAAAAAGCAATGTAAACAAAAAAAGTTTGTCTACCATGGAAGTGTGATTATTAAACAAGGTTTAATGGAATTAATGATGGTATAATTAAGAAGCCGAATCATCAAGGCAAGGTATGCTTTCAACATGGCCCGAATTCACAAAGGAGGTTTGAATTTAACCCATGGTTTAAACTCTCATTTACCTAAAACCCATAGTTTAAAATTAGCGCAATTAAGCGTGACACAGTCAGATGTCAAATATATAACGCGCGCAAGGCAAGGTACGCTTACCGGTAATTTGCGCTAATTTTAAACCATGGGTTATGTAAATGAGGGTTTAATAAACCACAAATTAAATTTAAAACTCCTTTGTGAATTCGGGCCAATGAGTCTATGACCCATCTGTCACTAAAAAACAAGTTAGGAATCTTCAATAAGGATGTAAAGCTAGCTGTGCTGCTTTAAATGGTTCTGAGATATTGAGAAAAATCAGAAATACAAAGAACAGACTCTGTCAGCTCCAGAGTACTTCTTCAAATTGTGCCTCAAACACGTTCTTATTACATGTACATGTTCATCTTCTCCAACAATGACCCACGGGAAAGAACCCACATGGTAACAAAAACTAGATGTGGATCTTCGGCTGCGTGCAGTCAAAAATGATGCCTCGGCCATAGAGCAATTTTACAAACCAAAAGAGAAGCAATTTTAAAAATTCAAGTATGAATGTACTGTAATCCATTTAAGGGAAATTCAACCCAAGTAGATCACTACTCTTTACAACCAAGAAAAGCAGAAAAATCAGAGAAGCAAACTGATGAAAGTTTCAATTAAATCTGACTAAATAAAAGAAAGTTATGAATTTTTGAAAGTTGTAATCACTATACATATGAGCACTTCAAATTGGCTGAATCGGTAATGTCAATGTGATGTAGTGGCGGACTACTTTCCCATCAATTACTAAAATTTAAAGTTTTCAAATATTCATGGCTCAGGAGGGTCTATTCTTTTTAGAGGACCTATAATAATATACAATCTATAAAATATTTTGAGTAGTGCCCCAAGGGAGAATTAGGAACTTACGAGAAAAAACAGAAATTAGTGATATTAATTTACGTACACAGCAAATGGGAGAGTTATCCACGTCCTACGTCACAATCCACTAACCAAACTACCAATTTGAGATTCGCATAGACTAATTAGTGATCTCATATATTTCAAACATATTCGAACTTCCTTACTATTGGTCCGATTCATTTCAAACTTTTGCCATTCTGTTTCTGTTATTTTTCTGCTTTCATACAAATCAACTTATTACAAGGGTTGGATTGCCCTTTAACAGGTTCTCAGAATATCGTGATTACAAGCTATTTTTCATATACATGTAAGACCCTTTGATCTTTGACCTCATATGAGTCATGACCCTAAAATCTAATCAGTTCACTGGCTCTGCAAGATACATACATGTCCTTAGTTTCATAGTAATCCATCTGTCGGTTCTAATGTGTTCATAAGCTATTTTCTCATACATAATGAGCCCCAGGACCTTCGACCTTTGACCTTTGACCTTCATTAGATCTACAAGATACATCTATGACCCAAGTTTGGCGGTAATCCATCATTCGGTTCTTGAGATAAGGCGATCACAAGCTATTTTTGGATACATAATGAACCCTTTGACCTTTGACCTCGTGACCCCAAAGTTTATACAGTTCATTGGCTCTGCAAGGTTCAAATTGAGTTTAGCGGGAATCCATCAATCGGTTCTTGACATAACGCGATCACGAGAACGGGACGTACAGACGTATGTACGGACGTATATGTACGGGCGGACAACCAGAAAACATAATGCATCCAGCAACTTTGTAGCGGAGGCATAAAAACAACAAACGAACAAACATAACAAAATTGGATGCATAATGTAAAGAAATTTCTGGCTTGCACCCAGTAAATAAGATTGCATGTTTGATCTGAAAAATAAGTCAGAAATATTCTGGAACCAGATCATCGTGAGTGTGCCACGGACCTGTAATGGCCTGGTGGTAGTCGCTGCCCGGCAAGCAGTAGATGACAGGTTCAAATCCCGCAGGTTCCAGATTTTTTCTGACTTATTTCTCAGATCGAACATGCGATCTTATCTACTGGGTGCTGCAAGCCAAAAATGTAATTAACATTAATTACACTTCTCAGGAAGCCTATAAACATTAAAAAATTGGCTGCAAGGAAGACCATTAAGACCATTAAGACCATTAAGTGTTGTCTCAGCGCTACAATCTTACATCTTAATGTTTTACAGCCCATGTGAGGACAAAGCACATCACAGCCTAATTACACCATATCCTATAATGTTTTACAGCCCATGTGAGGACAATTAAAGCACATCACAGGCTAGTAACATATCCTATAATAATGTTTTACTGCCCGTATGAGGACAAAGCACATCACAGCTTAACACTATATCTTATTTTAATGTTTCACAGCCCATGTGAGGAAAGCACATGATCACACCCTAACACCATATCATATAATAATGTTTTACAGCCCATGTGAGGACAAGGCACATCACAGCCTTACACCATATCCTATAATAATGTTTTACAGCCCATGTGAGGACAAAGCACATCACAGCCTAACACCACATCCTATAATAATGTTTTACAGCCCATGCGAGGACAAAGCACATCACAGCCTTACACCATATCCTATAATAATGTTTTACAGCCCATGTGAGGACAAAGCACATCACAGCCTAACACCACATCCTATAATAATGTTTTACAGCCCATGCGAGGACAAAGCACATCACAGCCTAACACCACATCCTATAATAATGTTTTACAGCCCATGTGAGGACAAAGCACATCACACCCTAACACCATATCCTATAATAATGTTTTACATTCCATGTGAGGACAAAGCACATCACAGCCTAACACCATATCCTATAATAATGTTTTGCAGCCCATGTGAGGACAAAGCACATCACACCCTAACACCATATCCTATAATAATGTTTTACAGCCCATGTGAGGACAAAGCACATCACAGCCTAACACCATATCCAATAATATTGTTTTACAGCCCATGTGAGGACAAAGCACATCACACCCTTACACCATATCCTATAATAATGTTTTACAGCCCATGTGAGGACAAAGCACATCACAGCCTAACACCATATCCAATAATATTGTTTTACAGCCCATGTGAGGACAAAGCACATCACACCCTAACACCATATCCTATAATAATGTTTTACAGCCCATGTGAGGACAAAGCACATCACAGCCTAACACCATATCCTATAATAATGTTTCACAGCCCATGTGAGGACAAAGCACATCACAGCCTAACACCACATCCTATAATAATGTTTCACAGCCCATGCGAGGACAAAGCACATCACACCCTAACACCATATCCTATAATAATGTTTTGCAGCCCATGTGAGGACAAAGCACATCACAGCCTTACACCACATCCTATAATAATGTTTCACAGCCCATGCGAGGACAATGCACATCACGGCCTAACACCATATCCTATAATAATGTTTTGCAGCCCATGTGAGGACAAAGTACATCACGGCCTAACACCATATCCTATAATAATGTTTTGCAGCCCATGTGAGGACAAAGCACATCTCAGCCTTACACCATATCCTATAATAATGTTTTGCAGCCCATGTGAGGACAAAGTACATCACAGGCTAACACCATATCCCCCAATGTTTACAGCCAATGTGAGGACAAAGCATATAGTACAGCCTAACACCAAATCCTATTTTTATTTTTTATAGCCAATGTGAAGACAATTAAAGCATATCACAACCTACATGTAATGCCATTTCCTATCTTAATGTTCCACAGTACATATGGGAAAAAAAGTAGCCAATATACATCACTGCCTAACACCATATCCTTAAGTCCCCAGTTTTTCATAATATGGAAAACTGAAAAATACAATGCTGCTCACTCCCACCTGTGTTTGATGGTTTTCCAGGGTTGGTTAATGCTAGATTTTGTTTTGTTCTACTGAAGTGATGTTATGAGGAATTACATATTTTATATTCAAATTAAAAATTCCAAAACATACACTCTCCATTTTTTCGCAAGAAATATACCATAATACAAAAACAAGGAAAGCGCTCTTGGCGGTCTCGCCTGCATTACGCTATTCGATATGATGACAAATTGAGGTTGGGACATTGATAGGCAGGATGGCCCATTAGCAGGCCCTCCAAAATGAAATCCTCTGAATATAATCAGCATTTTAAAGTGAATATTGACTAAGAATCTTCAGAAGAATTATTTACTATTATTTGTACCATGATTGATAACTTTCATGAAATATGAACAAATAACAAAAATTAATTTATAATTAATTCTTATATTAAGTTGTGAAAAACATAATCCAAGTCTACTGACCTAAAATGACATTTGACCTTGACTTTGTGACCTGTAATTTGTGTCATATGATTTGTGATACTTGATTACCATTGGGTACAAGTTTCATGGAATTTAAACAAACACTTTTGAAATTATGCTCAAAATTCAAAATCTTGATGTTGATGCCACAACAAAGTCTAAGTTTTCAAACCTGAAATGACATTTGACCTTGAAGTTGTCACCTAAAAGACTATTCACATGATTGGTGATACTTGATAACCCTTATGTTCAAGTTTCATGGAATAGGAATGTATACTTTCAAAATTATGATAACTATTCAAAATTTTAACCTGTGCCTCAACAGTCTAACTTTGTTGACCGAAAATGACCTTTGACCTTGACTAAGTGACCTGAAATTCCACTCACATGATTGGGAATACTTGATAACCCTCTAGTCTAAGTTTCGTTGAATAATAACTTATACTTTCAAATTATATTAAAAATTCAAAAACTTAACCTCAGGTTAAGTTTTTGATGATGATGCCACAACATAGTCTAAGTTTTGTTGACCTGAAATGACCTTTGCCCTTGAATTTGTGACCTTAAATTCTATTCATATGAATGGGGATACTTGATAACCCTTTAGTCCAAGTTTGATTGAATAAGAATTTATACTTTCAAAATTATATTAAAAATTCAAAAATCTTAACCTAATTGGTACCTTGGTTAAAGATAAAGACCTGTTCTGGTCGTGCGATTGCATTGTGAAAGAAACATTGTGGAATCGATCAGAAAAGGTTGATCATCTAGCATGTAAGTATTGGTGTGTACTGCAAGGTTCTGGAATCATCAAAATGATAAGAAATTTGGCCCAGTCTTGGTAAAGTTACAAGCACTGTACACAGAAAAATGTATATGGGACTACGTGACCACGTGCGCGATGTCTTTTTGCTCCCAATAGATATAATAATTTACCAAATATATCAATTAGTAGGCGATTTCCCGGCAAAATTTGTATCATCACGTATTAGTCAAAACATATTCTTTCACATGATTAGTAATGAGAGCTTCCATTTCATTTTTTGAGAGAGGGGCGTTTCCCAAACTGGTCTTTACCTTTAAGTTTTTTTTATGTTGACGCCGCCGTCACCGGAAAAGTGGCCCCTACATGTATGTCTTGCTTTTTGCTTACCCAGGCGAGACAAAAACCTTTTTTGTCCAAAGATGCATGGCGTTAAAATACAAATCATTTTTCCCTGACAGGATGAAAATAATTATTTAGCTCGAAATGTATGCACTCTTCCTGATTGGCAGATTTGCAAAGCAAACTTCAAGCTGGATCGAGGTACCAATTTTTTATTTTTTTAAACTGAAATTGAATATTTTGAAATGGAAGTACATGTACATATAAGATGTAAGAATTCTAACATTGAATTTTGAGAAGAAATGTGATACATACTCTTTTTCTAGGCAAAGAGGAAGTCTTTACACTCTTCTTAAACTTCTTTGGACGTCTGAAACCCTCAAGACGGTCACTACTGGTACTACTGGAGTCACTGCTGTCAGATACATGAGCAGAGTAGGTAGGGTCATCATCTGAGTTATCATTTGGTTCAGCATGAGGAACATCCTATACACCAAAAAGCAATGTAAACATCAAAGAAGTTGAGAAATTTATCTACCATGGTAGCTAGTGTGCGTGATTAACAAGGATTATTGGAATTAATGAAGGTATAAAAAGTGGAATCATCAAGGCAAGGTATGCTTTTAACACCCTATGAGTTTTTGATCCATAAGGGAATCAATATATCTGTCACTAAAAAACAAGTTAGGATTTTCAATAAGGATGTAAAAGCTAATTGTGTTGCTTGAATTGGTTCTGAGATATTGTGAAAAATCAGAAATACAAAGAAAAGACCTACATGTATACCCCTGTAAGCTCCAGACCTTTTTTTTCAAATTGTACCTCAAACACATTCTTATTACATGTTGACCTTCTCCCAAAATGACCCATGGGAATGAACCCACATGGTTAAAAAAAAAAAAGTGGATGCTCAACACAATTTTGGGCTGCATGAGCTGAAGATGGCTGCAAGGAATTAAGACCATTGGAAAGTGTTGCCTCATCCCTACGGGTGTATGTTTCTCTGGGAAGTTAATGGGTTTGGTCAGAAAGTAATCATGTGACACCGACCATGTGAGAATAATTAAAGCACATCGCAGCCTAACACCATATCCTAGCTATCTTAATGTTTCACAGCCCATGTGAGGACAAAGCACATCACAGGCTAACAACATATCCTATAATAATGTTTTACAGCCCATATGAGGACAAAGCACATCGCAGCCTAATACCATATCCTCTCTTAATGTTTACAGCTAGCCCATGTGAGGACAAAGCACATCACAGCCTAACACCACATCCTATCTTAATGTTTTACAGCCCATGTGAGGACAAAGCACATCACAGCCTAACACCACATCCTATCTTAATGTTTTACAGCCCATGTGAGGACAAAGCACATCGCAGCCTAATACCATATCCTATAATAATGTTTTACAGCCCATGTGAGGACAAAGCACATCACAGCCTAATACCATATCCTATAATAATGTTTTACAGCCCATGTGAGGACAAAGCACATCACAGCCTTACACAACTCATGTGAGGACAAATCACATCATAGGTTAAATTAATACCCCAGCGATTGACCTCTCGTAGATCGTCAGAAAAGCACAGAAATGAGTCTCTACAGTGTATGAGAAATAGCAGGTATATTACTGTAAATTTAAAACACATACCAGCTTAAAATAGAGAGAACAAAAGTGTGTATGATTACCTCTTCTCTACCATTTGACATTTCAGTACTGGCTGTGGTAGCAGATTCTTCTTCTAGGATGCTCTGTTAGAATGTGGATATTGCAGAAGGATTAGTTCCAGTAATGGGTGAATTGGGTGTATTCATTTGATTTCCGACTGAATATACATTATTAATTCTTGGAAACTATTTGGCCCAAAATTACTAAATAAATTAAAACAATGGAAGGAGTTTGTGATTGCAAACAGAACCATTCCTGGTTTGAACCCTGTCCTATATAATTACAGATGTATAGGGTAACACATCTTCAATTAGCACTTTTGTATGTAACTGATGATTGGCAATTTTTTTTCATCATTTTAAAGGCCAAGTCCACCCTAACATCAAGTTGATTTGAATAAAAAGAGACAAATAAAACAAGCATAATACTGACAATTTCATCAAAATCGAATGTAAAGAAATTTATGGCATCTAAGTTTTGCATATATATATATAGTTTCTTAAAACAGTGATATGCATTAAACACGGGCAGTATATAAATGCACATGAGTGAGCCGATGATGTGACACACAAAAAATGGTAGACATTTGAACAGAAATTTGAGTGTGAAAATGGGGTCCTCTCTGCGGCACATACCCTCCGCACACCATATATTAAATACCCCCCCCCCCCCTACGTTAAGTTGAAGTGTGTGCTATTACAGTTCCCATAATTTCCCAATAATACGGCGGCATGCTAATGAAGTCACAATTTAGCACAGCTACAGTATTGACTGGTTTCAGATAATACCTGTGTATTAAACGTTATTGGGCCCTAATTTGTAATTTATACTTACTGTACACCTAGCTTTTTGATGACACCCTTTAATACTTAGCGTTACATAGGAAATAATTGGACGCTTTTCCCTTTTTAATTGCATTTTGCAAATAATTCAGCACTCAAGGGATGTGCAGCCCAGTACACAAAGAAATTACTCTAATGGGTGAAATAGTTTCAAATGCAACATACTGTAGCTTTCCATATCTTGACATACAAGTATTTTTTCTTATTTTTCTACAGTGAGGACTTTCCATTAACTTTCTTAGAGCTACAATTAAGGGACACAAATCACTCTCCTAACCATATTCATATTTATGCAAGCTTCTAACACATTAGTTTCTAATACATTGACAGCCTAACAATTTCCTCAAGGTATATGTTTCTGGTTTTCCTGATAAAGCAAGTGGAAATATAGTATGTGCAAACTACATTCTTTATTGTTGTAAAATGCACTTGATTTCACTAAACAAAGCAATGGAAAATAAAACATGCATAAAGTTGAAGATGGCTAGAAAAGTTGTAAAGTTTCTTGATAACTTACATGCACTGGTAGATCTTGTGCGTGATGTTCTAACTCCGACACTTCTCCATTCTGCAAGTAAAATGCACTTTCATTACACCCGCTCATAATTAGCAATTTTTGCATATTTAATGACCTGTGAACTTTGACCTTTTACTTTCATACTCAACAACATTACTTGTGTTATCAAATGGAAACCATAATTTTGCATATATAATTAGCTATTTTTGCATGTCTGTGAACTTTGACTTTTGATCTACATACTCAAAGATCAAACTTAGGATATATCTTTATACCATGTACCTTCTTGCCAAATTTCATTAAAATCTGTTTAACAAATTAGGCCTACTGAAGTTATCGAACGGAAAACCATATTTTCGGATACATGACCTACATACATGTACACTGAAATTCTAGAACAGTATGGCTTTGAATTACCTGTGTGATTTTTTTAAACAGTACGTACAGCTTTGAATTACCTGTGTGGCTTTTGTGGGACAAAAAAGCTTTGAATTACCTGTGTGATTTTTTTAAACAATATAGCTTTGAATTACCTATGTGGCTTTTGTGTGACAGAAAAGCTTTGAATTACCTGTGTGGCTTTTGTGGGACAGAATAGCTTTGAATTCAAAGCACATCGCAGCCTAATACCATATCCTATAATAATGTTTTACAGCCCATGTGAGGACAATTACATCACAGCCTTACACAACTCATGTGAGGACAAATCACATCATAGGTTAAATCAATACCCCAGCGATTGACCTCTCGTAGATTGTCAGAAAAGCACAGAAATGAGTCTCTACAGTGTATGAGAAATAGCAGGTACTATATTACTGTAAATTTAAAACACATACCAGGTAAAATAAAAGAGAACAAAAGTGTGTATGATTACCTCTTCTACCATTTGACATTTCAGTACTGGCTGTGGTAGCAGATTCTTCTTCTAGGATGCTCTGTTAGAATGTGGATATTGCAGAATGATTAGTTCCAGTAATGGGTGAATTGGGTGTATTCATTTGATTTCCGACTGAATATACATTATTAATTCTTGGAAACTATTTGGCCCAAAATTACTAAATAAATTAAAACAATGGAAGGAGTTTGTGATTGCAAACAGAACCATTCCTGGTTTGAACCCTGCCCTATATAATTACAGATGTATAGGGTAACACATCTTCAATTAGCACTTTTGTATGTAACTGATCACTGGCAATTTTTTGTCATCATTTTAAAGGCCAAGTCCACCCTAACATCAAGTTGATTTGAATAAATAGAGACAAATAAAACAAGCATAATACTGAAAATTTCATCAAAAACGGATGTAAAGAAAGTTATGGTATTTCTAAGTTTTGCATATATATATATAGTTTCACAAAACAGTGATATGCATTAAACACGGGCAGTATATAAATGCACATGAGTGAGCCGATGATGTGACACACAAAAAATGGTAGACATTTGAACAGAAATTTGAGTGTGAAAATGGGGTCCTCTCTGCGGCACATACCCTCCGCACACCATATATTAAATACCCCCCCCCCCTACGTTAAGTTGAAGTGTGTGCTATTACAGTTCCTATAATTTCCCAATAATACGGTGGCATGCTGATGAAGTCACAATTTAGCACAGCTACAGTATTGACTGGTTTCAGATAATACCTGTGTATTAAACGTTATTGGGCCCTAAATTGTAATTTATACTCACTGTACACCTAGCTTTTTGATGACACCCTTTAATACTTAGCGTTACATAGGAAATAATTGGACGCTTTTCCCCTTTTAATTGCATTTTGCAAATAATTCAGCACTCAAGGGATGTGCAGCCTAGTACACAAAGAAATTACTCTAATGGTTGAAATAGTTTCAAATGCAACATACTGTAGCTTTCCATATCTTGACATACAAGTATTTTTTCTTATTTTTCTACAGTGAGGACAGGCCTTTCCATTAACTTTCTTAGAGCTACAATTAAGGGACACAAATCACTCTCCTAACCATATTCATATTTATGCAAGCTTCTAACACATTAGTTTCTAATACATTGACAGCCTAACAATTTCCTCAAGGTATATGTTTCTGGTTTTCCTGATAAAGCAAGTGGAAATATAGTATGTGCAAACTACATTCTTTATTGTTGTAAAATGCACTTGATTTCACTAAACAAAGCAATGGAAAATAAAACATGCATAAAGTTGAAGATGGCTAGAAAAGTTGTAAAGTTTCTTGATAACTTACATGCACTGGTAGATCTTGTGCGTGATGTTCTAACTCCGACACTTCTCCATTCTGCAAGTAAAATGCACTTTCATTACACCCGCTCGTAATTAGCAATTTTTGCATATTTAATGACCTGTGAACTTTGACCTTTTACTTTCATACTCAACAACATTACTTGTGTTATCAAATGGAAACCATAATTTTGCATTTATAATTAGCTATTTTTGCATTTCTGTGAACTTTGACTTTTGATCTACATACTCAAAGATCAAACTTAGGATATATCTTTATACCATGTACCTTCTTGCCAAATTTCATTAAAATCTGTTTAACAAATTAGGCCTACTGAAGTTATCGAACGGAAAACCATATTTTCGGATACATGACCTACATGCATACACTGAAATTCTAGAACAGTATGGCTTTGAATTACCTGTGTGATTTTTTTAAACAGTACATACAGCTTTGAATTACCTGTGTGGCTTTTGTGGGACAAAAAAGCTTTGAATTACCTGTGTGATTTTTTTAAACAATATAGCTTTGAATTACCTATGTGGCTTTTGTGGGACAGAAAAGCTTTGAATTACCTGTGTGGCTTTTGTGGGACAGAATAGCTTTGAATTCAAAGCACATCGCAGCCTAATACCATATCCTATAATAATGTTTTACAGCCCATGTGAGGACAAAGCACATCACAGCTAGCCTTACACAACTCATGTGAGGACAAATCACATCATAGGTTAAATCAATACCCCAGCGATTGACCTCTCGTAGATTGTCAGAAAAGCACAGAAATGAGTCTCTACAGTGTATGAGAAATAGCAGGTATATTACTGTAAATTTAAAACACATACCAGGTAAAATAAAAGAGAACAAAAGTGTGTATGATTACCTCTTCTCTACCATTTGACATTTCAGTACTGGCTGTGGTAGCAGATTCTTCTTCTAGGATGCTCTGTTAGAATGTGGATATTGCAGAATGATTAGTTCCAGTAATGGGTGAATTGGGTGTATTCATTTGATTTCCGACTGAATATACATTATTAATTCTTGGAAACTATTTGGCCCAAAATTACTAAATAAATTAAAACAATGGAAGGAGTTTGTGATTGCAAACAGAACCATTCCTGGTTTGAACCCTGTCCTATATAATTACAGATGTATAGGGTAACACATCTTCAATTAGCACTTTTGTATGTAACTGATCACTGGCAATTTTTTTTCATCATTTTAAAGGCCAAGTCCACCCTAACATCAAGTTGATTTGAATAAATAGAGACAAATAAAACAAGCATAATACTGAAAATGTCATCAAAAACGGATGTAAAGAAAGTTATGGTATTTCTAAGTTTTGCATATATATATATAGTTTCACAAAACAGTGATATGCATTAAACACGGGCAGTATATAAATGCACATGAGTGAGCCGATGATGTGACACATAAAAAATGGTAGACATTTGAACAGAAAGTTGAGTGTGAAAATGGGGTCCTCTCAGCGGCACATACCCTCCGCACACCATATATTAAATACCCCCCCCCCCCCCTACGTTAAGTTGAAGTGTGTGCTATTACAGTTCCTATAATTTCCCAATAATACGGTGGCATGCTGATGAAGTCACAATTTAGCACAGCTACAGTATTGACTGGTTTCAGATAATACCTGTGTATTAAACGTTATTGGGCCCTAAATTGTAATTTATACTCACTGTACACCTAGCTTTTTGATGACACCCTTTAATACTTAGCGTTACATAGGAAATAATTGGACGCTTTTCCCCTTTTAATTGCATTTTGCAAATAATTCAGCACTCAAGGGATGTGCAGCCTAGTATACAAAGAAATTACTCTAATGGTTGAAATAGTTTCAAATGCAACATACTGTAGCTTTCCATATCTTGACATACAAGTATTTGTTCTTATTTTTCTACAGTGAGGACATGCCTTTCCATTAACTTTCTTAGAGCTACAATTAAGGGACACAAATCACTCTCCTAACCATATTCATATTTATGCAAGCTTCTAACACATTAGTTTCTAATACATTGACATCCTAACAATTTCCTCAAGGTATATGTTTCTGGTTTTCCTGATAAAGCAAGTGGAAATATAGTATGTGCAAACTACATTATTTATTGTTGTAAAATGCACTTGATTTCACTAAACAAAGCAATGGAAAATAAAACATGCATAAAGTTGAAGATGGCTAGAAAAGTTGTATAGTTTCTTGATAACTTACATGCACTGGTAGATCTTGTGCGTGATGTTCTAACTCCGACACTTCTCCATTCTGCAAGTAAAATGCACTTTCATTACACCCGCTCATAATTAGCAATTTTTGCATATTTAATGACCTGTGAACTTTGACCTTTTACTTTCATACTCAACAACATTACTTGTGTTATCAAATGGAAACCACAATTTTGCATATATAATTAGCTATTTTTGCATGTCTGTGAACTTTGACTTTTGATCTACATACTCAAAGATCAAACTTAGGATATATCTTTATACCATGTACCTTCTTGCCAAATTTCATTAAAATCTGTTTAACAAATTAGGCCTACTGAAGTTATCGAACGGAAAACCATATTTTCGGATACATGTATGACCTACATACACTGAAATTCTAGAACAGTATGGCTTTGAATTACCTGTGTGATTTTTTTAAACAGTACATACAGCTTTGAATTACCTGTGTGGCTTTTGTGGGACAAAAAAGCTTTGAATTACCTGTGTGATTTTTTTAAACAGTAACAGTATAATAGCTTTGAATTCAAAGCACATCGCAGCCTAGCTAATACCATATCCTATATAATGTTTTACAGCCCATGTGAGGACAAAGCACATCACAACCCGACACCATATCCTATAATAATGTTTTACAGCCCATGTGAGGACAAAGCACATCACACCCTAACACCATATCCTATAATAATATTTTACAGCCCATGTGAGGACAAAGCACATCACAGCCTTACACCATATCATATAATAATGTTTCACAGCCCATGTGAGGACAAAGCACATCACAGCCTTACACCATATCCTATAATAATGTTTTACAGCCCATGTGAGGACAAAGCACATCACACCCTAACACCATATCATATAATAATGTTTTACAGCCCATGTGAGGACAAAGCACATCACAGCCTTACACCATATCCCATAATAATGTTTTACAGCCCATGTGAGGACAAAGCACATCACAGCCTTACACCATATCCCATAATAATGTTTTACAGCCCATTTGAGGACAAAGCACATCACACCCTAACACCATATCCTATAATAATGTTTCACAGCCAATGTGAGGACAAGGCACATCACAGCCTAACACCATATCCTATAATAATGTTTTACAGCCCATGTGAGGACAAAGCACATCACACCCTAACACCATATCCTATAATAATATTTTACATTCCATGTGAGGACAAAGCACATCACACCCTAACACCATATCATATAATAATGTTTTACAGCCCATGTGAGGACAAAGCACATCACAGCCTTACACCATATCCCATAATAATGTTTTACAGCCCATGTGAGGACAAAGCACATCACAGCCTTACACCATATCCTATAATAATGTTTCACAGCCCATGTGAGGACAAAGCACATCACGGCCTAACACCATATCCTATAATAATGTTTTACAGCCCATGTGAGGACAAAGCACATCACAGCCTAACACCATATCCTATAATAATGTTTCACAGCCCATGTGAGGACAAAGCACATCACAGCCTTACACCATATCCTATAATAATGTTTTACAGCCCATGTGAGGACAAAGCACATCACAGCCTAACACCATATCCCATAATAATGTTTCACAGCCCATGTGAGGACAAATCACATCACAGCCTAACACCATATCCCATAATAATGTTTTACAGCCCATGTGAGGACAAAGCACATCACAGCCTAACACCATATCCTATAATAATGTTTCACAGCCCATGTGAGGACAAAGCACATCACGGCCTAACACCATATCCTATAATAATGTTTTACAGCCCATGTGAGGACAAAGCACATCACAGCCTAACACCATATCCTATAATAATGTTTCACAGCCCATGTGAGGACAAAGCACATCACAGCCTTACACCATATCCCATAATAATGTTTTACAGCCCATGTGAGGACAAAGCACATCACAGCCTTACGCCATATCCCATAATAATGTTTTACAGCCCATTTGAGGACAAAGCACATCACACCCTAACACCATATCCTATAATAATGTTTCACAGCCAATGTGAGGACAAGGCACATCACAGCCTAACACTATATCCTATAATAATGTTTTACAGCCCATGTGAGGACAAAGCACATCACACCCTTACACCATATCCTATAATAATGTTTTACAGCCCATGTGAGGACAAGGCACATCACAGCCTGACACCATATCCTATAATAATGTTTTACAGCCCATGTAAGGACAAAGCACATCACAGCCTAACACCATATCCTATAATAATGTTTTACAGCCCATGTGAGGACAATTAAAGCACATCACAGGCTAGTAACATATCCTATAATAATGTTTTACTGCCCGTATGAGGACAAAGCACATCACAGCCTTACACCATATCCAATAATAATGTTTTACAGCCCATGTGAGGACAAAGCACATCACAGCCTAACACCATATCCTATAATAATGTTTTACAGCCCATGTGAGGACAAAGCACATCACAGCCTTACACCATATCCAATAATAATGTTTTACAGCCCATGTGAGGACAAAGCACATCACAGCCTTACACCATATCCTATAATAATGTTTTACAGCCCATGTGAGGACAAAGCACATCACACCCTTACACCATATCCTATAATAATGTTTTACAGCCCATGTGAGGACAAGGCACATCACAGCCTGACACCATATCCTATAATAATGTTTTACAGCCCATGTGAGGACAAAGCACATCACAGCCTAACACCATATCCTATAATAATGTTTTACAGCCCATGTGAGGACAAAGCACATCACAACCCGACACCATATCCTATAATAATGTTTCACAGCCCATGTGAGGACAAGGCACATCACAGCCTGACACCATATCCTATAATAATGTTTTACAGCCCATGTGAGGACAAAGCACATCACGGCCTAGCACCACATCCTATAATAATGTTTCACAGCCCATGTGAGGACAAAGCACATCACAACCCGACACCATATCCTATAATAATGTTTCACAGCCCATGTGAGGACAAAGCACATCACAACCCGACACCATATCCTATAATAATGTTTCACAGCCCATGTGAGGACAAGGCACATCACAGCCTGACACCATATCCTATAATAATGTTTTACAGCCCATGTGAGGACAAAGCACATCACGGCCTAGCACCACATCCTATAATAATGTTTCACAGCCCATGTGAGGACAAAGCACATCACAGCCTAACACCATATCCTATAATAATGTTTTACAGCCCATGTGAGGACAAAGCACGTCACAGCCTTACACCATATCCAATAATAATGTTTTACAGCCCATGTGAGGACAAAGCACATCACAGCCTAACACCATATCCAATAATATTGTTTTACAGCCCATGTGAGGACAAAGCACATCACAGCCTTACACCATATCCCATAATAATGTTTTACAGCCCATGTGAGGACAAAGCACATCACAGCCTATAACACCATATCCAATAATAATGTTTTACAGCCCATGTGAGGACAAAGCACATCACAGCCTAACACCATATCCAATAATAATGTTTTACAGCCCATGTGAGGACAAAGCACATCACAGCCTAATACCATATCCTATAATAATGTTTTACAGCCCATGTGAGGACAAAGCACATCACAACCTAACACCATATCCAATAATAATGTTTTACAGCCCATGTGAGGACAAAGCACATCACAGCCTAACACCATATCCAATAATAATGTTTTACAGCCCATGTGAGGACAAAGCCCATCACAGCCTTACACCATATCCCATAATAATGTTTTACAGCCCATGTGAGGACAATTAAAGCACATCACAGCCTAATACCATATCCAATAATAATGTTTTACAGCCCATGTGAGGACAAAGCACATCACAGCCTAATACCATATCCTATAATAATGTTTTACAGCCCATGTGAGGACAAAGCACATCACAGCCTAATACCATATCCTATAATAATGTTTTACAGCCCATGTGAGGACAAAGCACATCACAGCCTAATACCATATCCTATAATAATGTTTTACAGCCCATGTGAGGACAAAGCACATCACAACCCGATACCATATCCTATAATAATGTTTTACAGCCCATGTGAGGACAAAGCACATCTCAGCCTTACACAACTCATGTGAGGACAAATCACATCATAGGTTAAATCAATACCCCAGCGATTGACCTCTAGTAGATCGTCAGAAAAGCAAGAAATGAGTCTCTACAGTGTATGAGAAATAGCAGGTATATTACTGTAAATTTAAAACACATACCAGGTAAAATAAGAGAGAACAAAAGTGTGTATGATTACCTCTTCTCTACCATTTGACATTTCAGTACTGGCTGGGGTAGTAGATTCTTCTTCTAGGATGCTCTGTTAGAATGTGGATATTGCAGAATGATTAGTTCCAGTAATGGGTGAATTGGGTGGATTCATTTGATTTCCAACTGAATATACATTATTAATTCTTGGAAACTATTTGGCCCAAAATTACTAAATAAATTAAAACAATGGAAGGAGTTTGTGATTGCAAACAGAACCATTCCTGGTTTGAACCCTGTCCTATATAATTACAGATGTATAGGGTAACACATCTTCAATTAGCACTTTTGTATGTAACTGATCACTGGCAATTTTTTTCATCATTTTAAAGGCCAAGTCCACCCTAACATCAAGTTGATTTGAATAAAAAGAGACAAATAAAACAAGCATAACACTGAAAATTTCATCAAAATCGAATGTAAAGAAAGTTATGGCATTTCTAAGTTTTGCATATATATAGTTTCACAAAACAGTGATATGCATTAAACACGGGCAGTATATAAATGCACATGAGTGAGCCGATGATGTGACACACAAAAAATGGTAGACATTTGAACAGAAATTTGAGTGTGAAAATGGGGTCCTCTCTGCGGCACATACCCTCCGCACACCATATATTAAATACCCCCCCCCCCCCCCTACGTTAAGTTGAAGTGTGTGATATTACAGTTCCTATAATTTCCCAATAATACGGCGGCATGCTAATGAAGTCACAATTTAGCACAGCTACAGTATTGACTGGTTTCAGATAATACCTGTGTATTAAACGTTATTGGGCCCTAAATTGTAATTTATACTCACTGTACACCTACAATGTAGCTTTTTGATGACACCCTTTAATACTTAGCGTTACATAGGAAATAATTGGACGCTTTTCCCCTTTTAATTGCATTTTGCAAATAATTCAGCACTCAAGGGATGTGCAGCCTAGTACAAAAAGAAATTACTCTAATGGTTGAAATAGTTTCAAATGCAACATACTGTAGCTTTCCATATCTTGACATACAAGTATTTTTTCTTATTTTTCTACAGTGAGGACAGGCCTTTCCATTAACTTTCTTAGAGCTACAATTAAGGGACACAAATCACTCTCCTAACCATATTCATATTTATGCAAGCTTCTAAAACATTAGTTTCTAATACATTGACAGCCTAACAATTTCCTCAAGGTATATGTTTCTGGTTTTCCTGATAAAGCAAGTGGAAATATAGTATGTGCAAACTACATTCTTTATTGTTGTAAAATGCACTTGATTTCACTAAACAAAGCAATGGAAAATAAAACATGCATAAAGTTGAAGATGGCTAGAAAAGTTGTAAAGTTTCTTGATAACTTACATGCACTGGTAGATCTTGTGCGTGATGTTCTAACTCCGACACTTCTCCATTCTGCAAGTAAAATGCACTTTCATTACACCCGCTCATAATTAGCAATTTTTGCATATTTAATGACCTGTGAACTTTGACCTTTTACTTTCATACTCAACAACATTACTTGTGTTATCAAATGGAAACCATAATTTTGCATTTATAATTAGCTATTTTTGCATTTCAGTGAACTTTGACTTTTGATCTACATACTCAAAGATCAAACTTAGGATATATCTTTATACCATGTACCTTCTTGCCAAATTTCATTAAAATCTGTTTAACAAATTAGGCCTACTGAAGTTATCGAACGGAAAACCATATTTTCGGATACATGACCTACATGCATACACTGAAATTCTAGAACAGTATGGCTTTGAATTACCTGTGTGATTTTTTTAAACAGTACATACAGCTTTGAATTACCTGTGTGGCTTTTGTGGGACAAAAAAGCTTTGAATTACCTGTGTGATTTTTTTAAACAATATAGCTTTGAATTACCTATGTGGCTTTTGTGGGACAGAAAAGCTTTGAATTACCTGTGTGGCTTTTGTGGGACAGAATAGCTTTGAATTCAAAGCACATCGCAGCCTAATACCATATCCTATAATAATGTTTTACAGCCCATGTGAGGACAAAGCACATCACAGCCTTACACAACTCATGTGAGGACAAATCACATCATAGGTTAAATCAATACCCCAGCGATTGACCTCTCGTAGATTGTCAGAAAAGCACAGAAATGAGTCTCGACAGTGTATGAGAAATAGCAGGTATATTACTGTAAATTTAAAACACATACCAGGTAAAATAAAAGAGAACAAAAGTGTGTATGATTACCTCTTCTCTACCATTTGACATTTCAGTACTGGCTGTGGTAGCAGATTCTTCTTCTAGGATGCTCTGTTAGAATGTGGATATTGCAGAATGATTAGTTCCAGTAATGGGTGAATTGGGTGTATTCATTTGATTTCCGACTGAATATACATTATTAATTCTTGGAAACTATTTGGCCCAAAATTACTAAATAAATTAAAACAATGGAAGGAGTTTGTGATTGCAAACAGAACCATTCCTGGTTTGAACCCTGTCCTATATAATTACAGATGTATAGGGTAACACATCTTCAATTAGCACTTTTGTATGTAACTGATCACTGGCAATTTTTTGTCATCATTTTAAAGGCCAAGTCCACCCTAACATCAAGTTGATTTGAATAAATAGAGACAAATAAAACAAGCATAATACTGAAAATTTCATCAAAAACGGATGTAAAGAAAGTTATGGTATTTCTAAGTTTTGCATATATATATATAGTTTCACAAAACAGTGATATGCATTAAACACGGGCAGTATATAAATGCACATGAGTGAGCCGATGATGTGACACATAAAAAATGGTAGACATTTGAACAGAAATTTGAGTGTGAAAATGGGGTCCTCTCAGCGGCACATACCCTCCGCACACCATATATTAAATACCCTCCGCACACCATATATTAAATACCCCCCCCCCCTACGTTAAATTGAAGTGTGTGCTATTACAGTTCCTATAATTTCTCAATAATACGGTGGCATGCTGATGAAGTCACAATTTAGCACAGCTACAGTATTGACTGGTTTCAGATAATACCTGTGTATTAAACGTTATTGGGCCCTAAATTGTAATTTATACTCACTGTACACCTAGCTTTTTGATGACACCCTTTAATACTTAGCGTTACATAGGAAATAATTGGACGCTTTTCCCCTTTTAATTGCATTTTGCAAATAATTCAGCACTCAAGGGATGTGCAGCCTAGTATACAAAAAAATTACTCTAATGGTTGAAATAGTTTCAAATGCAACATACTGTAGCTTTCCATATCTTGACATACAAGTATTTGTTCTTATTTTTCTACAGTGAGGACATGCCTTTCCATTAACTTTCTTAGAGCTACAATTAAGGGACACAAATCACTCTCCTAACCATATTCATATTTATGCAAGCTTCTAACACATTAGTTTCTAATACATTGACATCCTAAAAATTTCCTCAAGGTATATGTTTCTGGTTTTCCTGATAAAGCAAGTGGAAATATAGTATGTGCAAACTACATTATTTATTGTTGTAAAATGCACTTGATTTCACTAAACAAAGCAATGGAAAATAAAACATGCATAAAGTTGAAGATGGCTAGAAAAGTTGTATAGTTTCTTGATAACTTACATGCACTGGTAGATCTTGTGCGTGATGTTCTAACTCCGACACTTCTCCATTCTGCAAGTAAAATGCACTTTCATTACACCCGCTCATAATTAGCAATTTTTGCATATTTAATGACCTGTGAACTTTGACCTTTTACTTTCATACTCAACAACATTACTTGTGTTATCAAATGGAAACCACAATTTTGCATATATAATTAGCTATTTTTGCATGTCTGTGAACTTTGACTTTTGATCTACATACTCAAAGATCAAACTTAGGATATATCTTTATACCATGTACCTTCTTGCCCAATTTCATTAAAATCTGTTTAACAAATTAGGCCTACTGAAGTTATCGAACGGAAAACCATATTTTCGGATACATGTATGACCTACATACACTGAAATTCTAGAACAGTATGGCTTTGAATTACCTGTGTGATTTTTTTAAACAGTACATACAGCTTTGAATTACCTGTGTGGCTTTTGTGGGACAAAAAAGCTTTGAATTACCTGTGTGATTTTTTTAAACAGTAACAGTATAATAGCTTTGAATTCAAAGCACATCGCAGCCTAATACCATATCCTATATAATGTTTTACAGCCCATGTGAGGACAAAGCACATCACAACCCGACACCATATCCTATAATAATGTTTTACAGCCCATGTGAGGACAAAGCACATCACACCCTAACACCATATCCTATAATAATGTTTCACAGCCCATGTGAGGACAAAGCACATCACAGCCTTACACCATATCATATAATAATGTTTCACAGCCCATGCGAGGACAAAGTACATCACAGCCTTACACCATATCCTATAATAATGTTTCACAGCCCATGTGAGGACAAAGCACATCACAGCCTTACACCATATCCCATAATAATGTTTCACAGCCCATGTGAGGACAAAGCACATCACAGCCTAACACCATATCCTATAATAATGTTTCACAGCCCATGTGAGGACAAAGCACATCACAGCCTTACACCATATCCTATAATAATGTTTTACAGCCCATGTGAGGACAAAGCACATCACAGCCTTACACCATATCCCATAATAATGTTTTACAGCCCATGTGAGGACAAAGCACATCACAGCCTAATACCATATCCTATAATAATGTTTTACAGCCCATGTGAGGACAAAGCACATCTCAGCCTTACACAACTCATGCGAGGACAAATCACATCATAGGTTAAATCAATACCCCAGCGATTGACCTCTAGTAGATCGTCAGAAAAGCAAGAAATGAGTCTCTACAGTGTATGAGAAATAGCAGGTATATTACTGTAAATTTAAAACACATACAGGTAAAATAAGAGAGAACAAAAGTGTGTATGATTACCTCTTCTCTACCATTTGACATTTCAGTACTGGCTGGGGTAGTAGATTCTTCTTCTAGGATGCTCTGTTAGAATGTGGATATTGCAGAATGATTAGTTCCAGTAATGGGTGAATTGGGTGGATTCATTTGATTTCCAACTGAATATACATTATTAATTCTTGGAAACTATTTGGCCCAAAATTACTAAATAAATTAAAACAATGGAAGGAGTTTGTGATTGCAAACAGAACCATTCCTGGTTTGAACCCTGTCCTATATAATTACAGATGTATAGGGTAACACATCTTCAATTAGCACTTTTGTATGTAACTGATCACTGGCAATTTTTTTCATCATTTTAAAGGCCAAGTCCACCCTAACATCAAGTTGATTTGAATAAAAAGAGACAAAGAAAACAAGCATAACACTGAAAATTTCATCAAAATCGAATGTAAAGAAAGTTATGGCATTTCTAAGTTTTGCATATATATAGTTTCACAAAACAGTGATATGCATTAAACACGGGCAGTATATAAATGCACATGAGTGAGCCGATGATGTGACACACAAAAAATGGTAGACATTTGAACAGAAATTTGAGTGTGAAAATGGGGTCCTCTCTGCGGCACATACCCTCCGCACACCATATATTAAATACCCCCCCCCCCCTACGTTAAGTTGAAGTGTGTGATATTACAGTTCCTATAATTTCCCAATAATACGGCGGCATGCTAATGAAGTCACAATTTAGCACAGCTACAGTATTGACTGGTTTCAGATAATACCTGTGTATTAAACGTTATTGGCCCTAAATTGTAATTTATACTCACTGTACACCTAGCTTTTTGATGACACCCTTTAATACTTAGCGTTACATAGGAAATAATTGGACGCTTTTCCCCTTTTAATTGCATTTTGCAAATAATTCAGCACTCAAGGGATGTGCAGCCCAGTACACAAAGAAATTACTCTAATGGGTGAAATAGTTTCAAATGCAACATACTGTAGCTTTCCATATCTTGACATACAAGTATTTGTTCTTATTTTTCTACAGTGAGGACAGGCCTTTCCATTAACTTTCTTAGAGCTACAATTAAGGGACACAAATCACTCTCCTAACCATATTCATATTTATGCAAGCTTCTAACACATTAGTTTCTAATACATTGACAGCCTAACAATTTCCTCAAGGTATATGTTTCTGGTTTTCCTGATAAAGCAAGTGGAAATATAGTATGTGCAAACTACATTCTTTATTGTTGTAAAATGCACTTGATTTCACTAAACAAAGCAATGGAAAATAAAACATGCATAAAGTTGAAGATGGCTAGAAAAGTTGTATAGTTTCTTGATAACTTACATGCACTGGTAGATCTTGTGCGTGATGTTCTAACTCCGACACTTCTCCATTCTGCAAGTAAAATGCACTTTCATTACACCCGCTCATAATTAGCAATTTTTGCATATTTAATGACCTGTGAACTTTGACCTCTTACTTTCATACTCAACAACATTACTTGTGTTATCAAATGGAAACCACAATTTTGCATATATAATTAGCTATTTTTGCATGTCTGTGAACTTTGACTTTTGATCTACATGTATACTCGAAGATCAAACTTAGGATATATCTTTATACCATGTACCTTCTTGCCAAATTTCATTAAAATCTGTTTAACAAATTAGGCCTACTGAAGTTATCGAACGGAAAACCATATTTTCGGAGCATGACCTACATACACTGAAATTCTAGAACAGTATGGCTTTGAATTACCTGTGTGATTTTTTTAAACAGTACATACAGCTTTGAATTACCTGTGTGGCTTTTGTGGGACAAAAAAGCTTTGAATTACCTGTGTGATTTTTTTAAACAATATAGCTTTGAATTACCTATGTGGCTTTTGTGGGACAGAAAAGCTTTGAATTACCTGTGTGGCTTTTGTGGGACAGAATAGCTTTGAATTCAAAGCACATCGCAGCCTAATACCATATCCTATAATAATGTTTTACAGCCCATGTGAGGACAAAGCTCATCACAGCCTTACACAACTCATGGGAGGACAAATCACATCATAGGTTAAATCAATACCCCAGTGATTGACCTCTCGTAGATCGTCAGAAAAGCACAGAAATGAGTCTCTACAGTGTATGAGAAATAGCAGGTATATTACTGTAAATTTAAAACACATACCAGGTAAAATAAGAGAGAACAAAAGTGTGTATGATTACCTCTTCTCTACCATTTGACATTTCAGTACTGGCTGGGGTAGTAGATTCTTCTTCTAGGATGCTCTGTTAGAATGTGGATATTGCAGAATGATTAGTTCCAGTAATGGGTGAATTGGGTGTATTCATTTGATTTCCGACTGAATATACATTATTAATTCTTGGAAACTATTTGGCCCAAAATTACTAAATAAATTAAAACAATGGAAGGAGTTTGTGATTGCAAACAGAACCATTCCTGGTTTGAACCCTGTCCTATATAATTACAGATGTATAGGGTAACACATCTTCAATTAGCACTTTTGTATGTAACTGATCACTGGCAATTTTTTTTCATCATTTTAAAGGCCAAGTCCACCCTAACATCCCGGCCCCCCCACTCAGTGTTATTTAGGGTACGCATATGCGTGTTCCAACCGACCCCCCCTTTTCAGCAAAAGTCCGGTGTGTAAAGTCAATACGGCTCGACCTTTTTCTTTTGTATACGAGCCTTTTTCAGCATCCCCCCCTTTTCAGCAAAAGTCCGGTGTGTAAAGTCAATACGGCTCGACCTTTTTCTTTTGTTACGAAAAGGACATTTTGGCAACACGCATGCGGTCATTTTGAAACCTGAGTGGGGGGGCCGGGCCTAACATCAAGTTGATTTGAATAAATAGAGACAAATAAAACAAGCATAACACTGAAAATTTCATCAAAATTGAATGTAAAGAAAGTTATGGCATTTCTAAGTTTTGCATATATATAGTTTCACAAAACAGTGATATGCATTAAACACGGGAAGTATATAAATGCACATGAGTGAGCCGATGATGTGACACACTCACTATTCTATTTCATTATATGAAATTTCAAATATTTCAATTTGTATAGATTTGATAATAAAGAAGCTCTCAATTGAATCACAACAAGTTATTTAATAGTAACATATACCTCTCTCCATGGTGAGTCTGGAAAATTATAATCATATCTCAGTTCTGTGTTTGCTGGAATATCGCAAATAGTCTTTAGGAACAAGAAAGATTTTCCCTCTATCATTACTTTCTCCATTCGTGTATTCGGACTTCTCCACTCATCATTGGCATATCGAAGTATTCCACTTAACGCTTCATCACTTGCATCAATGCTATAAGTGATAGATTTTTTTTTTAAATAAGGAAAAAAAGAGTTTTGAAAGAGTTGTGAAATTTATTAAGAGCTACACTGTATATGTATTTGTTTTACTTAAACATTTCTGTGTGACCATGGATGATATTAAGGGCAGTTCATTGCGCTTGTTTTTTTTTTTTACAGCATGCAATGTGACATATACAAAATATATGTACATGTAGTAAAGTCATGTTTTGGGCTGTAATTACATTAAAATGTGCCTCACATCATCAAATTTAACCAAACTTGGTGGGAGGCAATTTTCAAGCAGTTGGATACATGTCCTCTAATTTTCATACGGCTACATGCAGAGCTATGAAATTCAAAATTTCAAATCAAGTTGAAGATATTTTGCATTTTCTTGAAAATCATTATTTTCAATTTTTGCAAAGTCAATCGATTGACAGTTTATATTGGTAGGTTCAAGAAACACTGTAAATAAAATTTGCATTAAAAGTATGGATATCATTCTGTAGATAGCCTACAGTCAGAATTTGTTTTCTCAAAAGGTTTCATCAACATATATATGCCAAATTAATGAACACTAAGTTGAAGAGCTGAAACTTTAAAATAATATTTTGACAAGTTGAATACATATTATAGAATATCGTCATTCAGAGGGCAAACAAAGTATTGGGGTGCAGGTGAAAGACTACACTGACACCCCAAAAAAACAAAAACAACAACAAACAAACAAAATATGGAGGCAGAAAGATTTGCATACCGGTACAACAAACATAAATGAATATTCTCTTCATGAACATTTGTCAGACAAGAAGATAAAAGAGAAGTTTCCTGCTTACCCATGTAGTTTGCCATTAAGTCGGTAGACATATAGGTACGTTTCATTTGTTAATTCGTCAAGTTCCTTCCCACTTAAATGTCTTCCTTTATATTCGCCGACATACTGCCCCTTTATTATTGCCTCAGTAGTAAAGAGACCCTTCCCTGAAAGAAAAAAATACAGGACATGTATACACTCAAGTTTTTATTTAAAAATTACAATATTAATGACTGAAAGTATCACACTGGAAATAGCCTGCTAGTTGATTTCTGTAGATATGGCCAAAAGCTAGAAAAGACATTCTTCTTTGCCCTCCTTGGGGAAATTTGTTAAAAGCATCAAACTAATTTTTGAAATAAAAATCCTGGTAATCTGGTATACACTCACATACTTCTTTATAAACTTACATTTGCCATAATGTGTGGCCCACAATTTTTTTCTTCAGATATTCATTTACATGATACTATAAACTCACCAACAGTATCGTTAACATAGCGTACTTCCAGGAAACTGGGGTCATTCTCTAAAAGGTTGCTGAGCTGGTTACGAGGTGACACTCTTTTCATGCGCTGTGAGGACTTAAAGTAGATATTCATTGATTTTAAAAACTAACTTTATTTACATTATTGCAAAGTTGAAACTTTGATTCGACAAGGTTATCAAAATTCAATGCTTGGAAACATTCGAAGTAATGATTATTATAAATTACAAAACGCTTAAATACAGCCCCGGCATAGCACCTGAAGAGCTCTCCGAACGCTGCTGAGATGTGTGAGATCACAGTATGGACACGATTTGCACAAGCAGACGATATCCCATGACATCTCACACATTTTCAGTGCCTGTGTTTTCATCTTCTCTTGAGTTCTTTCTCTTACTTCACTACCGTCAGGCCAAATCTATTGCCTCACTCTAAACCCCGCGCATGGTTTTATTTTGATGACAAATGCAGCGATACAAAAATAAAGGAATCTGTCGCTTGTAATCAAAATAAGACGCCATTGTATATTCAGCTGCACACACCGGGGTATGTTCGGCGTTTCAAGAGGGAACAAATGCCGTCCTTAATATCATTCCGGGGGGTTTTCAATTTGAAAGTCTGGTTTCTTTGATTGTTAATTAATCCCTATCCTGTGTATTTACAAGCAAAAGATTTTAGTTATCAGAATCTGGTCATATCCCCTTTTGAATGGTTTGACATGCCATTACATTTATATACACTAAACTCATTATAATTTGAGAAATAATAGCTTTGCAATTATGTTCATTCTCTATGGGATGTCGTCTGCTTGGGCAGTGTTGGTCCATATAGTGACGTCATTAAAAACATTGTTATTTTTCCGGCGAATCTCTCGTATATCCCAACTGCTATGGAGGTGGTTGTATTTGTATTTGTATAAATCACCCGATATGTAGTTGACCTAAAACTTGTACGATGGCCATATGTTAGCTTACCAGTTTCTAGTGATACATTAGTTGACATATTTGTGATCTTCTTTGAATTTCACCTTTAATGCAAATACACAGATACAGTACATGCAAATTCAATTCACTACTGTCAACCAATACATCTGGATTATTCTACAAATTTATACACAGATCTGTGCAAATTTGATTATTTCATAAGACATTAGAAAAATAAATATAACATACTGGTACATGTGATATGCATGCTTATATCTTGGCGCAATTAAAGTTCATGCTTAATATATGAAAGAAGAAGGAACGATTGAAGAAACAAGTGGAACGCATAAAAGCCATAAAGGATAGTGGATATATAAAGAAAGGTATGAAAATGAACCTGAAATGGAAAAATTGACAGTCATGAATGAGCAACTAATTTGGAAAACAAAGGGTTCAATGAGTGGTCACAATTATATGCTAATAAGATGGAATTTTAAAAGGAATCAGGAATACAGAAGGGAATTAGAAAGGGATCACAAGTAATGCATGCAAAACAAATGGGATTCAGTGTACGAAAACCAAAAGACAGACAAAGAAGAATGTGAAGAAGAAAAAAAAAACATTACGTAGTCTAATACAAGCCCTACATGTATGTATTCAGATACACTTGCATACTGAATTTCACAATTGATGTGTGCTTGTAAGAATAATCAATCAAATAAAAACTCTTTTTTTTTAATGTTTGACTTACCATGTTTTGTTGCTTGACTTTTGCACATTTCCCTAAAAAAAAAATGAAAGGCAAGAAAAAGATTGGCAGCACATTTTACAAAATAAGTTACAATCAATGTATCACTTTTATATCAGTTGATACAAAAAGCATCTGACAATTTGTTAAAAGAGATTGATGTAAAATTGCACCGAAAGCTTGTCAAAGATAAACAAATCAATTGACCCCCCCCCCCCCATTGTGTCGCCTTCGCTGAGCACTACTTATTGAGAAATTTGGTAGCATTTGGCCAAATAGACTCAAAACAGGTGATGTAATAAACACAAGCAAAATTTGTGTAAAGTCCACCAAAAACATGAGTTGAGTTGAATTAATAGAATAAAATCAAACAAGCAAAACAGTACAAATTTAATCAAAATCAGATGAAAATAAAAAGTTACGGCATTCTGAAGTTTTGCATTATTCGTGAAATCGTGACAGGCACAACATAGGCTGTATGCAAATTAGTGAGCCATGACGTCATAAGCTCACTTTTTCTTTTGTATTTTATTATAATGAAATCTCGATTATTTTATTTTGTTCATAGATGTATACAAAGAATCTCTTCTTTGTATCAAAATAAGTTACAGTAATGATGATATTACACATTCCATGAGGAGTCAAACCATGTTTTATAAATTCTTTGAGCCGAAAAATGAAATATTTGTAATTTCATATCATAAAATACAAAAAGAAAAGTGAGCTTAAAGGGCAATCCAACCCTTCTAATAAGTTCACGTGAATGGAAGCAGAACAATCAAAGAAACAGAATGGCGAAAGTGTGAAATGAATTGGACCACTATTAAGAAAGTAATGAGTGTTTGAAATTTGAGACCACTATAGCTATGCGAGTCTCAAATCGGCAATTTTGTCAGTGGATTGTGACGAAGTGACGGATTACTATCTCCTTTGTCGTGTAGAAAAATATCACTTATTTCTGTTTTTCTCCCAAGTGCCTTCACCCTCGGGGCACTACTTAAAATATATCATGGAGAGTACATTATTACAGGTCCTCTAAAAAGAAAAGACCATCATGAGTCAGACATTTATGAAAAGTTGAAATTTTAGTCCTTTTGCGTATTAAAGCACATGGGAAAGTTGACCGCCACTACATCACATAGACATTATCAAGTCAGCCAATTTAAAGGGCCTATACCTATTGTAATTGCAACTTTAAAAAATTCTTAACTTTCTATTTTTTCCCCGATTTCATTCAAACTTTCCTCAGTATGCTTCTTTTATTTTTCTGCTTTATTCCAGACAAGCTTGTTATTAAAGGTAATACAAAGTTTTGGTATGGGGTCATGAATTTGGTTCAAATGAACATATTGGAAGCATATACGATCCTACAATATTCAGTGATCGTTGTCGCGGTCGAAATCGACTCTAAAGTTATGCAATTGTAAATAATAAACACTTTGTGGTGAATAGCTCCCTCTCAAGGTCAAGATATTAATTAAGCTATAAAACAATGTTTATTGACTAAAATTGACTGATTAGCTATTCTCGTTCGGAAATTATATACCACAACTACATACTCTGAGATTTTCATGGTCGCAGCTACCATTGTACGGCCGTAGGAGCTATTTGAAATTTATCAAAATTTACCGGGAGCACCGGTAAATCTTTATATTCAATTTTTCTCGAAAGCAGAAGTGTTTTAGGGGCGAAAATTTCTGGTGTTTTTAATACATCCACAGGGGCATCTTAATATATTAATATTGTAAAGAATCACTATCCACCCATTTTTCAAAATTTCCCAAAACTTTGTAATACCTTTAAGGTTGGATTTCCCTTTAAATGAACATGAAAAGTTTCCCACATAATTTGGGATACTTAATAATCATTGGGTGCAAGTTTCATCACCTACTTTAAAAATGAGAGATACAGTTCAGAACTTAGCCTCAGTTTTTGATGCAAAGTTGAACATACATCAAATAGAATAGCGACGATAGACAGACACAATGGCCAAATATGTGTCCGGCTTTGGTAGAATTTTGTGTGTCAAGGGGTAAGAGTAACTGCAGTATAGTCAGTTCAGAATAGGATTACTGGTTGGAGTTGGAAAGAATAGTTAACTTTGGTCTGACAGCCATTGTGGTTACTAAAGTCGATACTAAAGCCTCTAAACTCATTAGGTCTATACATTGACTTACGGTATGACTACGCAGTCTACAGACTACACTAGTAGATTAAGTGTTGACATCTTGTAACTTTATATAGCTTTGAAATATTGTATAAAATACAATCAGTAAAACACTTAGAATGATTAATTTATTGTAAATATCTAGTAGCACTCATAAGGGAAGTTTATGAAAGTATTTCTATCCTTGTTGAGATTTTATATGGTTCTTATATAACAATAATAATATTCAGCTTTTATATAGCGCTTTAATAATACAATGTCTCCAAGCGCTTTACAGATCCTATTACCCCGGTCATTGGTTTCAGTGCTTGCCCGCATACACTGTGTGCACAATCTCCACTCCCTGGGGAGCATTCCAGCCAGGCGTTACTTGACGCTCAAAAACTGTTTGACCAACAATGACGGTCGCATCCTACCGGGTACCCATTTAACACCTGGGTGGAGAGTAGCAAGTGCAGGTTAATATCATGCCAATGGCTTATTGAACAATAAATTCTTTATTTGACTTTAAATTGGTTTCAAGTTATAGATCTTGTTAGTCTGGTTTGCCTAGTAAATCAAATTAGATTGTTTGGTATGTACATAAGTAGTGAGGTAGAAAACTGCTAGTTCAGTATACATTGTTGATGATGGCCGGTGTACGAAATCTAGAGTAGATTTGGAACTACTATAGAATTTAAGAGGATATTAAAATTATTACTATTTCTAAACAAGAACACAAAGACTTTGTCTGTATATTTCAGAAAAACGGACTCAGGTTATCGTGCCTTATAAATCGCTGGAAGTATGAAAGGGAATAAGATACTATTTTTGTTATTTACTGAGTGACTGAGTGAAAGACTTTTTGATTCGATACACAGAAATGAACGAATGGGACATGATTATGGCCTACATGTACATGATGTGTGAGACTTGCGAGAGAGACAGAATCATGATAGTTCCTACTTATTTGATACTTAATTATCGGCAGTGAGAATAATACTCACCTATAAAAGGATGGAATTTATTGTGTAACTGGTTTGAGAATCTAGAAGCTAACTTTGAGGGAAAATGGCCAAATCAATGCAGAGTTTTCCCAGAGAGTGAAACAATGTGTGTTGCACCTGAAGAGACAGAGTGTCACAAAAGGAAAACAATTGTCATACGTCACAATGAGTTTAAGCGTATACTAGTACTACTAGTAATAGTACTACTAGCTATAGGTCTAGATCTAGTCTCTAGATCTAGATCATTCTAGTAGGACGACGCATGGTTGGTCTGGTTTCATTAGGAATTTGTGTGTGTGTACCGGTATGTGAGCTGTATCGGATTACAATTACAGAGTGAATTCAAACACACAAACTGTGTTGTTTCGGAGATCCTAGCGCTCCAGATTTAATTAAAGACTAGAAAGTAGACTAGGTGATCGCAGCAACCATCCAAATTATGAAGTAGATCTAGAGTAAAGGAGCCGGTAAACGACCAGCTCCAGTTTTCGGCCGATCCATTGGATGCATGGTAAAATCCCTTTAAAATACATCGCATAATAGCATATCACATATCCCACACATACCATACCATGCCAGAGTCACTGAAGAACCACATTTGCAATGGAAAATATATCCTAAAATATCACATTTTAGCGATGTAATCTTAGTTTCTTACGCGTGTATGTAAGAAATATGGGTACCATAAAATGAGCTTTATTTCAAGTATTTTTCAGAATTTAGAGCCTGATTTTGTGTTAGTCGCAAGCTCAAAAGTATCTCATCGCATGTATTAAATCAATGCAGCCGGACCCCGCCACGCACACACGATATGTCTGTCTGATTCAGATTCCAACTTCCGATCACCGCTGTGCCTGTCTTCGACCAGGCGAGCACCCGGGAGCTCCGGCGTGGGATGATACCTGCTCCGCCCGCTTATGCTATACATCAGCGCGGAAACGCACGGCGCGCGCGAGCGCTTCCTATTGACTTTGTACATGCGGTCGTAAACTGAATCGCTAGGTCGATAACTGGCTCCAAAACAGTGAAAATTGAAATGAATATTGTCATGGCAATTCGGGATTTTTTTCTGGGATTCTTTTGTTTAAATAATAATAATATTTGCTTCATGATTTGAACAAGAAATGATAATAAATAGGAAGTAAAGAGTCCAAAAAATAGGATTTTGTCTTAAGTGGCCGAAAACCGGCTCCTTTACTCGAGACCCTATCTTATTATTTATGGTTTAGGAGACTGGCATAAAATTAAAAGTGGTTATAAGTGTATTCTTCTTTCCAGACCAGTTTTAACTTTTATTTGTATTCCCTAGATCTTGAATATATTAATTTTAATAGTTTTCGCTACAATGATGGCAAGAGAAAAGTTTTACAATTATAGTCTACTTTTATAATTATAGATTCTAGCCTAGATCTAGACTAGATCTAGACCCTATAGCGATTGAGACAAATTCGCTACAAAGTAGTCTAGATCTAGGTCTACAATATTTCTGTCAGTTTGAAGGTTATTTTTGTCCAAATCCAAAAAGAAAATTTTCTGGACTAGATTTAGATCTAGAGTCTAGACAGTACTCAGTAGATTTCTAGACTAGATTCTTAGATTTCTAGACTAGATTCTAGATCTAGTATCATCTAGATCTAGTCTACTCTCTTGTCACTGTCTCTACTATTGTACTAACTCTAGATCTAGTCTACTCTCTTCTCACTCTAGATCTAGTCTATAGATCCTCTACTCTCTAGACAACTTCACATCTAGACTAGATTCTATTTCTAGGCAACACAATTCACAAAATAGTAGGCTACTACTATAGGCTAGCATCTAGGCTAGCCCCAACTCCAGGGAGCTCCGCCGCCGACGCCTCCGGCGGCGGAGCTCCCTGGAGTTAGCCTAGCCCTAGACTCAGTCTTACGTTAGATAATGCGATTATCTCTAGATCTTTTAGGTACCGTACGTCCGTAGGGGTCTATTTATTACCGGTAATTATTCTACCTAACGTTAGATCTACTCTACAAGAATAACAACGTGTAGGTTTAATGTTAGAGTTTGGCAAAAGAGTGACTTACCGTGAGTTACACTTTGGCGGGCAGAATGAACACGTCACGACGACTTCGTCTGATCGAACTTCGGAGATCCAGTCTTTCTTCAACTTCACCAGGCCAGGATGGCCGTCCTGCAATTGAAATCCAGTGTCCTTAATTGTAGAAAATAGCGATATCTTTATTTTAACCCCCCTTGTGTACAATATCAATCAGGTACCGTACCGGTATTTGTTGAAAATATGAAGATTTTTACACCAGGATCAGGAACTTCACGATCCACTCGCTGGTCACGTAATTGGAAAACACGTGTGGCATACATTACAAATATGCTAAGATCAGAGCGCCGGGGCGGCCGCAGCGCGGGCATGCATATTGCGCTGCGCATTGCCTTGTATGGCGGCGCGCGCAAACACACTTCCTGGCAGTAAGCTGCCGTAATACACGCTGATGGCGCTATTGCAAAATCCAAACTTTTTTGGACGAAACTGTGTTACCTTCCAAACACCAATAACCATGTTTTACTATGCATTCGTGGACATTGCCCAAAACTTGGGAAGATGTTGTTATGGACATGTAGATTAAAAATATGACAAAAACTTCCGAGGTCGTGTGTTTCACGTCCTCGGAATGGAATTTGTCCTCAGACTGCTGGTCAATTTCCAAGTGCTTGTCCTCTAAATGGTTGTCATACAAACGCACACAAACACCAATCATACAGAACAGTAGTGCACCCATTCATCATACACATTTCCATATGTCCCTTATCAATCACTTTACCTGGCTGAGATATGGTACATGGCGTTGCTGGTAGTCATTGAAGATCGAATTGGCATGATCATGATGATGCGACGAGAAAAAACGGCAAAACACCCCAGATTTAATAGAAAAACCATCATCTTTTCCAGACACAAGACGGGGCAGGCAGTGATGTTTCCTCTTACCACTGCTGGTGCTAGTGCTTCCAATAGCAGCGATTCCTCCGTAACTACACCATTGCGTACCGGCGACCGAGCACACGGTTCGTGGCAAAATTTGTGCCGAAAATTTGCCGGAGATAGGGCATAACATTATGCACGGTCAAGCTTCAAAATATCCTAAATACCACTCTGAATATATAAGTAGACCTGTATTTATTAAGTATGAACTATAGTTCATGAGAGCATTCACTGTATGTATCCCAGTACGAAGACACTAATTCATCCGATTGTTATGATTACACATTGCATTGGTTGGCGCATATATAGACTATATCCTGCAATAATGATGCGAAGTTTCCAGAGCATTATACAGTATTAGATTGCATCAGCTGTGAGAATGTGTATACGCGTACGTGCACGCAAGGGCAAGGGCGATGGAGGATAACAGGATGAGAGTTAAAAATTCCATAACCGCAATCCAACTTACTTACCAAGACCTAAAATATGTAATGCCTTTTTGTTTCTCATCTGTTTTAGATATAGGCATATGAATCTGATATCTTGTTATTGTATAATAGTATATCCTAATGTAGATTATAGGCCTACCACACTGTGAACATGCAAAATACTCCGATATCTTATAAAAAAGATCATAATTGGGAGAAAATATAAAAACCTCAAATATTGACAACAACTGAATTATCAAAGAGTCCATGCACCCCTTATACATAATTATAGAAGAAAAAACTGTTGTGATTCTTGCCATTGTCATTGTCACTGTTGATGCTGTTATTATTATTATCATTATTATTATTATTATTATTATTATTATTATTATTATTATTATTATTATTATTATTATTATTATTATTATTATTATTATTATTATTATTATTATTATTATTATTATTATTATTATTATTATTATTATTATTATTATTATTATTATTATTATTATTATTATTATTATTATTATTATTATTATTATTATTATTATTATTATCTTTAATAAGTTTTTTTCTTCTTAACTTATTAATTATGTACATGCAAGTCGGGGACACCACTGGAAAATAAGCTCTCGAGCTTTAATGGGTTATCCTGTTCAAGCTGACTTAATTTTGATCTGTTATTCTTTTATATTTTTGTTGGAAGCTTGGCGAATACAATCAATCAATCAATCAGTCACGTTCAATATCGTAAATATTGTCATCTTAACTTTTAATCTTCTTTCTCGGTTTTTGTTTCGTTTTCCCTTCCTTCAACTTCTCTTATTTTGTCCTAACATCTCTTTTTATGTATAGCTATCAACATGTTTTTGCTATATCCTTATTATGATTTACATGTTCTTTTTCATAGTTGCCGTTTATGCATGGGTTTTCATTTTGGTTGTTCTTTGCTTTCTCTATTCAGTGATGTAGGCCCCTACGTATTTCTTTATTTTTTCTTCTCTCATATATTTCTTTCATATAGGATCATGTATATATAATTATGTATATCGGTCTTGGGGCAGACCATCGGTCTCGTGTTGGCTAATATAGTCTCATGAGCTGTCGTTCTGCTGAGATGATCCCGCCCTCTTTAACCGATGAAAATCATTGCACATGCACGGGCGTACAATTTGTCATCATTTCAACTGATTATCTAGTTTCACATATGAAATTAAAGTTTCCAAAATCGTTCCCAGTTTTGAATTTCGATTTAAGAATATTATACCTCAGTCATCTCACGCATTATCCATAGGCTAAAAAATTGGCCTTTATCATCTTACTTTTTCATAATCATCCACCATTCCCCTTCATACCCCCCAAATCATTTAATTAAAACAAAAAAACAAACAAAAATCAGAGAAGAAAATTTAAGATCAAAACATTACACAGAAACTGAAAATGCCATTGTAATACTTGGCATATAAACTCATTCAACAAAACACTAGATCTATTTATCATTATGCATCATTCACGTCCTCTTTATCTGCATGTCAATCAATATTAATTGAGTAGAAATATAGATAATATTATATAGGCCCATGTTAAAGACGTTCGTTTTTGAAGTTTAAGACCCTATCCGGTCTTAAGACCCAGCTTGATATAATTGGAAAACTGAATGAATGTAGGATACAAATATAACGGAATAAATTACCCTTTCATTATTGAACAAAAGCAAATTAAAACCTCATTTTCCGCACCCCTCCAAATACGGGTCAACAGTGGTCAAATTTGCCGAAGTTACAATGACGACATAAAATTATTATTGTGGTCACGATCTGTTCACCTAATATCTGAGGCGATGAGCTGTGATTAATAATTAAATGCAAATTTATTGTGAATATGCGTACTCCCCATCGATGTCATCAAGTCGATAGGAAGTTTTAAGGTTGACAACTTCCGATTTTCAAAGCTTTAGATTTTGAATTTTCAGAGAGCTAATACTCCTCTGACAGACATTAAAATGGTATAAAACTGATATTATTGTAATCCATGGCTTATAAGCTTTCCGTTGATATATGATTTATCCATTTCATTTTTCAGTTCGGATATGGTCTTTAATGAAGAAGAGGGAAAAGAAGGAGGAGGAGAGGAAGAAGAGGAAGGAGAAGAAGTAAAAGAGAAGACCTGCAAACAACAAAATCTAGTATTCTGAGAACGTGATGAAATCTTTTTAAAATACAAGGTGCTGCGGTTATCAGCATCATCACCGTCATCATCTCGTCAATTCTCTTATTCCATTACAATTCCTTTACCCATATAAAAGCACACCCAAGTGGGTTTTTTTAAATGAAAGAATTAATCCAAATTGTTCAAACAAAGGCTTTAAAAAAACACCTTTGTGACTACTGCATCCACTGTGTTTCCAAAAGCGTTCACTTTCAACAATATTTTAAATTAGACCTAACTTTTATTGAACAAAAATCACTAAATCTTTGTGAAAGTGATGAAAGACAGATTTTTTTATTTCGAATATGAAAAATACATTTTGAAATTCGAAAAGTACATTTCTAATAACATTTTAATCCATGAAACACCATTGTAAGAAAATAACTTGTACAAATTATATTAAATTAGGTATTTTGCATTTCGACTACTCTTTCGTTGTTGAAAATGAACTGAAAATAAACTAAGTCAAATAAAACTTAACCTTATGAAATCTATACAAAAATGATGAATGAAAAAATACATATCAAGCAATTTTAAGTTTTCTAGCACAGACTAAAACAGATTTCTACATTAAGAGCATGAAAGGTGTACAATGCACATCTCATCTTTACATGAAATAGAAAGATATTTGCTATAATAGAGATTTGAAGCATATTTCGTTAAGATATTATTGCCGCAAATAAAGTTATAAAAATAAAACAGATCTCCTGACGAATCTATAAATTGCTCGTAATCCTATAAACACTGTATACTTTATTACAATTTACATTCTACATGACGCTGAATGAAATATATCTATGCAAGGATTCCATACCACATTGGAAAGGTCAATGATTACATTTTGTTTGAATGCACAATGTTTTCGAAAGACACGTTGGTTCTTCAAAAAATCTTTTCTAAAGAGGCACTATACAATACACAATGCAAATCCATTATCACACATCACTGTATTTAATACAGTTTGGACATAATATCGAATAGTACGTTCCGTTTGTACAAAGTAGAAAACAAAGAAGGCTGATATTTTTGTTTTATCGGCAACCAGTCAAATATATACTTTTTAAAAAGGAATTGCTATCACTATTAAAGAAAAACATTTATTTAAAATCCATTCACCCAAATCTACCTTCAATTAAGGATTTGATGCAACATCTATAATTATGTAGATAAACGATTATACAATAACCTACAAAAGAAACAAAAACAAAAACACAAACAAACAGACACGATACATTCAAAAGGCAACCCCAAACAAAACAAAGTACAAATATTCCCCTCAAGGACTTGCCCCAAGCTATGCTACTGCTAGTTCCAAACCCCTTTGTTTGCCTTCTAACTGTTAACCTTGGGGAAAAAAATATGAAAGACTTGTTAGACTTTGGCCTCAGGATAACGATAATACAAAATTAATATCTATCTACACATTTTTATGTGCATGAATTCAAGCTCTTGACACGGTTGAATCAACATTCAGAAGTGTTTTTTGTTTTGTTGGAGGCAGTCGAATTTTGTCCCGTACTTCGCAGGGAACTATCTAAATTCTAAGTGTTTACTTTCATGTTGTATAACTGTTCACTGTCTACGATTAATTACCCTAGTAGAAGTAGTAGAAGTAGTAGTATAGTAGTAGCAGTATTCGTGTATCAAGAGAGAGAGAGAGAGAGAGAGAGAGAGAGAGAGAGAGAGAGAGAGAGAGAGAGAGAGAGAATGAGTGGGAATGTCATTTATACATTGTGTAGTTTTGTTATTCAATCATAAATTCTAAATTACTCGTATCCAACATCCAGTTTTGAAAAAAAAATACTATAAAAGTCTGCTTGTACATTTATTGACGTATGCTATTGCAACATATCCACATTATCTTGACAGAAACACCTTTTCTGGTACCATCATAGTTATTACCGAAAACAAAAAAGATGGCTATGCTGACGTATGAATTAAAACGTAAAAGTCTTTAGCATTTTTTCCTTTTTGTTTTACAGGTAGTTTGAGAACCACTTTTTATTGGCTTGTTGGAAAATAATTCTTGACCCTGTCTGCCATTGTAATATAAACAAATATTAACCAACCTGTCGACAAATCTCGCTTTCTTGGCCGACGACCCTATTCACCCCCCCCCCCCTCCCCCCCCCCCCCCCAAAAAAAGGGAGAAAACGTATAATGACGACGCCTAGCGAAATACAAACAAGGCTGAAATCGGGGCTAAAATCAATTATTGATCTATGATAATTATAGGGTCTTCTTATCATGAACTTCTGATGTGTTTCCATAGCAGACGCCTTCTTGCTGCCTTTGCTTCCTCCTTCGGCTCCTCCTTCTTCTCCTCCTTCTTCTTCTCCTCACTCTTCTTCTTCTTCTCCTCCTCCTTTTTCTTTTCCGCTGCTTGTTGTTCTTCAACTTTCTTCTTCGCTTCTTCGAGCGCAGTCTTCGTCCCGGCTAAAGTGGCTTTTGTTTTGTCCAATTCTTCCTGAACAGTCATTGTAAAAAAAAAGGAGAAGAACAAAACCGAAAAGGCAATTAATTTCAATAGCAAAACAGCACGCTACGTATACTTTGTGGTTATGATAATCATGTCAGATTTCCGACAGAGCACGGCACGGAGAGAGAGAGAGAGGGGTGAGATAGATATAGATAGAGAGAGAGAGAGATAGGAAGAGAGAGAGAGAGAGAGAGAGAGAGATGAGAGAAATTAAAAGAGAAAGGAAGATCATAGAGTGGTTATTTCAAAAAAATTGTGCCCAAATTAAGAATTTATTTCATGATAACTTGCATTCTGTCCAATGATACCCTTATCATAACATTTCTGCCGCTCACGGCTAAAAATTAGGCCTTTATCATCTTGCCATCACCGTCGTGGCGCACCTTGACACCGAATGAGAAGAAATCAAGTTGTCATGCACTTCTTTTATTAATGAGCGCAAGATTTTTGCCATCATCATCATACAAATTAATAAAGGATAGTGGAGAAACTGTGAGGGTAAAGGGCATATATTGTAATTCAATGGGTCTGTAATAAACTGTTATGAACCCGCAAAGAAGAACAGTTTTAGCAATTTTCAGAACTTGGATGCCGTCTTGTTCCTCCTTTCTCTCTTTTGCTCTGACATATTAGAGAGAGAGAGAGAGAGAGAGAGAGAGAGAGAGAGAGAGAGAGAGAGAAAGGGGGGGGGGGGGAACGGTGATATGTCGCGGACTTTTTCGCTAGTAGAAGGTCAATCATTATAAATCAGGAAAATGTATTCACCGTCTATATAGACGGGGTTTCCCTAATATGAATATAATATAACGTGTTTACAATGAGTGATATCGTTTTGCGACAAATAAATAATGATTATCATTCAATAGAATTCATCGTGTATAATGTATTCAACATGTGTAGAATGAGTGGGTTTTCCATGTCTGTCATACACATGATCTACTCGATTCGCCGGTATAGTGTCCGGTATAGTGTTTGAATGGCTGAGAAACCAAACAAGAATGGCGCTTCATTCATGCTCCGATGGTGATTTAATTGAATTACTACTAATTCATTGTGCCAGTTGGAAGACGGGTGGTTTATGCATAACATCGTGTTTTGTACGTTGGTACATGACTGTATTTAAGCCAGCCCTTGATGGAAATCGCGAAACCTTTATAATGATGCTAGAATGATTCAGGGTAAATAACATGGCATGCACATTGAAAATAAGCTGCCACGTTGACCCTTTCTAGCCTTTTAAAGGGAAGGTTGCGTTCTCGTCAATATGAAAATAATTGTGAGCAACTGAGCATAAACGTTCTTTGCGTGTCGGCTAGATGGAAGCGTATTTGTATCAAAAACAGAATTGCCCTTAAAATGCCCTCATTTTTCTATAAAATGTGACAAGAAATAAGAGACGTTTAAGTACAGTGCGTGTAAGAGGACACTTTTTTTTTTTTTTTTTTTTTTTTGGTCACGAATTTTTTTAATTTGACGTTTTGCTCCGTTGGGGGGGGGGGGGGGAGGGGGGGGGGGGGGGGGGGGGGGGGGGTAAGGTCACCTTTTCAGGTCAGCCATTGGAATTTTTTTGATAAAAAATGTTTAAAAAAAATTTGGGGGCCGGGGGGGGGCACGCCCCCGTTTTTCAGTACATTTTGGGCAAATTTAGGATCCGCCACTGTACACAATACACAATTTAGAGTGCAAAGGTTATATAGTCATGCATTGTTGGCAGTATCATTTGCTTAATGGTGTTGTTCTTAATGTTGTTTCTGTTTATCAAGTTGCTATTGAAAAATCATGTGAACTTAGCCAAATATGGCCACAGGTTATTATTATAAAACAATTCACTTGTATATGAACGTGTTCTTTTTAAAACGATTTAAGTCTCACTGCATATAAAACCCAAATATCACATACATAATAAGATATATACATGCCAGCTTAAAATTATAATGCACATCGAATGTAGGTCTCTACTAGGCATAATACCGTAGGAATAGTACACCCAGATGTATTATTATATGGTATTCTATGTATTGGTATCCCATCATGTTGTTATTGCTGTTTTTCGCCCTCGTGTTGACATTGTTTTAAAATGGAAAATAAATGAATTTAATTTAATTAATTGACTGTACTTCTACTTTTGACATTAGATTCTGAATGCTTGACAGCTATACAATACATGCATACCAACGCAAGTTGTGAATCTGGTTATTGTTGGCTAATGCATAGGTTTGACCTTCTGGTTCAAAATCGATTGTTTTGAAGCGCCATATAAATTATTATAATGATCGAGGAAATTATGGTAATGTGCATGATAGGCGTCGTCTTTTACTAATAATCGAAAAATGCCCATGTTGTTTTTTGTTTTGTTGGCGTTTCATTCTTTTTGAGAATAAAAGTACGCCTTTTACTTATTTTTCTGTCTTTTTCATTTACTACAGTGTATCTATAAATTCGTTCTTCATAAATCTCTAGTTTTTGATAATATTTTGATGACACTCAAATTATGACACTCAAAACATATAGATACATGTTTTAAAACTGATATTACACATTTCCTTGTCATATCAAGCTAAACTGTAGCATAACGGACATGGCAAGATGTGTGTAACGGATGTTTTTTTCCTTTCATCATAATTTATTACAGAGTTATACAAAAAGGAAACCGTGCATAAAATGCCAGTACTTGTGAATCGTATTGGTATGCGCATCAGTTATTAATGAACGTGTCATGCCCTTTTGCCTGATACTAGCTTAGCATGGTAGCGCAAATATCTCCTGAGTTATCGCCACTTGTTTGATATTTGATAAGTGAACATGTGCCTTGTCCATAACTGGGATTAGACAGTACAGACACGGTCAGTACCCGTTTTACGTGGTGCAAATAATTTTGTTATAATCATTAGATACGACAATACACTGGAATTAGAGTGATGTACTCCAATGGAAGAAGAAAAAGGAGTATAAGTGGCTACATCATTTAAAAATCATACATAAAGCAAGATTTACTATACAGCTGTTTAAATCAATAATTTATCTATAATTGTGACTGTGCTATAGCCTTAAGGGCTTGGTGGTATAAATATCATAAAAACATTACCACCAAGCCCTTAGCGCTATATAAGACTGTGCAATGTACTACGTGATCCGAAACGTTATTAATATAAAATAATGAAGCTCATTACAATCCCGTTTGAATTTTGATAACCCCAATGATTTCAATACATTTTATATCATATCATGTATAATTTACATGTTCTATATATAGTATCAATTTAAGTCCTTTGGTGCAATACATTTAGATAAAAATGACTTAGACCTGGAAACGTCATTACAGCACGTACGCAACAGTAATTACTCTGGCAAAATACCTTGGCTGCATTGGATTAGTGACAGGGCAGAATATAGACTTACCTTTAGTTTATCTCCAGCAGCAATCGCCTTCTTTCTTTCATCGTCTAACTTGACCTTCTCTTTTATCGCATCCGCCAACTCTTTTGTATTCGCCTCCTTCTCCTTTTTCGTCTGCTCTAGTTGCTTTTTCGCTTCTTCGAGCTGGGTTTTCATGTCGTCCATCTCTCTCTGGACGTTTTCATTCTCTATCTCCCTGGTATCAAGATGCTGTACTAGAAAGTTGTTATCCTTGGTCAAAACCCAGCATTTTGAAGCAAAATAAGAAATGATGAGTAAAGAAATGCACATCAAGCTCAGTGATCTGTAGTTCGTTTGTGTCGCCATTTCGGAAGCCACGTTGCAAAATGTAGAGAGCGAACCAAAAGTTCAATACTGGTATACACGCATATACATATACCAACGCGACACTATACAAGCACCGTGTTCATAATTATATACGCGTAGACAAACAGCAAGTATATTATACGGGGAAAAGGTGGACCCGTGGACTTTTTATTATCGTCGAGTTCACTGGAGCGAAGATAGGCGACAATGAAAAGCAGGAATCACAATTCCATCATTCAATGATAACATGTTCTTTCACTTAGATTTGGTTTGGACGAGGGTGTGCGGCTGATCTGAAGCGTCTAAACCCATACAGAAAATGGTATTTGAATATTGTTATAGGGACTTCATTTCAAAACGCAAGCCATGGATAAGGTTTTGCCGTATCCATTTGCATGACTAATTTACACTTTCAAATACCATACCTACTTAGTAGTTTCAGCTGTTTGCTTTTCCTCTATTTTTTTAAACGTTGCAAGCTTTCTTGTACCTCTTATTGTACTCAAGCCTCTTTTTTTGATTAAAAAGGGATTAAAACCCGTCAGTTTGTAATGTTGCACATTGGAAAAGAACTTGTGGAAAAATCCACTAAAAAGTAAAATGAGCACCCGGTGATAGTGATAAATATTTGCGACCATCGGCGAGGACTTTGGATGAAAAAGAAAATAGTAATGTTAAAGGTAAACTACTTAGTCCCATTTGCAGGCCAAAAAAATGATAAGGTTAAATTCCAACGGCAACGAAAGGGCTTGAAAGTGGGAAAATAACGACTATTAGTTGTCGAATCGACTGTAGTGATTGCAATCACTAAAGTATATAGTCTGATTTTCAGACCCTTTCACCGAATGGTCGTACGTTTTGTGCTGCGCATAGATTCAATCAGTTTAATTATGGCCATTACAAGAATGGGGTTATTGATGTAGACAAATGCTCATGTACCCTTTGCAGCTCATTAATGTTATATATTTGTAAAGCTTTGATCCTCGATCCACTTTCATTTTCATGCATGAAGTCTTTCGTCTTCTTTGTGCATGGCTGGTCGTCAACGAAGTGGGGTCAAGTCTTTTGTCAACTCTGTTTGTTGCTACAACAGGCAGCCAGTGAAAAGGAATTCGTTTAATCAAATTATGAAAATGCTAGCAATATTTTAAACAAATAGAACTTTGTTATTCCTGGATCATTTTTCCTGATTGAGGTGTCATAATTATGAAAGGGCAGAAAATGAACTTTGTAGAAATGTGATTTTCTCTTTGAAATTCATATACCGTTCGCCAAATGAATTTTTGGTACCCTCTCTTCAAATTGTTTTTAAGCACTCATGCGTGAAATATGCATAATATGAGTTGCATCAAATGAAAGAGGAGGATCAATATCTATAAGCTTTACAAATATGTGTCATTAATTAATTATAATCGTGATGATTAAACATCAATAATTCTCGGTTTCGTTTTTTCTGGGACGCACTGTATACAGGGTTGGGGTATTTTTTCCATAAATATTGACCGGACTATATTTCCGGTTACCCCACTGGCGGCCCACTGGAAATAAACTCTCGAGCTTATTCAGCGGTTGGCTGAGTCGTTGCGAAATTTTCTGCGCGATTTCAAATTTAACCCCCCCCCCCCCTCGAAATGAATCCTGCCTACGCCCCTGATATGAAGTAATAGGGCGGCAAAACACCAGAGAGTAAGACGATTCGTGAAAGGGAAATAGCTTTTCTGTGCACAATATTCTCGTGGGCGATTCGAGGGGGGGGGGGGGGGTTGCTCTTATCCCATCTAGTTCTTTATGGTGAATTCTATCAAATTTATATTAATATATTGTTGGCACAATTCCTTACTACTATAGCAGTTATTTGCGAGCAAGCGGAAGGAGCGAGCATTTTTTTGATATATTTACTCGTATAAATTGCAAATTAAGGACATATTTATTATTCATAAATTTTACAACGCATGCAATTTTGACGAAATTTCAGATGGATTTCCTCTATTAAACGGCACCCGTTCGGAGACACGTAGACTCACATTTCCTTTTCTCATCATTAAAGTTTGGTTTTATAACCTGTATTTAGCATCATCCTATTGCGAGGCCTGCAAAGCGACCCGATTAGAAAAAGTAAGAAAGAACAATTCTAATAACTTACGAGGTTTAAAATCAACTGGATGATTATTCACTTCGCAATAGTTTTCTTTCTGAACTGAAAAGTCAGTTTTTTTTTCTTCTTAATTACAAATTTAGCCGGGGTACAAACTGCCCCTTGCTCCCTTCAGAACACGCTAGCGGCAGTGGCGGATCCAGGGGGCCGGGGGCCCGGCCCCCTCCTCCCTGGGAAAAAAAGAAGGAAAAAAGGGGGAAAGAGTTTTTTTTGTTGTTGAAAAAAAGTGTTCCTTTCCCACTTGTATCACAGAGAAACAACAGTTTAAGTTAAGTCTAACGTTAAAACTGTAGAGTACAGCCCTTGGCCTTAGGCCTATTTGAGGTCGTAACTGTTACTGTTAGAAAATCTAAAGTAAAATTAGACGGTTTTCACGGTTAGACCAAGTAATTGAGAAAAAAAAGTTTACCAGATACTCAGACCAGGTCAAGCAATCTTCTAGATCCATTATTAGGGTATAACGTTAGTAGATATAAGGTAGATGAAAGCGCAGATCCAGGGGGGGGCGAGCGGACCTTGCCCCCCCCCTCCGCAAAAAAGAGAGAGAGAGAGAGAGAGAGAGAGAGAGGAAAAGGGAAAGAGGAGAGAAAGGGAAAGAAATAAGAAGAAGAAAATAAAAGGGGGAAGAAGGAGATCGAGGGGGGGGGGGTGAAGGGGCCTTGCCTCCCCCAATAAAAAAAGATAAGAGAGAAGGAAGGAAATGGATAGAAAAAAGGAAAAGAGGAGATAAAGGGAAGGAAAATTGAGGAAGAAGAAAAGAAAAGAAGGGGGATATCAGTTGCAATTTTCCCGCCAACAAGTTGCAGATCAAGATGGGGTGGGGCAAAAGGCCCTTGCCTCCCCCCGCCCCCGCTAAAAAAAAAGAGAGAAGGAAGGAAAAGGAGAGCTAAAAGGGACCAAAACAGAGGAAAAAGAAAAAAAGGGTGAAAAGAAGGGGAGATAGATCAGCAACGTGTGGAGCAGGGTAGGGGCCGAAAGGACCTTGCCCCCCCCCCCCCAGCAAACCTAAAAGAGAGAGAAGGAAGGGAAGGGAAAGGGAAAGAGGAGAGAAAGAGAAAGAAAAAAAAGAGAAAGAAAAAAGGTAGGGGAAATCAGTTGCCAACAAAGTGTAGATCGGGGGGGGGGGGGCACTGGCGTACTGATCGGGGAGGGGGTTTGGGGGAAATAAAATTCACACGTGGTTTATTTCTGATTCCATAACGGTGGTTTACACATAATGCTGAAATGACATTTTTAGTAAATTATACTTTTTAATGCGTTTGTTGTAAATTGACAAATTCCTAAATTTACAGCCAGGCAAGAAATATGCTCCTTGAGATGCCTACATGTCAGGGCCTGTGGAACAGCGGGGATCGGGAGCCTCGAGCTTCCTCCCCCCCCCCCCTCCATTTTTTTGAAAAAGTATATTAAAGAGAAATAGAAAGAAAGAGAGCAAGAAGGAAAAAATAGTTAACTGCCAGTGTCAAAACAAAATAAGGTATCAAAAAATGCTCATCTAACCGTAATTAAACGCCTAAACCCCCTGAGCTTCCGGGGGCTCTGCCCCCTGGGCCCCGCCTAGGGCCCTAAGGCGGACCCCTGGATGCTAATCTGACGATAATTTAATGCCTAAAACCCCTGGGCTTCTGGGGGCTCCGCCCGCTGGACCTCACGCCAATCAGTGTCCTGCCAGTGTCACAAATAAGGTATAAAAAATATGCTCATCTGACCGTAATAAAATGCCTAAAACCCCTGAGCTTCCGGGGGCTCCGCACCCTCGACCCCACCAGGGGCCCTAAGGCGGGCCCCTGGATGCTTATCTGACCGTAATTTATTGCCTTAAATCCCTGAGTTTTCGGGGGCGGACAAGGTATCAAAATATGTTTATCTGACCGCAGGCGCGTAGCCAGGGGGCGGCCCCCCGAAAAAAAAAAAACGCCGGCCCAAAAAAGAGAGGAGAGAAAAGGAAGAGGACGTAGGAAGAAAAAGGAGCAGACAAAAAACATTTTTGAAATTCAGACAAGGATTAAGAGTCGAGAACGGTACAACGAATCGTCTTCTTTCTCTAATAATCATTAATGAAACGTCACAACTTCCGCGCTTCGCGCAGGAGGGGGAGCCGGGAGGGGGGGGGGGACTGAATTGAGACAAGGATTAAGAGTCGAGAACGGTACAACGAATCGTCTTCTTTCTCTATGATTTAATGAAACGTAAAAGCTTCCGGTTATAATTGGGGGGGGGGGGGGGAACTGAATTCAGACGAGGATTAAGAGTCGAGAACGGTACAACGAATCGTCTTCTTTCTTTAATGATTTAATGAAACGTAAAAACTTCCGCGCTTCGCGCAGGAGGGGGAAAACTGTATTCAGACGAGGATTATTTTCGAGAACGGTACAACGAATCGTCTTTTTTCTCTAATAATTGAGATTACAAAGCTTCCACGATTCGCGCGGGAGGGGGGGGGGGGGGAACTGAATTCAGACGAGGATTAAAAGTCGAGAACGGTACAACGAATCATCTTTTTTCTCTACGATTTAATGAAACGTAAAAGCTTCGGCGCTTTGCGGAGGAGGGAGGGGGAAAATCGCCCCTCCCTGCATCCCCCATTACGTCAATGCTGGTTACCATTACGTACCAATATTTGGCTCGCATAATTTCAAATTTGGCCCCCCCCCCCTAAGAAATCCTTGATCCGCGCCTGGCTAGCGGAACAAAATTAATACATGTTACAACTCAGTGTTCGATTTCATGTATTATTTTTTTTCTTTCCCTCATTTATAACACTATTTATTTTTCAGTAATAATGTTCATTCATTATTTAGTAATATGTAATTTTATTCACTCTAAAGGAATAGGAAATAGGAAAATAAGAGATACAGATATTGGATGAAATTTCTCTTTAAAAAAAGAAAAGAAAGAAAAATCCGACGTTGAGTCGAGTAAAATGGGTACAGACCTACCTTTCAATAATGGTGTAATACTAATACATGGCCTACAAGAAGAGCAGCATTACTACTGAAGGTAGTTACCCTTGCATGGTAAATAAAACCCAATCATCAATTATCATTTAGAAAATCTAACATGTATCGCCGGCGCTGGTGTATAGGTTATACCTCAGTCATACCGAAATCAATCAGACATAGGGGCCCAGATGTAAGGAAATCTCTACCTAACAATATTCGAAATATAAAATCACCAAACTCCTTTAAAAGAGCACTCAAATGTGTTATCATTTCACAGATGTAAGATATCACTTACAAAATAATCTATATATCAGTTTTCATTATATCGAACATACATTTTTTACTAGACTTAACAATATACTTCCGTTTTTCTTTTTTTGTTCTTTTTGTTCTTGTTCTTTGTAAATAGTGTAAATAGTTCACAACCCTTTGGGAACTTTATTTGTCATAATTGTATAATATATTTGAAAGGTGTTATAACGATTTAAGCTCTCTTTGCTTATGTTTCATCACCTTTGTGTGTTCATTCTTTAAACTGATAATAGTTGCAACTTGTCTTTGATAAAACGTTGTTATATTCGTTTTCAAGTGAAGTCAATTCAAATGGATTGTAAAATTGAAAATGATTTGTTACATTCTTTCTCATGTGATGTTAACTCTAATGAATTGTGACATTGTGAACGTGCATAAATAGATAAATAAATGAATACTTCCAAGCCGACTCCAAACATTTCGGCTATTCAGGGGTACCACAATGTTTTATATCGTCTGTTGTCTGCCTCGAAGGTGTGACCGTGGTATTTAGTTTGGACAGAGAGAGAGAGAAAGATGAAGGAAAGCCGGGATTAGCAGCCGGGATTAGAGGAGGCAACACAAGGTCTAAATAAATCACAAATCTATACGCAAGTTGGTTTCTTTTTATCATAGGAAAATCATGTTATCGCAATGACATACAAAACAAACAAAAAAGAGCAGAAGTACTAATCCGCCTTGTCAAGTCTGAAGCGCAAATCACGTTAAAATGACCAGAATCGATTATTTCACATGATTTTCTATCTTAACTGAGCTACTTTACAAAATAAGAGAAATGTGATATTTCTACTACTTTTCAAACCAGAAAAGCAGTAATAGCTTAAAATCGTTATAAAAATAAAATGATTTCGGAAGAGAGTGTAAGTACTGTATTCAATGAAGAAACATTCTTCATCCATTCCCCCTTGAAACACCAGAGTTTACCACTCATTACTTGACAAATTGTGACATCCAAAATATATATGTTCACACCTGTTACATTCAGAGAATGGATGTGATAATATACACGAATAATTATGTTGCTTTCCTTTAATATGTCTTAAATCTCATGATGATTACGGAAACGGCCTTTCTGTAAAACAGACACTGGCTGATGTAAGAGCTCAGTATAGAGAATAAAAAGAAACGAATTGAATTGAAGACAATCATCTGTTCATTCTTTTTCAATACTCAAAATCTTAAAATTGTGATTTAGGTTAAATTCATTGCTGCATTAATTCAATGTTCAGGATGATACCTATAATTCTTATTCCCATACAAATGAATTTGTAATGAGGGCTAGACGCACTTTATATACATGTGTACATTTATTTTAAAAAGGCATTCGGCTTGAAAATTTATCAATCATGCTCGTGCTCACATCTTCAGATGAAATATACAAGACAATAACTGCATTTGTTCTTATTGACAAAGTCACTCTAATCAACATAGATTTCAATCCATAGTTTCCAGTATGTTATTACTTCTTACAGTATCTCTATGCACAATCCTGTTTACAGTCATACCTTGAACAAATCCATCCATTACAGAAGCTCACTATTCATGTCAAAGTCTTGAGTGAAAAGTTTGTGTTGTCAGAACCTTAAAGAAGTTAGTCCAATGCCAACAGAGATAAATGCAAATAGCTAAGCGATAACAGTTAGTAATGGTGGAGCATGAAATATACTAAAGCTCTTGAATTTATAAGTGAAAATATGTATATATGTATACCTCAGCTGAATAAAGATTTGGCTTATTACAGACAGTATCCTGGGGTTAAAAAGACAATCAAAATAATGCAATAGACATTATCACTTCTAGTAGATTATAGTTACATCAATTCCATAACATGTAGATTGAGCACAATCAGATTTATTCCACATTCATTTCTCATACAAAAATGTTCTTATGGGAAGACATACAACTACAAAATAAAGAAATGAATATCCTCAGGTATGGAAGGTATCCTTGATTACATATGCAAGTAGAACAAAATGTTTCTTTGCTTAAATCAATGAGATACAGGTAAGTTACTGTAATATAATTTTTCAGATGACTAGTTTTAGAAAAGATGCAAGGTCGGGTGAAATTCAGGTGAGATTTTTACACCAAATAAGCTTGTGCCTATTTTGCATTCATTTTAATAAACTAAACAATCATATAATTAATTACCTCCCTGACAAGCAGTTGTGTAAATACTTCCACATTGCCCCATCACATAAGCTTGTGCCTATTTTGCATTCATTTCAATAAACTAAACAATCATATAATTAATTACCTCCCTGACAAGCAGCTGTGTAAATACTTCCACATTGCCCCATCAATCACATTGTGCAATAAACTGTGCTGAGTAGAAGTAATGCCATTATGAGTTGTCTCTCATTAAAGTAAGCATATAATTGGCAATGAAAGATAAACACATATGTTTCATAGAAAAGAGCACAAAACAAACAACAAAGATCTTCAAAGAAGCTGCACTTTCATTATTATTAAGAAGGCAAATGCCAGTTGTATATGGCAGAATGTATAGTAAAATGAATTGATTTGAGTCATTGAAGAATACAAAATCCTTGGGTATTATCATATGAAAATATGTTTAAATATGTATACATTATCATGACATGATGTTTGCCAAGTAACAGTACATACTTTTTTGCATTTCTAAATTCATAAAGATTACATATAGCAAAAGAGTCTGCCTTATTTTTTCAGAAAATTGCATTAAAAAACACTTCTCGAAATTTTGCATTTATCCTTTGGTCCCATTCTACCACTTTTTTTTGGTAGTATTACACAACATTTTGTGAAAGAGCATTTGGGCATTTCAATCAATATATCTAGTACTAGATGAACCTCACAGGACTACATATCACTTGTTTTGTTTCATGAAGCAAAGCAACCCTGGAAACAAATTCAAGAGACATTTATCATGATTTCATTCACAATTACTTCACATTGTTCGCTACCAGAAGAGACTAAAACTATAATCTATTCACCAATTTCAGTTTTTAAAAACATATACATACCAAGGAATTGTACAAATTTTCTAGATATATAAAGAATATATTTGCATACAAATTTAAGTACATGGAGTAATGTAATAGTACCATAATTTCAAGTAACCTAATCACACAATAAAAATAATTTTACCTTACAATCATAATATAATATATGCATAAAATGTAGTTTCAAAAGACAATAACGTGCATGCTTCATATATTTCATATACATAACCATATAAAAAGTGATTGCTAATTAACAGAACATTTACATTCATGTAGTACATAAAGACTGTCCAGCAGAATCATTTGTTGATAAGAATATCAGTGAAAGTTTTACTCCCATGGCTTACCTACTGTCTTATACTCAATAAATCAGATAAGCTGCTATCGGACATTGCTATAAAGAAATACCCAATATAAAACTTTGGACACTCCTTCCACATTTTTATTAAGAAACAAGTAGAGTCTACAAACATTACATGCAATTCATCATAACTTTTATCAAATTACCCACGAAAAGAGGAAATATTTAATGTATTACACATCTTCAAGAAAGGCATCTATATGTAGAGAGAGTATATACATATGGCTAGATTACAATAAGGAATAACTGGAGTCTATTACATCTACGATAACATTGTTAACTACTCATATAGGCCTATATATGTACATATGAAGGGAGTACCTATGTCTGTACATCAACCTAATAAATGCCTTATTTTAGTGCTTTTATTCACAAGCCTCAAAAGGGCATCTCTTTTGTCAAAAAATCCTGAAGTGCGTGTAAAATGAATCGGTGTGCACCCATGGGAACCGTTGTTTTTGCAAAACAAAATGACATGGATGATTTCTCTTGTGAAATTTACCTTATTCTTGCTGTAATTTTGATCGTGATGAGATTTGTGGCACACTTACTCTTTTGAATATAAGGAATAATATCAAATTATGCATTAAAGGAATACAAAAGAAAATCCTTGTCAAGTTTAAGGCAAGTGTTAGGGGCCTATCACACACTAAATCAGAATTATGGACATTTTATTTAAAGAGCTGCTGCAGAAAAAAGGGTCCCTTCCAATTGACAGAACACAGGTACCCACATGGGAATCATAGTGTGGACAATTTTTGGCTAAATAAAGAGTTGAAAAAACAAAAGATGCATGTATATTTCCTTTCATAAAAATCATATAAAGGTTATATGTAAAATATAATGTGCCAGACTAACAAGTGTATTCAAGTAATATATATATATTATCTCTTTTCTCTCATTACACAAATACATACCTTTGAATCACAACAGTAACTGTATAAGCACACACTTATAATGAAAACTCAAAATGACATAATCAAAGGAAGATTTTCTGGATGCTGCATAAAACAAACATAAACAAACACAAAATTAAGTTAAATAGCGGTGAAGCAATTTGTAAAAATAAATTTCACTTTTTTTTTTACTACAACAAAGTAATCAATATGCAAACAAGCATAATATTTAAAAGAAGTAATTTGTTCCATATCAAATTCAGATTTCACTCTCACTGGTCTGAAATGCTTCTAACCCTGCCCCTCCCCCAACAAAAAACAACCCTATAGAAGACGTTATTACTCATTTTATCAACAAACACAACATGCCCTCCCAAGCCACATTACAGAACTTATTAAGTTGTGGTCTATATCAGCTTTCTAAAAAGGGGCAAACTTGGCACTATAAAAGTAAAAAATAGAATTGTAACACTTTAGTAAAAAAATAATTTTGATACACTTCTTTTCGTTTGCCCCATCAAAAGAGGGCAAACTTGGCACTAAAACAGTTTTAAAAATTGTTGATACATTTCATTTCAACTAACTAAATGCAAATTAAGTACATTTCTAATCTTAGGTTCCAGAAAATGATCTTCCATAATGACACTTATTCTTCAAACTGCTTAAAAAATTAATTCCGATGATACAAAATGAAGTAAAATCTGCATAGAAGCGATATTTCATGATACAATCATAATTGTAATTATGCATGATTGATATATATATTTGTAGTTGTAATGCATCATTGTTTGTATTTGTTTTATATGTTGTGCGACCTGCCATGGTTTCGGAAAGGGAACGTGGACCTGGTCTTGGATGTACACATGTATTCCTTTTATATGAAATAAAGGCATGATTTAACAACAACTACAAATCTGATCTATTCTTCCATCCGGTGTAAGACTCCGGAAGATGGAGAATTAAATACATGTACAGGAGATTGATTTTGGTGTTCTTGATTGCAGGTCATCACCCCAGGAACAAGCTAGGCTCATCAGCCCAATAACATCAACTATTTATGCAAGTTATAACATAGTCAAAATCTGTGTATAAAGGTGGCTTTACCAGATATGTGTCACATATATGATTTTTCTCGGATAGAAAACACTAAAAGTTGCTAATAACTACAGATGGCCTCTCAAAGCAGGTTCGACTGTCCTCTGGAAACTCAAACAAATTAAACGCATCACCTTGGGTGGTAGTGTTGAACAGCATTGCAATTCTCCTATGTTGGCACACTGGGTCCACGTTTAATATACCATTATAGTGAGATGGTAACTAATCCTCATGTTGATCTAAGGTGTTGCCTACTCTCTCAAGACTGCTGGCAAAGTGAGCTGAACTGCATATCTCATCTTCCTGGAGAGCTTCAACAAGCTGTGAAGAGAGAAAGAGAGTCAGAGACCAAAAAAAAAATGATATTAGCTACTCGTTTTCATTCATTTCCATTCTCCAAGAGCTATATAGACACGTCAAAAAGCCACTGTGCAGATAAAAAGTAATTTGTAAAAAACTGCAAAATCCATTGAGATGAGTGCCGGATAAATGTTCATGAAAGTTATGTACCGGTATACAAATGATGCACAGGTTTGAGTGGTCGGTAGGGATTGTGTGCACAAGGTACCTTTGAATGGTTTTAGACCAAATTCAAAGGTACCGCGTGCACACGATTCCACCGACCCACGAATTAAACCTGTGCATCATCTGTTTTATAAGATGGGGCCCCAAAAATTGTCAAAAATACAAAATTTTGTTATTTTACAGATTTACCGGATGCATGGCAAAATCATGCGTCCGGTAATTTTTTTTACCGGACGCATGAATTTTTTACTGGACGCATGATTTTTAACTTATCATGAAGTTTTAAAAAAAAGAAAAAAATTGTCAGTGCACATTAAACTGTAAACTTAAAAAAGAAAAAAAGAAAAAAATTAGGTCTATAGAATTTTTTTTTTTTTTTGAACAGATTATTATTATCAAAAAACACGAAAAACAAATAATTATCACCAAAAAAAAAATAATCTAAAAAATCATTAAAAAAAAAAAAAATTATATAAAAAAAAAGTTATTAAAAAAAAAAGTTAAAAAAAAAAGAGATTTATTATAAAAAAAAAGGATATCGGTGGTATCGATCCCCGATATTGCGTGCATCCAGTAAAAATAATTACATGGTAATTGACCAATCAGATTGCAGGGATTCTTCTACCCATCTTATAATAATCATCCATTTATGCATAGACAGTATATATTCTATGACACACAGTAGAAGTATATTTTTCAAGAGGGCAAACAAAAGGTATTAATGAAGCCCCTCCATCACTATGGCAGTGATTATTCTAAACTGCATAAAGTAGGACTTCTCCATGTATGTAATATCTGTGGATCTGTGATTATTCCAATGTTGAGTTCCTAATATTAAATCCAAAAATATTAATTTAATCAAAAATTAACAGCAAATTGAAATCAATGCACATTTTCTTATTTAGGTGAACTTATGTTCACCTAAATACACAACTTTTTATTTAGTATCCAAAATTTATTTTTGTCATCGCAAAGGAGATGTTATCAAATAAAATCAATATAAAAACCAAAATGTTGCCTGTAAGATGAACAAATGCATCATATTAAATAAAGAAGTTCAAAGTTATTACTGGGCTGTTTCCAAAGTGTATTAGACAATTTTAGAAAAATATGCTCCTCATTTACAGACTTGTAATGTGGAAAGAAAATCTTGAATTTTGCTTTCTGCTTACCATCGTTTCATGTGGACGAATACGTGAATAGAGCTGCTTGAGACTGGTCAAACGGCTGAACAATCCAGTGAATTCCTAGAGAAGAAAAAAGGAATTGATGGTTACGCTCAGTTTACTTAAAATAAATTTCTCTGTGCCTTTGACTATTGCTGATATATTTCACAGGACTAAGATCTGGAACAAATGAATTGAAATTGATAAAATTTACACACACACATATAGGCCCACACACACTCCCACTATCATTGTACACCAATCTCTTTCAAATTCCATGAAATAACTCAACATACATGTCACAGTACCCATATGGCGTAAGACAAGATGTTGTCCAGATGCTTATTCATTTTATAAACAGAATAACACTCAATTTCTCTGTCAACAGAAGGTAATGGGTTTTGGCAACAGAAAGCTTGTTTACATCAGAACAATACATCATTAAAATTTAAAAATACACTTTCTTACACCATTTTTGATCACTCCTAATACAAATCTTTGCGATATCGAGAGCACGTTAAGAGGGATATAATAATATCTGCCATATATCTGTGATAAGTAAAATATTTGTTCCTAATATAATAGCTATTCTGTGAAAAGAGCCTTTCTTTACAAGAAACCCTAGAGATATTCAAGTAGCAGACCCCCCAGGAGACTTAACAATGGCAGGACGTTCATGCCACTGGTTGCTCTCACCATTGGTCTCTCAATTATGATCTTTAGATAATATTTTTTCCTTCAATAATGAACTATCAAAAATGCTCAATTCTGTAGATGTATGACCATTGAGAGACTATTGCCAGTAAATGGTGAGAGCAAACAGTGGCATGAACTGCCTGCCATAGTTAAGTCTAATTTAAAGTCGATTTTAGTCTTTGTGAAACACCCCCAGCACTCCACATGACCGATGGCCCATGAGACTGATGTCCTTCAAGACCCGACTCAACAATATTCAGAAATTTTGTCAAAAGGCCCGCACAACTGACATACCGACCTTGTGGGCTGTTGTGTTAGCTATCGGTCTTGAGGGATGTAGCTGAAACCTCTTACATAAGGAGCATTCACACTGCAAGCAATGTTTTCTCAAGGTTCCTTTCACACTGCAGGGTTTATTCAAAAGTTACTAGGAAGCTATCCATATAACCATGACAATACCTGAATTGAAAAACCAACCTCTAGAATGCGATTTTAAAAAAAAGCTCACCGAAATTCCACTGGTTTTTGCAGAGTAAATGTTTGCTCTCAAAACACCTGTGACTAAGTATGGTTTTTGCTCATGTGACTCTTTTTACATCCACACGCAGAGCAGCAACACAGGCACATGCACACTATTCGGTTTTCCAAGTAGTGCGAATGGTAGTTATGAAAATCTATGGTGTCTCCATTTTGTTTTTCCAAGTGTAAATGACCCTATAGAACTAAATCACATCTACACTCACCTCATCGATGCGTTGGCACTCTACCTTCAGTTCGTCCTCCTCCAAACGTAGAGTCTTGTTGATGTTGTCGTAGTAGGTAGTGAGGAGGGAGATATAGGCTGGTAGCTCCTTGTTGAAGAGAAGCCTACTTGGGGAGGAATTCTGAAAAGGAAAAATAGGTAAAGGGTCTGTAAGATATCTTTTACAAATGTCAGAATATGTGAATGACTAGCTATAAACATATTTTAATCCTATATTAATAAAGACACTCTATACAGTATCTGGACTGTTTTTTAATATGTAATTCATTTTTTCTTTCGCAGTGATGTTTGAAGCTTACTTGTGTTCATGTGAGGGTTGTAACTCAGGTGAGAAAAGCAAATGTAAAGAATGAACCACTGGTATTCATTTAATTCATGACAGTCTCCAGTCATTCTTTATCAAACAGAATCCCATCTTTAACATAAACAAATACACTAACTGTTCTGGAGAAAACAGATAGATAAACAACTTACACATTATCCTGTGCAGTTACCAGTAGGCTAATAAAACACAACCCTAACTTTTCATTTCATGTGATATTATCCAATACTGGATACAAGTGCTGCAAAATCATTTATCAATCTAATTCCAATATATAATGTGATTAAGTGCCTGAGTATACAGTGAGAAATTTATAATCCTGATCTTCTATCTTATTTTGAGTGTAAAATTTCCAATCTCATTTTATTCATCTCTGTCAGACGCTATAAATTGTGCTGTAAATTGTGAAATTCATGTTCAATGTGTGTTATAACTCGATCAGTAGGCTAATGACAGCGTGTCTCATTAAAAAAATACTATGGGCAGAAATATCAAATTTGTGTGGATACTTGTGAGATTTTATTGTTGCTTGTGCATTGACTCGTCAAATCCTTTATAAAAAATGGAATAACTACTTGATTAACAAAAAGAAACAAGTTGTGATTTCAAGGGTAGGGTATGTGTTCAACAAATATATAAATAGCATCAACTGCTGCTTGGTGGTGTTCATAAATAGAGCTAAACCCTGCAAAATTCTTTCTGTGTTGGTGCAATTATTTAGTGTTAAAAATGTTTAATAGCGATTAAAGATGTTCCCCTTTCTCTAAACGATGAAGTTAAAAGATCAGAGTTTAAAGGAAAATAATATGAAGTGACAAAAGTAACGAGTGAATGGGCAACTGACAAAATTCCTCAACGGGGACCGAGTGGTCTTTATTCGTCCACCATCACAACGACTACCTCGAAAATTCATCTTCGCGAATACTTTCGTAGCTCGCATCTATCATGTTGGCCAACCACAGTCTACGACATGCTCTAGATGCCTAGCAACAGGGCTATGTAGGCTACCGGGTATGCAGAAAATGCGGGCCCTTCCAGAGTGAGTGCCCAGATAATGCAGAGCTATGTAACATCAACTCAGTAGCAATATCACACTCGTCTGTTCAACGTGATTTACCCATGACAACACTGAATCGACTCAGCCAGAAAATGCTGAATAACGCGAACAGATGGCGACCAGCAAAGGACGCGACCAGACGCGACAGAAGAGTTTAATGGACTTCATTGCCAACGCCGCAAAGAACGTTGCTAAGGGAAACAACACTCCAGAGAGTGATGGATGAGGGAGAAATGCTCCCAGGGCAACAAGATCATCGACAAGAGAGCGTAGCGGTTCGAACGCAGCATCGCAGGTAACCGCGGTAACAAACAAGCATCTGTCCGATAAACAAGTTATTGATATGGATAAGCCTGACAGGGAGATCGACAAGAAACAAACAATCAAAAAGAAAAAAACAAAGAAGAAGAAATGAGGTATCTATCTACAGAAAATTACACTACATTGTTTGAAACATACCATGAAGTTAAAAATAATTAATAAATTTTGATTCCAAGATACAGTAAAAGGAGTAAGATGTTTTGTTGGTTGAAAATCTGAAGATGCCATTAATGCGTTTTTTACAGGAAACTTTTTTGACCAGTGATATAGAATTACTTACGGTCTACGTGCAGAATGGAAAGGTTTATGTTATTTCAACTCCTACCAATGATTTTAAGAAAGTCAAATTCTTTAAATTATTTAATATTAAAAAGATTTTAACATTTAAAAGATGTGTCACTTGTTAGTGGTGATTGCCAAAACCCAATTTAAAGAGCTTTCAACAAAAATACAATTTAGTTGATGTTTGTAGGAAATTTAATCCTATTAAAAAAACAAGTTACATAGAGACAAGGTTACATGAAGACAAGTCCCTCTAAACATGTACTCAAAACTAGACTATTGGTTAGTTTCAGCTGATCAAGTATCCATTGTGTTCTCCACAGATATAAGTACTTCCTACATTAAAGTGCAATCACAATGTGGTTTCCTTAGTGATAAAAGTGAAGGAAGGTATTAAAATTAAAGTTGGAATATGGTGGCTTAGGTTTGAAAATACGGTGGGAATTGTGTAAAGTAAGAGAATATAGTGTGAAATATGCTATTGACTGTAACAGAAGAAATGGTATATAGAATATCTGGAAAATGCATCTTCAGAAAGTGTCGATCAGAAAATGAAATTGATAAGTGGTACACAAATAAATGTAAAGGTGCATTTGTTCATTCGAGGGAAAAATGGATGGAAAAAGGTGAAAAGTCAACAAAATATTTGTTTACGGTTAGAAAAGAGGAATGGTAAAAGGAAAGAGATAGATTGTGTTCAACAGTCAACAGGAAAATATAAAAGGAAAATATATTACACTATATTCATATATATTACAGGGATTTATATGCGAAAAGAGATTGTGAAAAAGATAAAAATGAAAGTTTTAATGAATTTTTTGACGGTGTGGAAATAAAAACTCTGTCCAAAGAAGAAGCACACAGTTTTGAAGGTTTGTTATCGAAAGAGGAATGTTGGTATGCTTTAAAAGCCATGAATATAAATAAGTCGCCAGGTGGTGACAGTCTTTCGGTAGAATTCTACAGATGTTTTTGGAAGGAAATTAAAGAGCTTGTTGTTGCGGGAAGTTTGAATGAGGATTTTAATAATCAAGACTTATCATTGTCACAAAAACAAGCAACCCTTACTTTATTGTTCAAAAAAGGGCCCAAGGCTCTCTTAAGTAATTTGCGACCTTTATCTTTATCATTATTAATATCATTATTAAATGTAGATTTCAAAATTGCAGTTTACGCTTTATCCCAACAATTAATGGATTAATGACTGCTTCGTTTGATCAATCTGGATTTATGAAGGGTAAAATGGCAACTGAAAATGTAGGATCTGTCCCAGATATCATTGACTTTTGTGAGTTTGAGCGTGTATCAGGTGTTCTTTAAAAGTTAAAAACTAACCCATACATGTTACCTTTATAATAATGGGCATATTTTCATATATCTGTGGACCACTTTGCACTTCACTTTGTCGCTACAGAAAGTTAAAAACATGTGATAATGCATGTAGTTGTACATATCCAGACAAGATCTGACACTAATTTAGAACTTTGATATCCATACATTTGATGTAAATACAAGAAGTGTGTCAAACTCTGTTCTGTTATCAATAAATGGGTAATATGTATTCATATTATTCTTTTTATTCTTTTACACAAAATTGCAATCCACCATTATATCTATACTATACCTATATTTCAAGTCAAATGCCATCAATTAACATTTTTCCAACTTCTCAAGATTTATATATTAATGAATATATTCCATACTCCATGAAATTATAGGCATGGCATTAATCATCTATCATTTAATCCTTATCTCATAAAAGATTCGAGTTGCAATCCGATAAATTGCCGATAAAATTATTTGAAGGTTGCTCAAAAGTTTTAATCTATATCTGCAAGAAATTGCAATCACATAATACTAGAGTTAAATTTAAAGTCATATATTGAATGTACTTTTTATAAACATGTTATTTATAAACTTTTATCAAAGGCACAAAGAGATTCATCAATGCACTCCACAGAAATATATTTTTATATTTCTTAGTTCTTACTGTAAATGACATATGTTTATCAAACATTTTCTAACCATGATGTACTTCTCTTATACAATCGTCAGGTAATCTTTGCACTCATATTTTGTCATGTAAGAAAATTAAACCGTGAATTTAAATTTAAAGTCAGATATTGATTTCTTGATAGAGTCATAAGCAACATCATAGTCTGGGCTGAGTATGCTTTCATGTGAATTTTTTTTAAACTGATCAAAGGCACTAATCAACAGAATGAAAATAATTTCCTGATGTTAATCTACAAATAATTCTCAAAACTTGTGTGTTTCCACAGGTGTCTTAATTTCAAATTGAATTTGAACTTGAATTACAGAATCTCACCATCTTAAGTGTTGGGACCACACCCTTGCATGCATTATCCAGCATTTGATTTAAGACGGTGACCGAGGTGTCAGCAGTGCGAGACTGACGCATGTTGAAGATGAAGGACGGGTGGGCAAGTATCGTCGCCCAGAAACGAAGAGGCAAGCTGCAGGGGAAAGATTACATCATTGATGAAAAATAAAATACCAGGATGCGGAAAGGGAAATGATAAATCAAATAACGGTTTAAAACATTATACAAAACAAATGTGTTTGCAGTTCTAAGACAGGTGCTACTATGATAATTGCTCCATGATCAATATTCAACAGACCTTCACTAACCAAGTTCCTAAATTGTTAACCCTTGACCAAATACGAAACTCAACCTTAACCCATGTCATGGATGAAACAAAGTCTAGAGTCCATTCTGCAGGAGTACATGTTATGTCACCTTTTCTACCCTGACCTCTCTAGCTCTCGCCTTTCCACCTTTTATTTTTCATTCTATTCACATCCTTTCTACGCTTCTCCCACACACACACACACACACACTATCCTCTTTTTATGTAGATAGATGAATTTACGAATCAAGCCGAAGACACAGAATTTGCTTCAACTTACAAATCAAGTCAAAATTAAACATTTCCTACTGCTATTATGGTTCTAGCTGGAAGTAAGTAACACTTTTGTTGGCCTACAATAAACTAAACTTGTACTCACGTGTTGTTCTTCCAGGTAGCAGCTGTGCCATCGTCATCATATCGACTGGCCTCCTCGTCAAAGAAATTGAAGAGGAATCTGAGAGCAAAGGGGATGTTGTTCATGTTGTTCTCATACCCATCTTCCTGGATGGTAAACATGGCATCTAGAGCTTCATTCACGAAGCCGTTGATAGATTGCTGTCAAGGATGAAGAAAATATCTCAAAACTCTCCTCTTTAACCATGATCAACAATAGATTCTTTGATAACTTTTATGTAAAGCGCTGTGAAACAACAGTTAGTTTGTAAGAGCGCTATAGAAATGACTTTATTGTATTGTATTGTATTGTATAGTTTGGGTTGGAAACACATATTAGGAGCTAGGTTTACACGACAGTCTGTAGATTTTGAGTTCAGCTCATGGTTTTGAATTTGAGGTCGTCTTGTAGAAAAAGACTGTGCAGACGTACACATGGTTTGGGAAACTTCAAATTTACTCTAAGTTTGAAACCATGGGGGAGCTTATGATTAACATTAGAACTTCAAGCAGCAGGGATCCTCACTCAAAAGTTTTTGTCGGGTGAATGGAATTAACTTAAAAATGTTGCCAGTTTGTAATTACGACCGCTTGTCCCAACTTGTAGATTCAAAACTTTAGAGAGCAATAGTTGTTTCAGTGCCATTGTCATTGTGATAGTGGGGAGTTGTTTAGAAGTTTGAGGGCTCACAAACTTAAAGTTTCAAACTATGATGGTGCCATGCAAACATAGCTATATTGTGATGGCCTTGGAAATCTGCCATAATTCCTACTGGTTCCCAAAAGTCATTAGCATTCCATACCATTGCAAACACTCATAATAATAGGAGAAATGAAGAACAGGAATTTTGACCTTAATTTTTGACATTTTTTAGAGGGGTGAAAAGAATGAATCAATCAGGCAATCAAGAATAGAGACGACTTACCTTGACAGAAACCAGCCTCTGGAGATAGATCTCTCTAATCTTGCGTCTTCCCTGCGTACCCTTGAAGCACAAGACTCGCTGCATTCTGCCAAAGAATCCTTCATCTCTATCTTGATCTTGCTCGTCACTATCCTCAGACTGGACCTAATTAAGACAATAATCACATTCACAAGACCAGTCTCAGTTGCATCAATCTATATTTTCATCATGAACCTATAGGCACGAGACCATCATAGGTTACGTGCACTTTTCTACTAGAGAGAATGACACCTCTTCCCCAAATATTGACTTTTCGGTATCTACATTTTGTGGGTGAGCAAAATAATTATATTTGTTTTGTGGTAAATATGATATTTTTTCATGTAATTACTCTAAATAAGATCACGAAAACTATATCAATTTTTTGCCTGAATATAAGGTAATGGTTGCAGGAATATTAATATTTTTTTAAAATATTTTTTTAGTGGGGGGGGGGGGGGGGGGAGAGTTGGCACGTTAGTGGGAGCAAGCCATGGGGAGTAAGCCATGCCCCCATCATAGAACCCAATGTGATGTACTTTAAGTACGAAAAGAAAATGAACACTTGTGTATTCCATTGCCCCCTTCAAAATTTTAAACCCAAATAGGCCAAAGCTAAGTAAGTTAGCATCTTTGTCTGAACTTGTTAATTGTGCCCCCACTTTTACCAAACCATGGATCTGTCCCAGAAACTCTCCATGATACTTACCAAGTGATAGTACTTGACGTCCTTAGGACCTTTCTCAAGATCATGAGAAAAGTATTCATGGTGACCGGTCACACGCACCGACATACGAGTGGCATCATCTGAAATGGGATAAACAATTTCATTTTATTCACTTATAAAAAACACAACTTTTGATCAATCCCTGTCTTGATGAAGGGCTCAATCCACATTCTATTATACACCCAACAAAAAAAAGGAAGTGGACAAGCACCCTGTACTGTTCATATTTTTTTCTTCATATAAACTGTCAATAAAATATAAATCAAATTAAAGGAAAATGAATACTCTACCAACATCAATTAAGACCAAGTTTTGAACTTTCACACTTGGATGGGCACATATTGTATTATCTGTTTATAGAAGGTCTGATTAATAAAATTGCACAAAATAGGCCAAGTAGCCACTCAAATTTCAATGAACATGTGCATCTGTAAGACATTTTGGTTCAACATTAAAAAACAATGAATGACATATAATTTAATTCATGTGGTCCTGACTTAACAACTATGTTTAGTCATGTACACTATCAAAATATTTAAACATATACACATTCAATAATAGAAAATGAGGAGTAGTCAAGCATACATAAATATAAATGTACATATACTATAGCTCCATAATACAGATCTATCTACGTGTATACACTAGCCTGGTATACACATGTACATATTACTTCAGTGTGCTATACAAATATATGAAAATGACATAAACAATGACATACTAGCTATGGTAAGAATAAATGACACATGTCAGTAGAACAGATGTTAGCAAACCATCACCTAGCTTCTACCCAGTATTTTTTATTCTCTGAATACTCTTTCTACTGCATTACCTACGAATGACAGTGTTCACACACGATGAGATAAACTGCCACTGCCTTTCGCAAAAGTGACCGCAAAAATAAAAGGACAATATCATGCTGGTGGCAGAATGGAAAGACTTGCAGATGGTGCACTTCACAATAATGTATCTTATAACAGACAGATACAGGTATATGTTTAGGGGTCTTTGTTGTGTGTCGCTGAGTAACAAAATAATGTTCTTTTTTCCACCAGAGCTGAGCTGAGATTTATCACAATGTTTCTGAGAGGGATGATGAACTAATTGTGCTATCAATGTATCAGTTTTAGGCATGTAAATGTATATAAAGGGACATGCACTAGATCAATTAGTGAGATATGAATATTGATTTTTTGTGTGTGAATGCCCATATTAATAAAGTGAGCAAGCTGGAGCTAAACTATGCAAATATTATTTAGCTGAAGAGACAAAAGGGTGTTCGGCTGGTCGCTCATATCATTGTACATTAACCCTTTCAGGTCAGGATCTTGTTCTTCAAATTGGCAGCACTAATATTTTTCTTTTATCACTGTGGTGATAGAATATAAAATGCAATATCTCTGAAACCAATATACCCAGGTGAGAAGAGTCTAAAAGTTTTGAACATAGCCAGTTTTTATTATTATAGTATTAATGACTGCTTTGAGAGAAATAGTTGTTTTTATACGCTCAAGGGAAGGTTAGAATTGTGCTATTGCCCGAGGCGTGCCGAGGGCAATAGCCCAATTGTAACCTTCCCGAGAGCGTATAAAAACAACTATTTCTCGAATATTAAAGCAGTCATTAATACTTTTATATGCCGAAGAAAAAAAAAAAAAAAAAAAAAAAAAAAAAAACTTTTGTCGAAGATGAGATTCGATCTCTTGCGTACAAAAGGTGATGTAACTAAAATCAGCGCCTTAAACCGCTCGGCTATCGCGCTCTGTTACAATACAAAGCAGTTTTTTCTTATATATACACAAAAATGGATTGAAAACGGCTTCGCGTGGCGGATGCTTCGCGGCTGCTCCATTAAACAGGCCCTTCTTTTACTTTTGCAATGCATATTGGCACGAATTTAGATCAAGATCTATCGGCAGATGTTGTTTTTTTGTTTTTGGAAGTTTATTTTCGTCTTCATGTCAACAATGCAAGATAAATTTGTCGGTAAGATCGATCGAGATTCAATTGTATTGAAATTACTGACCAATTCTTCGCACACGTACGGTATCCTCGATCGCTCAGACCATTTTTTAACATGTAAACCTATGGGGTAACCATGGAGAATGACCTATTTTCCCAATAACCATGGTTATTGGGATTTTGAACTGTTTTTTAACCATGGTTACCGGGAATTTTCGGGAACAGTTAAAGTTTATGAATGCAATTTTGACCAATCAGATTGCTGGATTACTTAAGTGAGGTATATAATGATTTTCAATCTCTTAGCATGTTGCCAATATATGGGTTAAAAATGTTATTTGCCTCTTTGAAATTCCTAACATGAAATGCAATATAGTCATAAAACAAAATTATATGCTGTGTGATTGTCACGAAAGGGTTAACGGCTTTCTGGCTCTCAGCAAATGATAGCATATGCTAAGCAATAAGCACATAGATAACGTTAAAAATGTGAAAGATGTATAATATCATTGAAAATATTGAGTCTACCATAAAATGACGAAAAATAACTATTTACATGTATGCAGATGGATGTAAATGAAATAATTAGATGGATGTATATTGTGCAGCTACTCAATAAATATACTCTACTGTGCTGTGGAGAAGACGCAAACTCTTTGCTGTGCTCCTTTATGGAATAAAGGTGCCCCCCAAAAAACAATAATTGAAAATTGATTTTCTATGAATACAACATAAACTAAGACTGAAGTTTTCCTGAAAGCATAAACAAAGACTGTAAATGAATTTCAAGCAAACTTGCCTTTAATTAGCTCATGGGCATTTATCCTGTCTGAAAACTATTTTGAATGTTAGGACTGAATGAAAAGACATTACACAATATCAATTTTCATACAAGGTGTATGTAAAATGAAAACATTTATTATCAGTAAGCAACGTGTCTCAGTATATTGTTATCAATTACAATCCTGCCTTTCTTTACATATTTATTACAGAAAGCTTAAAACTTAGGTTATAGTTCCCTAGCTGCTTCAAATAATTAGATGATTTGAAATTTTAATTTTATCTATGATAGTAATGCATGGTATGAATATTAATTCCACCGCAATGCACATATTACATTAGTCAAATCACTGGACAAGAAGCAAATTACCACAAGACAGATGAAAAAGAATGAAATGACCAAAACGGTATATGGAAATAAGCAGTCCATCACCACTATAAAGAACAGCAAAGAAAAGAGCTTTTAAAACCTTTAGAATGCTTATGAAATTCTGGGAACAGGGCTGCAATAAACAAAATAGAAAATGAGAGAAAAAAAAATGCATTCCATGAACATACCATGCACTTAAAATAATATACTGCAGGGCAAGATGCTTTGTAAAGTATAACTTCTGGAAACGAATATGTGACTGCGCACCGCAAAACCATTTAAAATAAAAATAAAAATTGAGATTTTAATTTTAATAAAGCTCAATATAGGTATGCTGAGAGAGCATATTAAGAATTTGAAAGCTAAAATCATTTTGCAGATCACACATCGATAAACAAAGAGACCTTTTTATCCCTTCAATTCAATATTTTTCCAACATTAAGATGCACATTTTTTTAAAGTAAGCAACTGCAATATTTTTTTTCCTTTTAAGCAATCAAAATAACTATATTTTTCACACCGCACAATCAAATATTCTTGGTCTTAGGCCTAAAAAAAAAGATGTTGTATTGCTCTTTACGTGTTAGAAATATATATTTTTATTTAAACTTTTTTTTTCTTCTCCTTTTTGGGCTGATATTTCTCACATTTTTTGTTTTTGTTTTTAAACGGTAAAAAAACCTTTTTTAAAAAGCCGGCCGTAGATTTCAAGATTTTTTGGTCGGTTGCAAAGGGCAATACAACATCTTTTTTTAAAAGGCTTAATGTGAGAGCTGACAAGCAGAGTGGAGGTTGAAATAGCATGCCATCATCGTGCCAACTTAAATAAAATTATACATTTTGCAGATTGATTTCTACATATTTATGTACAACCAATTGTGGGAGGCTGAGAGTGAACAGACAGGCTTTAGATAAATCATAAGATCATCAATCAGTGGCACAAAACTGATCTATGGAACCTTCAGCATTTTCCCATCCTGAAGATTTCCATAAAATATCTAAGTATATAGGCATTGTCCACAAAATGAGTACAGTAGCTACTCAACCAAAAGGTGACCATTCAAACCTCCACTAAACATACAGTACCTCAATATCTATTTTTTCAGATTTATATGCAGAGAGAAACCTGAGCATTTGAAAGCTATTTTCAAGTCAAAAAATTTGCTCTCACTATTTATGTATGAAAATTATTTAACAATCCTGAAACTCTCCAGAAATTTAAAGTGGAAAAAGTTTTGCCCATCAAAATTTATATAAATGACTTCTTCTATATCTTCATAAATATTTCACATTTCAAGTAAAGAAGACAATATGCATATCTTTCTCACCTCATCACAGGCAAATAAATAAAAATCAATTAATGCATGCATGCATGCTATGTGAGAATGTCATGCAAAAGAAGAACAAATAAATGAAAGTTAAGTTCCTTTTCTTTTCTCTATTTTGATTGAAGTTACATTTGACATTCTTTGATTAAACTTGCTTTTGAAGTACATGTAGACTCATTGTCATGCATGCCGATATTCAATGTATCTTGAACATATTGGTAATAAATAAATGAATGAATGAACTCTTGTTGAGCCCTAAAAATGTTTAAAATATATCACTCAAGAAAGGAACTTAGTTTCATAATAGATGGCATAGATATATACTATACAGAGCCATGCATATACTCACTGAACAGGTTATTAGCATCATTATTCATGGGTACAGGCTGAGCATTGGGCATGTCTTTTTTGTCAGTCAGGCTGACCGGTACTCCAGATGAAATCTGAAAATAGACATTTATCAAAAATAGAAATATCTTACCATGTTTCAAGATTACCCTAAAGAACATAGACAAATATCTTAAAAGCTTGATGGATTTCTGCATATGATACATATAAAGCACTAGCACCATTTTTGTTTTACCAGGGGGGGGGGGGGGTGTTAAAAGGTGGAACAACTATGCCCCCCCTCCATCTTCAAAACTCAGCGTGGCAAACCTTAATTATATAAAAGTAAAATATACCCGCCTTTTAAATTATCACTGTAAAATGCATGTAAATCTTTAATTTTTCTTTCTTTCCATTTTTTCATTGTCCTTTAAACAAAAATAAAAAATTGTGCTCTCCTTTTACAGAATCCTGGGGGCCCGTTTCACAAAGCCTTTTTTAAATGACAAATGACAAATATCAGTGACAAATCTGCTGATAACCAATCAGAAGCAAGGATTTCAGTAGCTCATAACAAAAACTGTCACTTGCCACTGATGACAAGTTTTGTGAAACGGGGCCCTGGATATGCCCCTGCATGACATGAGGTGGTTTGACCGTCTGACTTACTCCGTAGTGCTGGAGGGTGTTGATGGGACACCATCCCATTGAAGCCGTCGTAGAGGTGTCAAAGTCACTCACAATCAGCTCCCCTTGACCGCCACTCTTCAAAACTGCAAGCAAAATAACAAGCGTTAATTTTCAAGAGGTCATCCCGATATGAAGCTACATGCCATACCATATCAAGAACAATATGAACTCTATTCTTGATTTGACTGGGACATGGTGACCTCATAGTTACATGTAACTCACTGGGATCCACTCAAAAGACTGTGTCACACTATTCCTTTTGTTTTTCAGGAGAAGTTTAAGTGAAAGGTGACAAAATAATTCAAAATATCCTGAGAGTAATTTCATTTTTTGTAATAGCATGTACACCATATTATGACATAGCATCTCCAAATGCTTCCAGAGTGCTTTGGTAATTATAACCCATGGTTTAGCTCTTGCATGTATATATAGATACTATATCATTGGGTGCTATTAAAGCATACATGGTGCAAATAGATGTGTAGACTACTTTCCAAGATTACATTCTAAGTTCTTAAAATTATTTGATAACTACAACTGTACTACACATTATTCAGTCTGTGCATTGTCCAAACTAGCAGAATCTAAGAACAAATGCTAACTACTCTGAATGATTGGTAAGCATAATTTATGTATTGTAAATAAAAATAATTTTTATAACAATAATTCACAATAAGTTGTAAATAACTCTCTTTATCAAATGACATTACTACAGTATTAGAAATCAGACGTGTAACAACAAACTAGGAGCAAATGCTATCGATCCACAGGGTATTTGAAATATATGTAATGCTTTTTCCTTGCATTACAAATTGCTGAATACACTGCTCCACATGTTGGGCCTCTTTAAACAAATGTACTTTGAATACTATTGCAAAATGACTTCATTGACTTAGATCTGATTTTGGAGTATTTAACAAACATTTTCACTCGACACCAGTCTGAGTTATCTCAAACTCACTATCTCACCGGTCCACATAACTCATATTATCTGGAGAAAGGGCAGAAGAAAGTAAGTTCCTTACCAAGATCCACCTCTCTAGCACTGCGCTGATACTTGGTGTGTTTCTTGCGGTACATGGCATCCAGGATCTTCTCTTTCACCTGGGTGATAGTATCTACATTCAAGACCTTGACTGATTCCTGCCCCAACTCACTCTCTACATTCAACGTCTACAGGGTAGGAAGACAGGGAGAGAGGGGGGGGGGGGGGGGGGGGGGGGGGTGGGGGGAGAGAGAGAGAGAGAGATAGAGATAGAGGGAGAGAGAGGGGAAGAGGAAGAGGGAGAGAGAAAGGGAGGAATAGAAGGAGATAAAGGGAAATAGAGAGAGGAAACAATTGGGAGAGTGGGAGGAAAGAGGAATCGTGGAAGAGATGGAAGGGAGGGAGAGAAGGAGAGGGGAAAGAAAAGCAATGGCGGGAGGGAGGAAGATGGGATAAAAAAAAAAGAGATAGAGAGGGGGAGAAAGAGGGGAAAAAAGGAGGGGAGGATGGAGAGAGGGAAAGAGAGAAATACGAAGGCCATGTGAGATAGAGAGTGAGAGTGAAAGAGAGGGAGAGGGAGGGAGGGAGAGGGAGAGAGAGAGAGAGAGAGAGAGAGAGAAGAGAGAGAGAGAGAGAGAGAAGAGAGAGGGAAGTGGAAGGGGGTAGGAGATAGAGATGAAGAGACAGGTAAAGAAGTTTAAATTTTGCACTTGCATTTTATCACAAACACAATGGTTAATCACTAAAAGCACAGTCATGAGAAGATGCAGGATGCAATGATTATGTCAAAGGGGCATCATCAAAGATGTTTTTTACTTTCTATTTGACATTAAATGCTGAGTAAAATATGAGTGAAAGAAAGTGTCCTACAATAACAGAGTAGATTAGATACTTGCCCCTGAATCATGGCATCAAAAAGTAAGAAATTAACAAGAAAATGGAAAATTTGAAGATTGGAGGATGAATTGCTATATAGCAGAACATCAAAGACACCGGATACAGGGGTTGTTGAACACATACTTCGGTGACAATAACTAACCTAATTCCTACTTTTAACACTGGAACAAACACTGTTCCTAACCTTTACCCTAAAATGAACTTTAACCCTTAACCCTAATTTTTCAATGAAGGGAAGACTGGAGCAATTGTTGCCAGAGCAAATGTCAGGGCATTGGCGCAGGGAATGACAGTATTTTAAGCAATATGAATATTTACCACTTCTTCAAACTCTGGGCTCTCTGTAAGGAGATTGTCAAAGCTGAGCGAGAAGTAAGACTGTCCTGTCGCAGCATCCACGGGTCCTTTCTCGCATTGAATCTTGATAGCTTGGTAGAGCTTGTACAAGGGCTGACTGACAGATTCCTAGCAGCACAAAATCAAAAGAGTGTGTTTTTAAAAAGAAATTTGAGTTCTGGTTGAGAAAGGTAAAATCTTGATAGCTTGGTTGAACTTGTACAAGGGCTGACTGACAGATTCCTGGTAGAACAAAATCAAAAGAATTTGTTTTTAAAGAGAAATTTGAGTTCTAGTTGAGAAAGGAACTAGATGGAATTCGACTGCGCGCAGTCGAAAATGATGCCTCCGTCATAGAGCAATTTTACAAACCAAAACAGAAGACATTTTTCGAATTCAAGTTCAATTGTAATCCATTAACAGGTTCTCAGAATATCGTGATTACAAGCAATTTCTCATATACATATATGACCCTTTGATCTTTGACCTCATGACCCTAAAATCTACTCAGTTCATTGGCTCTGCAAGATGTCCTGAGTTAAATAGTAATCCATCTGTCAGTTCTAATGAGAATGTGTTCACAAGCTATTTTTGCATACATAATGAGCCCATGACCTTTGACCTTTGATCTTATGAACCAAAAATCTACTCAGTTCATTGGCTCTGCAAGTAACATACATGACCTAATTTTGGCAGGAATCCATCAATCGGTTCTTGAGAACGCGATCACGAGCTGTTTTTGCATACATAATGTGCGTTGTGGCCTTTGACCTTTGACCTCGTGACCCCAAAATCTAATCAGTTCATCTGCTCTGCAAGTAACATACATGACCTAAGTTTAGCAGCAATCCATCAATCGGTTCTTGAGATAACGCGATCACGAGCTGTTTTTGCATACATAATGAGTCCTGTGACCTTTGACCTTTGACCTCGTAACCCCAAAATCTAATCAGTTCATCGGCTCTGCAAGATACATACATGACCAAAGTTTGGCAGGAATCCATCAATCGGTTCTTCAGATAACGCGATCACGAGAACGGGACGTACGTACGTACGTACAGACGTACGTACGTACAGACGTACGTACAGACGGACGGACGGACAACCCGAAAACATAATGCCTCCGGCTACTTCGTAACGGAGGCATAAAAATCTTGATAGCTTGGTAGAGCTTGTACAAGGGCTGACTGACAGATTCCTATTAGCACAATTAAAATCAACAGAGTGTGTTTTTAAAGAAAAATTTGAGTTCTGGTTGAGGTAAAAGAAAAATTATGAGCTCTTTCATTCTGTTTACCTCAGCATGGAAGAGTATAACGTTAGAAATCTCACCTGAAAAGGACTGCTCTTCAAATGCCCTCATATTCAAAATATCATGTTTTTTAAATTGAATTGATAATGGTTTTATTGAGAATAAAAGAACAACAATGCATCACGGTTTAAACGGCCGATTTGGGCAATGTTTCACAAATGTAAAATACAATATATAAAAACATTCATATCAAATAACATCAAAATTAATGAACTAAACTTGAATGAGTAAATTGTTAAAAATAATATTTAACCTTAAAGTTTTAATTTCATGATTTTCCAATTTCTTTTTGCTACCAAAAGTGTACACATGAATTTAGAATTTTAAAATTAAATCTAAGCTTACCGAAACATGACCATCAAGCTATAACTCATTTAGGAAGTGCAGTAATGGGATATGCATAATATTCAGCCTTATAGTATAAACTACTGACATTGATATGTTATTTTTATTTCACATGCACTAGCTTACCTTAATGAATTTGAACATGGCTAAAGCGATCCAGTTGTTCAGCAGTTTATCTTCCAAGGTTTCTGTCCTGGAATTAAAAAATCAAATCTTATTTTTAAGTAGTTGTAGTAGTAATAACAGCCAATAGCAGCAGCATCAGTCAGCAACAGTAATATGATCAGTAATAGTAGTAGAAGTAGTAGTAGTTTTTGTAGTGCCGGTAGTAGTATTACCCGTAGTAGTAGTAGTATTAGCCGTAGTAATAGTAGTAGCAGTAGTAGCAGCAGTAGTAGTAGTTGTAGTAGTAGCAGTAGTAGAAGTAGTAGTAGTAGTAGTACATGTAGTAGTACATGTAGTAGTAATATAAGTAGCCATAGTAGTAATAGTATACAAATATACACTGCCTTGAGAGGTTCTGGTTAAAACTATGCGCAAGAGGCGATGGATGGATTCAATTCAACAACAAAAAATCACATTTTTTTTTCAACTCCCAAATAGTAAACCAAAATAGTACTCTCATATAGTACTTTCTAAAAATAGGTCAAATATTTTTGGTCATGTGACGAGCTCTCAACCAATCAAAAGCCAACAAATTTTTGATGCAGGATATAATAGTACATATAGTAGTATTAGTAGTAGTAGTAGTAGTAGTAGTAGTAGTAGTAGTAGTAGTAGTAGTAGTAGAAGCAGAAGTAGTAATACATGTAGCAGTAGTAGTAGTAGAAGAAGTAGTCCAAGTAGTAGTAGTACTACTAGTAGTATAGTAGTATTAGTAGTAGTAGTAGCAGTAGTAGTAATAGTAGTAGTAGTAGTAGTAGTAGTAGTAGTAGTAGTAGTAGTAGTAGTAGTAGTAGTAGTAGTAGTAGTAACAGTAGTGTAGTAGTAGTATATAGTAGTAGAAGTAGTAGTGGTAGTAGTAGTAGTAGTAGTAGTAGTAGTAGTAGTAGTAGTAGTAGTAGTAGTGTAGTAGTAGTATATAGTAGTAGAAGTAGTAGTAGTGGTAGTAGTAGTAGTAGTAGTAGTAGTAGTAGTAGTAGTAGTAATAGTAGTAGTAGTAGTAGTAGTAGTAGTAGTAGTAGAAGTAGTAGTGGTATTAGTAGTAGTGGTACATGTATATTAGTATTAGTAGCAGCAGTAGTAGTTGTTGTTGTAATAGTGGTAGTAGGGGTAGCAATAGTAGTACATGTTCTAGTAATGTTAATGCTATCATCATTGTTTCCATAATCTTCACCATTCAACAATATCTATATTATCATCATCATTATCATCATCATCACAATTATTCATCACAATCATCAAATCATTATCATCATCATCATGTAAATACTATTAGGTTAATACAGATTTTTTCGTAATTTAAGGCTGATTTGATGCATGTACCTTTTGAATAGTTGTTTGAGTCTCTGTCTATCGGCTGCTTCACCTATCGTTTCACTCATGAGGGTCATCAGCACACTGAATAAGAAGAAACAAAATCATATTTTGTAATTTCATGCAAGATAATTTAAAAGAATTGTGTTCTATGATCTTTATCAGACTGAAGTAATCATACTTTACAATTATTTTCAAGATTATGTAATTATTTAATTATCTATGACACAGCTGAAATAAGATTTATATTTCATATTCCTGACTATTTACCATAACTTTATTTCATAAATTTTATCATATTTAAAAAAAAAAAAAAAAAACAACTTTAATTATCATTCTATTCTCTTTATCACTTTATCACATTGAATAAATCAGATTTTTTACATTGTATATACGAATATACCCCCAAACATTATCAATGCTCATTCATATGACTTTAATCCTTCCGGTTTTCTTGGGGGATTTGCTGTAGGGTAAGATGACAAAATAACGTTTCTTTGGTTAGACTTCAGAGAGACGAATACTGGATGCATGCTCATGAAAGGTATGTAATCATTTATTCAGTGGAAGTATTCTTTTCAAGAGGGCAAACAAAAAGTATTCATGAAGCACCTACATGACATCGATAGTGATTATTCTACAATGCCCCAAATGGGAGTTCTCCATGTTTAAAAGATCTGTAGATACTTTGGAGTCATTAAGAACTGGTCTATTGCTGCATGTAAATGTTTACTTACTCTGTGAAATATCTAAACTTCCCTTCCATGACCAGTACAACAGTGAGGAGTGATGCTATGTTGGCTCTGCAAACAAAAGAAATATCAACATCATAAAAGTTGCATAAAGTAAAAGAAACAATTGTAAAATATAAACAATGAAATTTGACTGAAGCATCATTACTTTGAAAAAAATATGACCAATAAAATCTGATAAGAATATACATATTTTGCCACTTTATTTATGTGAGAAGGAGATAAATAATCTGCAACTTCACTTTAAACGTAGGACAAGATATGTAATGTTTACAATGTACAGTGAAACCTGTATATAAAGACCGCTCAAGGGAGACAAGTGGTCTTTATAGACAGAGGGTCTTTATGTACAGGTTCCTTTATACAGGTTTCAATGAAAAACCTGTTTCTAGGGAAGCCGAAAATGAGGTCTTGCCGTACTGGTGGTCATGAAAGCAGGTTTGACTGTATCAAACTGTGCTAATAAAGTATAGATCTCAGAAGCAAGTATCTTTAATAGCATCTGATTTGAGCGACACCAAATATACTAAAAATGTCAAATAATCTTTCATACTATAGTATTTTCCATCAGCAAATATGAGACCATACAGGCATTATCCTTCATTTTACATCCAGGGTCTTATGAACGATAGGGCTGATGCTTAAAGGAAAACTAAATGATAGTAGATACTAATAATAACCTAGTTAAACTGCCTGATTTTTTTCATGTGATATGAGACAATTATCTCCTCATCTTTGACTCAGTATCTACATGTATGATTGTGATGGGCAATAGAGTGGTCAAGTGTGACGTCATCAAAATAACTATTATTAGAGTTTCCAAATTTGAACTTCATTTTCCAAAAGAGCATCAAAATGTCTTAATGATGAAAACCAATTGAATATGTTAAGTATTGACTAATTTACCATGTTTTTTTGTTGTTGTAAATGAACTTCTTGATCTCGGTTGGCGGACTCCGGGACCTGCTTATTTTTGGGGCTCTGCGCGCATGAGACTGTATAGTATCCTACCATCTTTCATGTTTTGAATTGCGCAGATCCTTGAAACACGTTGGTCTCTTTGCCAATCCGCCAGGATTGAGAGGTCCATCCTTCACAGGGGCCCCACTCACAAGCATTACTTTTTGGGGTATCAATTTGGATCACGTTTGTTCATCATGATTGCTATGTCATGTGTTTTTTAATAAACTGAACTGAAACTGAACTGAAGATATGCCCATCCGAATGAATTTATTTCAATAGGAAATCACTGTTATTTTGCTCTGGTTGATTACATTACGAACCAGAGCAAAATAACAGTGATTTCCTATTGAAATCTATTTAATGTGATGGTCATATCTCATTCAATATGTCATATATTCAATTGATTTCCAACATTTGACATTATTTTTGATGCTCTTTCGGAAAATGAAGTTCCAATTGAGAAATTCTAAAAATAGATGTTTATGATGTCACAGCTTCGGTACACTATATAGTCTTGTATCCCAGCCAAAGCCAGTCAAATTCAAAACATCAGTGGTCTACACAACATAAATGATGTCATAAAGTCTCACTTTTCCTTGGTAGAGATCTGTTTGCAGCTATCAAGAGTGTGTATGAAAACAATCAGGAAATCTTTGTTGCTGATGAGCTTCGAGAACTCCAGCATAGCACGCTGCTCCATCTCGCTTGGGATCTAAAATGTCAATGCACAAGAGAAATAAAGTCCATCTCTACATACACTCTTAATTCATATAAGTATCATTTTCATTATTTTTGAGGGAAAATTTATACATTTCATATGTCAATTCAAGTTCTAAAGCTTTTTCACATAATGATGAGGTAAACTCAAGCGCTTTAATACAGCAGTGTAATTTATTTCATCTGTGTAAATGAATACAAAAATGTGGGGGGGGGTAGATAGGTATCTGCATGCTACAATGGACTGTATAAAGTGTACCAGTACTCACTTTAAGATACAGAGATGTGAAACCCATTAAGCTTATTCATTTTATTTTTGCCCCTGAAATCTGTTGCGACCTTAAAGGGAACAAGCCTTTAAAATTTGAAGAAACAAAAATTCCCCTTCGTGTTAGGTAGTTCAATTTCAATTGATGATGTGCCTCAACACTAATACTAGCCTCAAAATTTTCTTGTGAAAGTCATTTTTCTTGCACTGACAGGGAAAATTGTGGGAAGAAGGAGTAGGGGAAGAAGGAGGATACTTTGGATGGACAGTCTGCAGAAATTGTTGGAAGAGAGAGGAGTGAAAGAACTGGGAGTGGTACTAATACAGAAGGCTAGGAACCGAGGGTTGTGGAACAGCATGATCGCCAAAGTCAATCGATATGGCACTTAGAGAGAGAGAGAGAAAGTCATTCAAAGAGCAAGAATATTTGGCTCTAGTGGATAAGTCACTGAAATGTGAAACACATTTCAAGGGTACGTTTTAATCCCTGCCATGGCAATAATGTCCATTGGTAATTGTTATCATTATTATCATTATTATAAAGATACCAATCACTTACTTCTGGTTCTGTGGTCACAGGCTTGACATCCAAACCAAAGAATAACATGCTCTTCATGTAGTCATGGTTACTGACAAACGGCATACCCAGACCCCTCAGTTGTTCTTCAATGTCTGTCATCTCCTGGTCTATGAAGAAACCTAAGAACACACAACCGGACAAACAAATCAATAGAGAATTTCTATGCCTACAGGTATATACATTTACATTATTTGATTTCTGTGAACCACATTGTACGTCATTTAGGTTGTTTTTTTCATTTAAAGATATTTTCCTTCTTTCTCAAAATGTTCTTGAGCTTTTGTGCGGCTTTGGGTCACCTTTCAACTTCCAGCTGGTTCACAAAACAGAGACAAACAAATGAGAATTTCTATGCCTACAGGTATATACATTTACATTATTTGATTTCCGTGAACCACATTGTATGTCATTTAGGTTTTTTGTTTTTCTCATTCTTTCTCAAAATGTTCTTGAGCTTTTGTGCGGCTTTGGGTCACTTTTCAGCCTCCAGCTGGTTCAGTAACTCTATAGATCCATCAAATGAAGAATAATCAATTTTTAAAAATTTAATATCATGAAAATGAATAGCAAACGTGCAATTTGTAAGTTCTTGAGGTAAAATACTTGTAATTTTATTTAGCTTCATCAATGATAAATAAAAATAAGTTGGACTAGGTTCTACTACTAGATGCTCACTAAATGCGAGATTTGTATACACATTAAAGGGATCCGGTAACATTGTCTCAGATCCGGCTTTAAGAAAATCCTTGATTTAGCTCATGCTCCAATCATAATTATAAACCTTTGGGGCATACACCTGTACATGAATCCCATGACATTTACAAGCCGATCGTCTGTCTGATTATCAAGATATTTATGATTAGAAATCGAATTCAAATTTTGCGTTTTCATAAAACTACAGTCTATTGGGGAAAACGAGTACCGGTATAGTATAAGCGGTCACTCTCTGATTTTTAATTTTTTGAGGCACATCTTGATCGTTCTGAAGCGGAATTTTGTTAGGGCTTCAATATTACACCATATCACAGACACTGATAACACATAGGGCCATGCATCTCAGATTTAACATTGTTAAACGATGCCTTGAATTGCATATCTGACTAGGTTTCATCATAAACTATGATGAAATGCACTGCCTAATATGTCTTGAAATTGATTGCATACCGGTCATGACCTCTCTTCTGGAATGTTGCATGAGGTTCTCCATTTCCATTTCCGTATTCCTGATCTGGGCTTTGTAGTTCCTATGCCCGACGCACACAAACGCCAGGAAGATGACGATGCTTAGGACCACGACCCCTCCCACAACACCTCCAACGACGGCAGGCCATATAGAACCACTGTCATATTGGGCTTGACCCACGACCTGTCTCAGATTATTCCCATGAAACACCTAATAAATGAGAAGAAAAAAAAAATAGACGACGTCACACTACAAAAAATGCAAGTCTTCTGTTCACTCTGATGCCCAGTTAAAGGTTATGTGGTCCTTGTTTGGTTACCATTGTTTCCATTAATTCCATCGTTTCCAAATGCAGTATCTCTTTGTCTGGAAATCAAATAAATTAAATAAGCAATAAATGAATTGATTTTTTGAGGGAGGGATTCTCTCCATCTTCATGACATGAAATACTAAGTGCTCTGGCATATGCTCCAGCAACAATTCATCAAAAGTATTGGGTTAGGGATAGGATAAGATTTTTGGTTTCATTAAGGGCAAGTGTTGGAGTAAGGTAAAGTGTTGGGGCCAGGATAGACTTTGGGATTTCAATAGCCTAGGAAATGAATGCAAAGCAAAATGCTGCAGCTAGGAGCATGTATCGTGCACACCAAACACTAACCACAATGTTGAGGGCATTAGGATCAATGCCCGTATTATCTCCTCTGCATACTCCATTCTCTGATTGGGTCCACATGTCTACACCGTAACTACAGCAAATCTGAGCCCTGTTGACCCGTAACTTGGAGGAGTGCGGAAAATTAAGTTTTAATTTGCTTTTGTGTAATACTGTATTAAAATAAAGGAAAAATATATTAGTTATTCCTTTATTTTTTACATTTATTCAGCTTACCACTGATATGAAGTTGGATTTTTTGCAAATGGGGTCTTTGATCTACTTTTCTTTTTAGGAAATACTTTTTAGGTTTCGTTTCATGGAGTTAGGTAGAGTGTTGGGTCCAGGACAGAATTTGGGATTTCAATAGCCTAGGAAATGAATGCAAAGCAAAATGCTGCAGCTAGGAGCATGTATCGTGCACCCCAAACACTAACCACAATGTTGAGGGCATCAGGAAGACCAGTATCATCTCCTTTGCATACTCCATTCTCTGGTTGTTCTATAGGAGACAAACAGGCCAATGAAGTCGTCGTCACCTCCGTCACGTCACACTCTCCTTTGCCCATGCAAACGGTCACAAAGTCCTCGGTACTCTCTAATGGTACCATGAGGTTCTCTCCCTGAAAAAGAGGTGGGGAGGGGGGAAGCAAGGAAAAAAATAAGAGAAAATATGATATTAATGATAATCAATTGACATACCATTTAGATGTATATTTTTATCAATGATTACAAAATTTATAGGTACTGTAATGTCAGTCACATAATACTTTTCTAATATTTTTCTAACGAAAGTTCTAACTATGATGAAACACAAACACAAACATTAAGCAGAGTCGTTCTGAACTTATATAAATAGAGCGAAGTATAATAAAACAAGGAGTATAACAATGCAAAATAGATGTATGGAATAAGTGAAACCATACTTCAATATAATCATGATGAATGAAAATGCCTTGAATATTTCAGTACTACATGTAGTTAATTATAGCTTGGACTTAGCCATGGTAATACAAGCAAATGCCTCAACATCATTGGAACGTATCTAAGAATAGGTATGAGAATGATTCTAACACATCGAGGGGCTGATGCATAATTCTTTAAAGATAGTTACTTCTGTGGCAGTTATTGGAATTATATATAGGAATAATTTCTTAAGCAAGAAATCACTTGACATAAACAAATATCATTATTTTAAAGATCTTTTTCATGATGTTTTTAGCATTTTGAAGGTGATTGAGATACGATCACATCTTTGATTTTGAGATGAAGCTGGCTGTGTAAATCGCATGCATATGCCGGATTATAGCAGTTTAGTCTACAACCAGTTCATCTACTTTTAATTTCCTTCTGAAATTAGTGTAAGAACATGTTGTGAATTAGCACGGCAGATTGAAAATTGGGAGTGCGGTTTATACACACAGTTGGGTGGTTTATTTATACAACGTTATTTAAGGTAATAAGATTATCTAATACCAGTACATACTCTAAGTGTCACTGCTTCTCCTGGACTCGAGATGACATAGGCGCTTGTCAATTCTTCATATACTGGATCAGGATGAACTGACAGGTCTTCAAATGATGAAACTGTTAGACCGTCCAAGAGGAAAGCAGTTTCTATTGAAGTTGCCTCTCTACGTCGACGTGACGGGGCTGGTGTCATGTCTGATGTATTGTCCAGGTCGGGGGTCAAGCAGTAAATTGTGTCATTTTTGTTCACCGAACATTCCTGTTGATACAATAAAACAAAAATCCTAATCAGCAAGAAATATGACAAGAAGGTATTTCAAACATTGTAGTTTTAAAAGAATATATTAATCTAATCTTATCAAATCATACAACCTCTGAGTCTGTAAAGCGGTACGTTTGCCTTGTTTTTCTCTGTCTTCCTGTTGTACCACTTAATTTATATGTAATTATTCATATAGTTTAGGGACAAGCCTTTGATAGGCCTTTAATTAGCCTTTGTTTGTCCCCCAACATTTCGATACTTCTGTTCTGTTGTGTTATTTGTTGGAATTGACTTTGTATTGTAAAGGTTTGTTATTGTGATTTTTATCAAATGTGCAAATAAATAAATTGGATTGAATTGTATTATACATACTATGGGTCAATATTTTACATTTAAAAATTCACATCTTCGACCCTGGGCCAAACTCTATACCTCGTCATAACACCAAAGCCAACAGGACACATGTCGCAGGATTCACCTGGTGATATTTACTTTTACTCTGTCAACATTCTTACTTCACTACCTACTACATGCACTGGGGGCAACGGTACCATAATCCTCCTGCAATTAAGTGATTTACCTTGGAATACCATGTCTCAGAAATTCAATGTTTCTTTATACGGAGGTACCAAAGTTGTGGATTCTCAGCTGTATATATAAGCATCTCATATCCTTTTTAAATTTCAAAACAGACTAAAGCCTTGTTCAGTAGTGACCAGATAAACTACAGCGTTGTTACACAGCGCTCAGTCAATATGCATAGGACCTTTGCTGCATGCAGTTGCCTTTCATTTCAAAAGCAGCAGTTAATTTACTTCTTATCTGAACAACAAATGTAGGGCACTAGCTAAAGTACATTTACTGTGCTTACATTGTATTTAAAGCCCTTCCGTTACCACATTCACCTGTTTAATCAATCACTCAATAAAAATGGCCATCAAATGACATTATAGTGCCCACATTCAACTCTCCATTGCAATATCTCCAGCAAATATATAAAATTCTGGGCAACAACTTCAGCATTTCATAAAACTCACATTGTATGAAGACAAACTCTGCCTAACATTAATACATCAGAAAAGCTAATTCAGGCATACTACAGTGAATGGAAACCGCGTGAAACAAGGTTCCTATTAAAGCGCATTGACTGAACTATGCGTTATGAGATACAGAAATATTAAGCGTATTACACTAACAACATCATAACAAATTCTTTTACAGTTTGCCGTTTCATATTTGAATGAAGCTTAACTGTGAATTGTTCTTACCTGGTAAATGACCTCATCATCAAAGGTTAGTTGCAATATTGCAGTCTGTACATCAAAGAACCCTGACCCTGAAACAGTCAGCTCGATTCCGCCCCTAATGGTAGTATAGAAACAAATATCACTCAGTACAACTTGTATAAACTCCTGTAGTTAATATCTAATTGACATTATCAATTTTTGTGATAAATGAATTCATTAGATCTTTATTCTCCAACATGAAAAGGTGTTGACTTTTCGATGCATATCTACTTATTTCTGTAAATATACAGAGTGTCCGGTAACATATGGAGTCCAGTATTATGTGAAGTAACCATAACTGTACTTGTAATTCCAATTTTGAATCTTTGAATTATTAATTAATATTATAAGATGATGACGTAGATCCTAATCAAATGATTGGTTGAAAGCGTACACGTGACCAGGCATTTATTTTGCCTAACGCGTAATTTGGGTAATGACCGGTCATTACCACATCTAGCTAAAATTAGCGCAAAATAAGCGCGACACAAGTCAGAGGTCTAATATTAGACGCGCGCAAGGCAAGGCACGCCTCAATGTGCGCTTATTTTAAACCATGAGTTATTTTAATGAGAATTTAAACCATGGATTAGATTTAAACCTCCTTTGTGAATTCGGGCCTTTGAGTTTGAGATAAGGGCGATTGATCAAATAACAAGGATCCACGTTATAATGTTATAAAACAAATAATACACATCATTTTGTTCGGGCATTAGAATAATTACCCACACTCGGTACCTTTGAAAAAGTCTAACACGCCCTCGGCTATCGCCTCAAGTGTGTTAGACTTTTCCAAAGGCACCTTGTGTGGGTAATTCTTACTAATGCCCTCACTGCTGTGTATTATTTGTATACTATTCCTAATTTACAGGGAAGAAAATAAACAAACTAGTAATCTACAATATTATATTTACATAAACAAACATATTCCCACTATGACTAATCTTTTTGTTATAACGAAATCATCAGTATCTTCTTTAACAATTTTCTTTCATATTTTGGAGTCAAAGTGCAATTCTCATCAGAAAAAAAAAAAAATAGAAAAAGCATTTTGCCAAAGCAATGAAGAGAGAGGGAGAGAGATTAAAGCACAATTTCAATGCCCTACATAATCATCATTTGATTTCGCTACTTGGCAACATGTTATAACTGCAACATAATGATACAGTAATAATTTAATTTACCCAGGGAAGCCTTATCAGCATCACAGCTGTTCTCCTTGAGGGACCTGCAAGCACTCATTTACCCCTGGGTGGAGAGTGGCAAATGTGGAGTAATGTCTTGCCAGAGGACGTTAGTGCCGGGCTGAGATTCGAACCCTCAACCCTTAGATTGAGGGTCCAGTGAAGGAACCACTATACCATGACACCTCCACCATATCAAGTATCACACCTATTGCAGATTCATTCATGACTGATCGGTAGAATACAAAAGAATTCTCTCAAACTTACGACATGATGGATTCCTTGGGTGTATAACCAGTAATGACAGGATCACTGACATAACTATATTCACCCGGAACCACTCTCTCTGCTCCATCGAAACTCACGATAACTGATGAAGCATTGACCCCGGATCCAGTTTGGCATTGTATCAGCTCAGGAGTTACACTGAATGGAATATTAAAACATAAAGATTGACTAATTAATGTACATGTACAATCAGTTGTAAAATCTAGTTCCACTTTAAAGCTACAAGTAATTGTATCTAGGAAAAAAATAAAAATCATATAATTTCATAAAAAAAAGTGTAGTTAGTATTCAAAGTGATAATATAATATAACAGCATTAATCCTCATTACCAGGTCCCTCGGAGAGGGCCTAAAGCCGTCGGCCATCTGGTTGCTTACTTACAAGCATTTATGCTTTCTTAGCAGCCCTGTAAAATAACCTCCATCACCACCGTAATTAAGGTCATCATCATGTACAGATTATTATGACACTAATAAAACCCTCAAATTCAATAATCTGCATGTTGCACAGGTATCAAAGTGACCTTCCCATGTGCTACTCCGACATATGCTCTGGCAACAATTGCTCCAGACTTTGTTTCATTGAATATGTACAGGCAGGGTCAAAGGTTATGGTTATGATGTGTTTCATGGTACGTTTACGTGTCAGCGTTATATGTGTTGTGTAAGGGTTATGGAAAGTGCTAGAGTACAGTGTTTGGTCCAGGATTAAAGTAAACCATTTGTTCAGTTTGAACTTTAGAATTCACTTTACGTACAACATTAACCATAAGGCAATTGTCACCAGCGCAAGTATACGTGTCATACAAGCTCTACAGCTTACAGGTTTTTGCACAAACAAGAAATAGCTAGCCTACCCATTCTCCATTATGTTGCATTCAGCCTCCCCTACCGAAACCCTGATGACTCTCCCTGTAGCTAGGTCTTCCCCGGTGATATTCATCTCGGTCCCTCCAGCTCTTATCCCCCTTAGAGGTGAGAAACCAGTAACTTTAGGGTTCTGTAAAGTAGAAGGACAAACATGACACAGATTCAAATATATGGGCATAGTTTTGAGAGCCTTGGGCACTATGACAAGTAAAACTCAAAATTTTGTTTTCTCTGAATATGTAATTTAACAGAGCAGTGCATATTACAAATTTTAAAAACTTGGTTATTTTTTCATAACCAACTGCCATGCTGTGGACTGCTAAATACTAGTACGTAAAAGGACTTAGAAAGCATATTCCAATTCACAACTTAACTGCTAGGAAAGTAAAGCAGTACATTTAACCTTTTCAGGCGAACTAATAAGCCACCAATATTTTGATGATGTATGTTATTGTTGGACAATGAAAAAAAAAAAGGAATCCAGCTGCTCTGATTTTATTGATGTATGTGTAATACAAGAATGGAATATTGCCATCATTTACATTGTGTCACCAACTGCCAATTAGTTAAAAGGTAGTTTTATTGTTAAATTTTCCCCTAATTGTGACTTAATTCCCCAAAACCCTACCACCAGTGGATCGAAGCCTAGACTTTAAACATTCAACTGTGTCACTCCTATTGCACTACTGCATGTTACTTATCTTATCACAGGATGTCATCATTTACCCTTCATAAATAGTTGGAGAGGATAACTTGACAGCTAGTGTGTCACTCAGAGTGTGGTAATTGTACAATGTAGATCATTGAGAGGATTTATAGCCAGCTTTTTTCCAGTTGTTCTTTTATAGTGTTGGAATAAAAAGACACTATTACAAATTCTTTCAGACTCTTTTTTGAGTATTACTTTCCTGCATCACAGGAGCAACTAATTCAGGGGGGGGGGGGGGGGGGGGTTCACAAAGATCCTAAGTTGAACTTATCTCTAAGTTGGACAATTATGGAAGGCCGTTAGTATATTTGAAGATATTTTGTAAAACTTATTTTAAAAAGCATAAAATGTTGATTCAAATCATTCATATTTTTTTTATTATCAAGGAGATTTCATATTCATGACGTGGAATTTATGAAAAGTCTAAAATATTTGACTTTTTGCTTTTGAATATATTTTATTTTAAGGCTACAAATGGCTCTCCATAATGTTTAAGTCCAAATTCGCGTAAAGTTCAACTTAGGATCTTTGTGAAATACCCCCCTGATCAACCGAGAATCATGTTCAGACTATCCGTTAATGTACTCACCCGGTATATGAAGGATTCATCTGACACAGCAGTCCCAAAGACAAAGACAACCGTTGCAACGCCTTCCAGAGTTTGATTGTCCGAGCTTCCAGTAGAGCAATTAATACTGTTTGAAACAAATGAACAGGTAAAACATGATTGTCATAAAACAATGATTAAATCGCTACTGCATGTACACCTCCAAACTGGTTTAGTAGCTACAAGTACCCACATACTGTATGACAGGCTTCTATTTCTACCTTGATTCAATTTTGAATGTGATGACATTTAGTGTAAACTGTTGCTCAATCTAAAGTGCTTCCAGGCACCACTCTAAATACTTTTCATTCTCTGTCAACAAATTTAAAATGTTCTCCTACTCCTCTGCATGTAATGGATCCTCAGATGTTCCAGTAAACCTAAGGGCTAGTCTATTGTCGATAATGATTTTATCTGTCACCCTGTCGATGTAAAACTTTCCTGAGTTCAAAATCATTGGAAAAAACACAACTTTTGCTTTTATGAATCAATGAATGCATTATTTTTAGAAGTGTCATCAGAAAGTCAAACGTGCATTCTTGCTAAAAATAATGCATGGAAAAAAATGCATGTTACAAAGGCTTTATCCTCTTTAAGAAATCCATGTTTCCTGAAGGGAATGTGTCTGCAGGACACAATATTAATAAATACCATGTAGATTTTTTTCTAGATAATGATGTGATGCATCAAAGGCCATATTTTTCTCTCCAACATCCCAAGAATTAAAAAAAAAAACTTTTACAAGACCGGCTGTAAAAATGTTCTGATTACAAACAAAAATTCTGTTGATTAGCTCAAATAGTGCCAAATTTTCTTTGTCAATGTTAAGTGTCGGCCCAAAATCTATCGACAACGGACCCAAGTGAACCTACAGTAAATTAGGAATGAAGATGAACATGTTGAACTGACCTGATTCCTGGATCCAAGCTGCCATCTATGATCAAGCATTCCACTCCTGCTACTGTAATGTTAACAGTCTCATTCTCTTCTGCAGGCAGGTTTGTACCGCTGATAGTCAGATTAGTGTTACCCTCCACTGGCCCCGTAACAGGGAAGAGCTATTAAGTAAACATTAAGAGATGTAACATAAACAGATAAGAGAAGTATTAAGATCCATAGCATTAAATTAATTTTTCCTCCTTACTGCCTTCATTTTTTAAACATTAACTCCAGAGGTTGCAAAAACTGTCTCTGCTGGGAATTAAATCAGGGTCTTTGGCTGTGTACACCAAATGCCTTAACCACTAGACCATGGAGATGGACAGATACAATCAACAACAGACAGCCCTTCCAAAGCCTAGGCTGTTTATTTCATTAATTTTCTTGAAGGGGGTGATAATAGTTTTCTTTCGGAATGAATGCTCATAACCATTTACCTTTTGCTTATGTTATGTTTACTAATTTTTGAAACTTTGTATTGTGGGTGGAATATGGGTGATGTCTCCTCTAGTTATGATGATATCAATAATTTTAGACTGGTATTGTGGTATGAATTAAGTTCTTATGCACAAAGTTATTTATTTTTGTTAGATACATGAGAAATCAATTTGACTTCTTTCTTAAATTTACAATGAAAATGCCACCCCCCCCCTGTGATACACAAAGCTAATATTCACACATAATTTCAGTGAACATATTTCCATAAGAGTGCTAATCTAAACTCACTTTAGTAATTTGGGGGTCTGGGCAGCTGTTTGATTGTCCTCTTCCAAAAAAGTCACTGTCGCATGGTTCGTCAGTGGCATTCACCTGACAGGACAAGGATCCGGTACACCATCCACATCCAAGCTCCGCTCTGATCGACGTTGTCACACAACTACGGCAGTTCACTCCACTCACAGAGCAATTATACAGGGTTACTGCAACAGAGAAAGAAGATTTAGGCAGCTTTAACAAAATGAAGTGCCATGAAAAGATGCATCCGGAATGTAATTTAAAAAATTCTTGAAAATTGTAATTTTGCCACAGGAAAGGGGGCTTTAAAGCCTGTCTGCACTAGTTTGGCCAGGAGGGATCAGACCTCCTTGCTTTGTAACTGACAGGCAGTTATCTCATCAAATCAGCTCTCAATTAACATAAGCCAAAGGTGATCATGGGGGACCAACAGGTCCCGCTTAGGCATTGTTTGATATAGAGGTTCAAGTAGCTACAAGTAGTGCAGTCCAGCTCTAAATACATGTTGTACCTTGATTAAACTCAAATATTGTTTACACTTTCTAACTATACAAACTTTTATTCACCAACATCATTATTAACTGTCACTCCTTTTGCATTCTGGATGTTTCTTTATGTATCACTACATTTTCTAAAAAAAACACTATTACAAAACTCATAAATCTGCATACTTATTCCTCCCATTTCCCATGTCTATGGCAGACTAAAGTATATTAATGAGTTATTATAAAGGAAGATCTTGCATCTTTAATTTCAGTTTATCGTAGAACAAGAACAGCCAAGAAGCTGAGTCAGCAAACAGTAGATGACAGGTTTGAATCCCACCTTTTTCAATTTTTCTGACTTGCGATTTTCTTTACATTACAACCCCATGATCTTAAAAACTGGTAGTAATGCCAATATTTTTATTTTTCATTTTTCTAGGGGGGGGGGGGGGGGAGGTACAAATTAAATAATGTTCTTTGAAGAAGAACAAATTGCATTGTTTTCATACATAAAGCTCCTTGCTTTTGTCAAGCATACCGGATGACCACTGTTAATGACAGAGAAGGAATGAACTAATTCTATAAATTCCTTTTTGGGACAACATAAAAGAAACTATATCTACAATTTATGTTTAGATGTATCAGGAAAGGGCATTACAAGGGGAAGAAAATATGAATAGAATCATGAAGTGTAAAAAAAAACTATTTTTACATGTATGAAAGCAAAATATGGCACACTTGTAATAGTATAACTTAAGCTTTCACACAATCCAACAATTCTATATAAACAGAAAAAAATAATATGGCATTCTCAGCTAGAATAAGCTCTTGGCTTATTCGTTTGATAAGCTTCAATTTCGCCATAAAGTTTGGGATATGTCATTTACATATAAATTTCATATAGTACTACCTGTATTTTCTTGATTATCAAGGGAAAATCCAGCCATGTACTCCACACGAATGCTGACTTGTACTTCTAGACCATCAGATGGATCATAATCATACTGAAAGATTGAAAGATGAGACAAAAATAAAAGAAGGGAAGGAGGAGGAGAATGAGAAGCCAAGAAGAGAGAAAAAAGAAGGAACAGAAGAAGCAGATAACAAAGAAGAAGGAGAAGAAGAAGAAGAAGAAGAAGAAGAAGAAGAAGAAGAAGAAGAAGAAGAACAAGAACAAGAAGAACAAGAAGAACAAGAAGAAGAAAAAGAAGAACAAGAACAAGAACAAGAAGAAGAAAAAGAAGAAGAAGAAGAAGAAGAAAATGAAGAAGAAGAAGAAGAAGAAGAAGAAGAAGAAGAAGAAGAAGAAAATGATGAAGAAGATGGTAAAGAAGATGGGAAACATATTAAGGCTGCCTACAAACATTCCAAGCATCTCACATGTGGGGTATCATGGTTGGCTGAATTGACAGGGAATCTCTCAACTCTAGCAATGCATGATCTCACTCTCTGTGAACGTTATGCATGCCTTACAAACTGATAATGAAGGATAATAATACAAAACCTCTATTATATCTACAAAATGAAATACCATGAACTTATCAAGTGCATTTTACTTTCATCATATATACAGTACTGCATACATGTATTAAAAAAACAACAACATAACTTGGAAAAATAAACAAATTATACAATTAAATTAAATGAGATAAGATATAACATAGAACAAATGTTGCTTTTAAAAGCAACCTGTAACCTGATTAAAGGATTGGTCTTTTAAAATGATTAGTTTAATTTTAAATGTAGTAAGAATGACATTACAAAGAAATGCATCAATCCTAATGTCTATATCAGTACAGTTCAAAATCAAAGTTGAAATGATCTTACTTACCACTGTTTCTTGGCATTCCACGGATGTACTATTGTAATGACTTACACCGACTTCCCTGAATGTCGTTCCATCTTTGCTCAGGATGCATTTGTAATCCACCTACAAGGAATGTGGTAAAAACAAATTGTTTTAATGTACTGCAAATGTAAACACTTCAAAGTATATCTCATTAATAATCCTTCTTGATCTGTATAAAAATTATGCAGAAAAAACACAAAAGATCATGCATATCTTTTGGAAAAAACATGGCATTTAAGCTGCTTCTAAAGTTTCACTTGAAATGAATTATTAAAAAAGTACAATATACAACAAACACAAACAAAAAAAATCATGAAGTATTACTACAACAATTTTGCACAATGCATTCATTGAACTGTTTCCTTAAGATTCCCTTCTGATTGTAGAAATTACTTGCAATTTACAAGAAAAGCCCTAATTTTTTTCTTCTTCAGAAGAAACAACGTTTCATGTTTCAGTTAAGAAGAAGGAAGAAAACATCAAATGTCAAAAGCCAATAAATATGTTATGCAAACATTTATGTATAATCTGTAATACACATCGTACAATTTTTCATCTAGGATTTAATTTCATAGGTAGTTTGCTCATAAAATCGTATTTCTTGTTTCAAAAGAGAACCATTGAAAAATGTCAAAACGGATCAATCACTTCTATATGATTACAAGTCAAGTTTTGAAATATAAAGCTCTAGTCATCCTTTATTACCTATACTACCATGCCTCACTTATTTTTAACCAACCTCATAATCAACACTAATAAAATAAAAATTAAGAAGTACGATTAAATATTGCCACTTCAATCAATAAAACTTCTGATGTCTCTCGCATAGGATGTAAAATGGGAGGCATTGTTCATTTCACTCTAGTAGCAGGACATTCAGGTGTAGTGCAGTGGTACACCCACACATCCCAATCAGTTATATCAGGAGGAGAGCTGGGAGGGTTTCCAGAAATTCAGTTCACCTTCCCCCTCCCAGATCCAGGGGCAACCAAACACTTAAAGATATAGTTGAGTTCTGGTCATGCGATTGCATTGTGAAAGAAACAGTGTGGAATCGATCAGAAAAGGTTGATCATCTAGCATATAAGAATTGATGTGTACTGCAAGGTTCTGGAATCGTCAACATTATACAAAATTTGGCCCAGTCTAGGTAAAGTTATAAGCACTGTACACAGAAAAATGTATATGGGACTACACAAACATGTGGCATAAAAAGCCATTCTAATTTTTACGCTGTTACATGCCATATTTAGAATATTTAGGCATTTGAGGAGCCACGCTTTTCAAGGAACATTTTTTTAATCTGATGTTCTTCCAAACTCGCATAATAAAAATGGAAACGCTCACAACTTATTTGTCACTTCTTCCCAGAACTCAACATTCTCTTTAATAATGATAATAATAAAAAAAGATCTTCACCTCAGGCCCAGATGGGATGTTACTGCCTGTGAGTAATATAGCACGATCCAGGCCTACAGGTATCAAGATCTCTGTCGACACGTTTTCTAGCTGGGGACATGACGAGGAGTCCTGTGCCTATAAACAAGCATAGTAATAAAGACTACTTAGTGATGCATTCACAGTATAATGAAGTTTGATATTTTAGTTGTAAATGGAAGAGGAATATCAATACTAACTGGTACAACGATGAAGACCTATAAACAATATCTGGCATAATATTCTTTTCTTCCTATTCTTCTCCACCTTATTATATATTTAAAGGAGATGATGAATCGTTTAATGTGACAGCATGCTGGTTTGAAAGAATCTACTCTTGGTGATTTATTCTTTGCTATGGTACTTGGAGAAAAAGCTAAAAGTCACAATAAAATGAATAACAGATTTTTTTAAAAGCAAAACTAATCATGGAAGTACTCCCTTGGTAAATATTCATCTACAAAAAAAAAAAATTCTATTCACCAATGGAATACTGAGCCTTTAAATTCAGGCTGGAGACTGGAAAATGTGTGTTTTGCCAAGATAAAATCACATGTAATGGGGTAATGAAATAGAGTAATGACCATACCTTTAAAAAACAAACATATATACATGTATATACTAAAAAGTCACATTGATTTTCTATTCTGATATCTATAACATTATTAAAAGTAACTTGAACTTTACACTGGTTGCTCATTAGAATGAGAAATACAAATATTTAATTTAGTTGCCATTCTGAAGTATACAGTAATTGAAATTCAAAGAGTGTTAAAGTCCACAATCACCAAAATTACTAATAGAGATACATTACAAAATAAAATACTAAAAGTTTATCAGTAGTTTTATTAGACAAAAACTATTTACACAATTCTGGTTATCTTAACAAACCATGTGTGGTTTCCTGTATAGAAAGACCAACAGTCTGTAAAGACAAATTATTTTAATTTCCCTGGAAAACCATTTCTCATTGAAAACATAGTACTAAAGATATCTGTACACAAAGACTGCTTGCCTTTGAAGACCACATTTCTTATCTTTCTTGAGCGTTATTTATACTGTGCGTCCCAGAAAAAAAAAAAAAATCAAGTCAAGTCTTTCGTCTTCTTTAATTGTGCATGGCTGATCGTCAACGAAACAGAGTTAAGTCTTTTGTCAACTCTGTTTGTTGCTACGGCAGGCAGCCAGTGAAAACAAATTTGTTTAATCAAATTATGGAAGTGCAAGCATTACTTTAAACAAACAGAACTTTGTTATTCCTGGATCATTTTTCCAGATTGAGGTGTCATATGAAAGGGCAGAAAATGAACTTTCTAGAAATGTTTTTTTCTCTTTGAAATTCAGATAGCGCCCTAAAAATGACTTTTTGGTACCCTCTCTTCAAACTATTTTTAATCACTCATGCATGAAATATGCATCATATAAGTTGCATTAACTGAAAGAATGGGATCTAAGCTTTACAAATATGTGTCATTTATTACTTATAATTGTGATTAAGTTATGATAAAACATTGATAATTCTCGGTTTCATTTTTTCTGGGGCGCACTGTATACAGGTTTCACTTACGTTAACAACGTCATTGGGACAGCTACTTGACCCATCCAAGGTACATCCGCCTCCAAAGATACACCAGTCACAACCAAAATCACTCATCACACATTCTGAACAACTAATGGTCAAGAAAATAGAATGAAGATGGGACAAAGGGTTAGTGTAAAAGGACAAATTCTAGTCCATGGAAATCGCTCGCTTGCCCAAATCATGAAAACATAGATATCTCCAGAAATATTTCGGCCAACACAACAAATTCAGGAGCAGATATTAGAATTCAATAAGCATTTTAACTTGAGTGGTGTATCGATAGGATTGAAGTATATTTTGGCCTGATTTTCTTTAAAACACTCACTTTGGGTGAAAAATGTGGCAAGAAGTTTGGTCAAAACATAAGAGTCTTTGCATCTAGGTTTCCTTATTTCACGCCTCAAGCATTTTATATTTGATTTTTTTTCTCTCTCATCAATTGTGATGAAGGGAACAAATATTACCAATAAGAACTTTTCATGGCCCATTGAACAAGTAAAAGCAAAGCTATAGGGTTTATAAAAAGCGGACAAAAGTTTCAGAGCGGACAAAAGTTTCATGCCACACAATAATTGAATAACAGATGACATAATTTGTCAAATTTACCATGAAAATTGCCTTTGTTGACAAATCTCGAAGTTTCAAGTCATGAAGGGTAGCAGTTTTACAGCAGAAACAAAGTACATACATTACAGAACCGACAAGACGAATCATTTTGAAATCGCCATTAACAAAATTATTATCAAAATCAAATTATGGAGCCAGTTTTGGTGGAACTCTCAGTGAACTTAAATGGGAAAAAAGAGTAATATCATGAAAAACAAAGCTTTTTTTAATAAATACTTTATTAACTCATTATCTACAGGAAATGGGTGATTCCTGTATTAAACCTTTGTGAGAATGAGATAAAGACCAAAAATAATAGGTTGGTTCCTCTTTAAAGACTGAAAATGTATGCACTACATGTAAATTATGATTTAAATTTGTTTTTATCAATAGAAGTACCTTCATCGCATTGCAATGGAAAACATGAATTTATGATAACAAATATTCCTGGCATGACAATGTTGTACCTGTTTATTGCAGAGCACGCAAAGAAGTCAAAATCTTCCACCACAATGATATTATCTGTTGCACTAGAATGTATACCGAGCTTCATGGTAACAGAATCTACAGAAACAAAAAACAAATATGATAAAAATATGAACATCACCGAAACCGAAATCTATGACTTTCCCATCACGTCATTCTTTGGGTACATTCTCGTAATCTTCTTACTTCTGGAATTTCATGGGTGTTTATAATCAAAGGACAAAGAGATCTAATTTCTTAGTGATTAAAGATAAAGGGCAGTGGTTAAAGTTAAAGAAGGATATTTTGTCAACATGTGTAATATATTTTGACATGAAATATTCTTTACACTGAATATAGCATACATACATGGATTTCATGAAACATGTGTTATTTAAATACTCTATCACATACACAATGAACTTCCTGGTTAGAAAATTCTGGAGTTAAAAAAAAAAATCTGAACCCCCCATAAAACAATCTATATACAAGTACTATGTCAGCAAGACTCTGCATTTTCAATGACCAACTAAGGAAATAACATACCTTTGGGGGAAAATATAACAAAAATTAAAATTTGTTGAGAATACAATATAATGTACATCATTTCACATGTAAAAGACTTGACTGTTACAAACTGAACTGTAAACATGAAGTGTTATTTGCACACATTCAAAAGATATCAGTGAAGATAAAAAGCACTCATAGCCGATGAACCATGATCAAGTTACGTATAGTGGCCTCACACAATACAATCTTATTGATCCTGTTCTGTAGAATTCCAAGATGGGTTATACTGTGGTTGGCCTTTGATTTTGAAAACTTGTCTCACTCTCAAATAATAGTGTATAATTTCTATTGTACAGCCCGTTTGGATGTGCGGGCGTGAACCTAAAAATAAAATAAAAAAAGGTATACATGTATTGACTTGCACTTGTGGGTAAAAAGTGCCCTATGTTTACTCTGTGATCTTTGTATTGTAATTGTGATGCACACTACACATTAGTCATTTTATCTTGCCTCTACGGCCTTTAGAGTTGAAATGTTTGCATCACGTCTTAATATACTAAGTTTTGGTATGGGGTTAAATTGTAAATAATAAACTTTTTATGTTGTATAGCGCCCTCTCAAGGTCAAGATATTAATTTAGCTATAAAACAATGTTATTTGACTAAAATCGACCGATTTGCCATTGCCATTTATATATAATCACAACTGCATATTCTGAGATTTTCATGGTCGCAGCTACCATCGTATGGCCGTAGGCGCTATTTGAAAAAAAAATTTATTTCCAATTTTTCTCGAAAGCAGAAGTGTTTTACGGGCTAATTTTTTTAGTGCTTATAATACATCCATAGGGGCATCCAAATATATCAAAATTGCAAAGAATCACTATCCAGCCAATTTTCAAAATTTACCAAAACTTTGTAATACCTTTAACCGGGGCTTAAAGGCAGCCCTTTTGCAGCCAACATCAAATTCTGTAGAATTTTGCAGGAATTATGAATATGTCATGTATGTCCTATCTGTGAAATTTAATCGTTAGCAGTACGTGTCCTAGTATTCTAATTATGCCAGGAAACCTGTTTACTTTCTAGACTTCACTGTCAGACACTATTGAGTGACTGACTGACTTCTTTAGTAATAACATACCTAAATTGAGCTGTAAAGGGTTCATGAGCATTTCTTCTTATAATGTCCAAAATTAAGCTGATTGAATCTTTGCGCAGCATAAAACCTACAACCACACGGTACGATGGTCTGAAAATCTGATTATTTTCTACGCATAATTTTCAAAACCTGTTGCGAAAATTTCTAACGGTCCGTATAATACATAAAGGCAATTACCAGTTCTAATCTTTTCATTTTTGGTTGGTATTAACTCTTGCTTACCATATGGGATTCATACAAGTTTATATTTTCAGCCCACAAAAGGGACACACCCCCTTTAAGAGTTGAACATTAATCTGAAACCTTGCACAAAAAAATCTACTGTATTTTTCATCACGTACCATGCATACTGTATTTTGACCCCAATCAAACCGATGTTATATTATTTCTATAAATAGATTTGACACATTGTAGATGTGCTACAATGAAGCCAGATTGTAATTATTATCATCGTTGTTATTGGGCGTGGAGAATGTAAAGAGAGATCATATTTTGTATTCAGATTCACCACCACAAACATGAGTAATACCAAACACGGAACCATAATTTGTAAGAGGAAATGATGGCCCATTATTATGATGGAAGCATTCCAGTACACTATTGTCACAACCCACTGCACAAACACTACTGCAAACTTGAGCAAACACTATCAGACAAACCAGTGGAAGAACTCAAAGTATTACACATTACACAAATTAAATGCTAAAGTGTGATTCATAATAAGGAAAGGTAACATGAATGCCATCCCCACAAAGGCCTTCATTTTCCCCTAATTTTTTTGGAGGGCAATTACAATTTAGTATAAAATAGTACATGTTCATCCTGTACTTGGTTAATGAGTTTAATGCTGGATTTTTTTTTCTATACAGGACTTAAACTTGAATTACACACATTATTGACTATATAGCTGTGAAGTGATCAGATCTAAAATCATTTGGCAGAAAGAACAGCATAAAAGTTAACCCGGAGTAAAAAAAAAAAATTCTTACAAATATAAATTTGGAAGAATTGGAGCCTGTCTGAAAAATTGTTGTAACCTACATTCATAGCAGGCATTGATTATGGGGTAAATGAAGGGCATGGCAAAGACCATGATGTGTTTTACACATTACACCTGTAAATGGTATTATCATGGATCCTTCATGTACATGTATATATGCATGCATGTGCCATGTCTTGTGTCGATATGATGGATTCAGAAGAATAATTGCCATAGATTTTTGTCTCTTAAAAAAAAAATTGTGCAACTTTTGATTAGAGTTGCACAGGTTTGCAAATATCTGAAACTAGATACACCTTGACGAGTAACTATATACTACATGACAGAATATTTTGAATAACAAACAGAAACAGTGCATGTATATGAAAACTGTTTTCTAAATTTCCTATCATTGCTGGGGTATTTCCTCTTGAAGGTGAAAACAAACTTTCTTTAATGTACACATATATTATACATCCCCTTCAGTTTGACACATTTTATAAGGTCTAGTGTTCAACAGCTGAAATAATAGTGCAAAACTACTTCAGAAATTTGCGTAAGTGGCAATCTACTTAATCAGGAGGGAAGTGAAACTTAAATTCATGGGACAAGTATCCATTTCAAATATTACAGCCGTGTTTGTTACCATTCAATTGGTATCACAGTGCATGAAAATATATTTCACTGTTGAAATAGTAAAAAAAAACATACCACATCAACTAGTAATAAATATGAAAGTGACTGCAGAAAATAAACACTTAAATTGTTTTAACAATAGGTTTCAAAAGATTAATAATAATAATGATACTGTATAATAATAATAATAATTGAATGTTTTTGTAAAGCTCATAATACAAACATGTAGGCATTGTTGCATGTCTCTATGTGCTTTACCAAACAGAATACAAAAGGAGTTGAAAGCGGCTTTTCTTTCGAGGGCACAACGCACTGGATTTTAAAATATTTAATTTGTCATGCAGACTCCTGCAAGATATAGCTTGTGGGATATACCCTTGAATCCTCCTCAGTCAAGGCCATTCAATATTGTGTGGAATAATCCCAAATTCTCATTATTCGCATTTCGGCGTGTCATCTATCGGATGTCACAGATAGGCCAAAATCCAACTAATCATGGGTAGACATCAAATCTATACTGATGCACAGGTATTTTTCCAATTTGTTTGTACTTGGGTAAGTGTAAGTTTGGGAATAGTATTCTCATGCTTCAAAGATAAAAAAAACCCATGGCAAAGCAGTTCTTAAAGGGATATATTGGGTATCTTTGTCTCAGATTCTAAACAAAAATCCTGGATTTAGCTCATGCTGCCATCATAGTTATAAACCTTTAAGTCAGTCAGGAATCCCATGAATTTTACAAGCTGATTGCTTGTCTGATTATCAAGATAGTTATGATTGGAATTAGAAATTTCAAAAAACTGTTTTCCCAATGGTATTTATAACACTACAGTGCGTCCGAGAAAAAACGAAACTAAGAATTATCAATGTTTATCATTTATAACTTAATCACAATTATAATTAATAAATGACACACATTTGTAAAGCTTAGATCCTCCTCTTTCATTTGATGCAACTCATATGATGCATATTTCACGCATGAGTGATTCAAAGCAATTTGAAAAGAGGGTACCAAAAAGTCATTTGGTGTGCGGTATTTGAATGTCAAAGAGAAAATCACATTTCTAGAAGGTTCATTTTTTGCCCTTTCATATGACACCTCAATCATGAAAAATGAGCCAGGAATAACAGCATTTGCATCATTTTATTAAACAAATTTGTTTTCACTGGCAGCATCCAGTTTTCGTCTTGTTTGTGCATGGCTGACTGTCAACAAAACGGAGTTAAGTCATTTGTCAACTCTGTTTGTTGATACGGCAGGCAGCCAGTGAAAATGAATTTGTGCGTGAAATATGCATCATATGAGTTACATCAAATGAAAGAGGAAGATCTAAGCTTTACAAATATGTGTCATTTATAATTGTGATTAAGTTATGATAAAACAAATTATAATTCTCGGTTTCGTTTTTTCTAGGATGCACTGTACAGCCTATTAGGGAAAATGATTATGGTAAAACCTGTCACTTTAAGATTTTTACTTTTTTGAGGCACTTCATGATAATTTGAAACACAATTTTTTTAGGGCTTCAATATTACACCATACTGCAGACATTGATAACACGTAGAGCCATGCATCTCAGATTTGTAAAACTGGAAACATTGTTAAACAATGCCTTTAATAAAGGCCCGAGACTTCCCACTTCCGGCTTTGTGATGTTGAGTATTTCTTATGATACATCATGGATTTGAGCCTACCCGTTACCTCCGATGGTTGGCACAGCATATCACGAATGCCAAGAATTGCAGACAAATTTGAGTAAAAAGGATTGCACTTACTTTCACCATCTGGTATGGCTGGCCTGACACCTTCTGCAGGTGTCATGCAAGTAAAGTTTGTTCCATTGATAGTCGTGTCGGTAACAACGTCATCAAACCGACAGGTGTATTCAGATCCAGATTGAATGGATGGTAGCTGAGATACACTGAATGAAACCTGGAAAATACAAATACAAGGCACATCAACTTGGTTTCGAACCCAGGATCTCCAAGTTACGAGAAAATTCAGCGTGTTTCTATTCGTTATACTGAAATTATCCGGTTAATTTGTTTTCCAGAAAAATAGCGTTTAATACCAGAGAATAGGCAGTTTCTATCTACACATATTATCCGGATAAATACACTGCTCCGATTTAGCAGGTTAAAAGGCTGTAAATAAAAGGTCATTGAACTTTGGCTAAGTCAACCGCAAAGTATTGTGGGACGGCTAGGTCAACCTGGGATTCTAGTGTGAGGGTAACATATTCTGATCACGTGATCACTCCGATTTCCGATTTCTCTCCGTTATGTGCACTTGATAGGAACGGCATAAGTTTCTACTTGCGTTATCCGGTTAGCTTCCCCTGAACCATCACAGCTCTCAAGGCAATTATCCGGATAATACAGAGAAGGTCAGTTTCTATCAGGCAAAATTTATCCCTTATCGGCCATTAACCGGATAATGGCCTCTAATAGAAACACACCAATTGATCTACTAAAGAGCAACTAAGTTTTTATGATTCTAAGAATATCTTTCATCAACCACTATTTCTTAGATTACATTTTAGCTCATATTTCATGAATCTTTTCATAGCTAACATGTTTACAGGTGTATAAATTTTCAATTGCAATTTTATGAGACAATTTTTCAAGCACACTTCCCCTTTTGCATTGTTCATCTTCCTATGAACAATGTTCCTTAATAAATATCTTTACAATTTACACACGTATGAAAATGTCTTAAATATGAAGAAAAAAGGCAAACTTTCCCTCTCAAAGTAAATTAAATGTTAATTATGCCCATGAACTCATATAGGTGAACATTAAAAGTATCATATTCTAGGATGATTAGCTAGCCCTGTGCAGCTAAGGAATGCACAAACATTACTGTGGAACGTCCTTAAACAAAGTTCTATAGAATTGAGCCTATAGCTAAACTATGCTGGCTTCATTTGCATGCAGTGGAGGAGACGACATAGTCTTAACTCTCAGACTCTCTGGTACGTGTTTCAATTGACAAGGATTTGTGCCTTCAAATGATTGAATGCAGGTGGGGGGGGGGGGGGGGGGAGACACTTACCGATCGAGAAGCGCTGACTATATCCTGGGAAGGGGGATCCAAGTTGTTAATGGCAATGCAGTCTTGGTTATACTGAAGCCAGTTTAAAGGGTCAGTATCAGAATCTGAACATTCGTTGGATCTACTACACCTGTATTGCAAAAAATAAAATGGGATACCTAATGAATTTGGGCAAATAAGTCCAAACTAGTTTTTCCCATATATCGTCCCTATTTTCACGAAGTGACGGTAGTGAATGAAAATCGCATACAATTTGCGTGCAGATTTTCCTCACTACCGTCACTTCGTAAAAATAGGAACAATATGTTAACCCACCGCATCTGAGATTTAAGTATATCAGGGGGACGTTTCACAAAACTTGTCATCAGTGACAAATGACAGTTTTTGTTATATAAGCTACTGAAATCCTTGCTTCTGATTGTTTTTTTTCAAGAATCAAGATTCAAGATTCAAATAAGGTTTTATTCATGACTTGTCAAAAAGTCCACAGACTAAAAATGCAAGTTTACATCAAACATACAATGATCATATAGAAAGCATTCAAAAACATATGTACATATATATAAAGATAACATAGCAAATGAGAACAAATATATAACAATGAATTAATGTTTAAATCAAAACATTAAAGTAGTAACAATAACAAAACAACAAAAAAAAAACAAAAAAAAAGGGATATGAAATATTGCTAGCCAAAAATGAACAAGTAAAATGTTTACAGATACGTGAGTTCAATTAACTGTAACATTGGAAAATTGTGATAAAATTTAGATAAAATGCAATACAAATTCCATTCAGAAGGTATTAAAAAGTATTAAAAAGTATTAAAATTGGAGTCTTGTCAGTGTGATAATCACAAGTGTGATATGAGTACAGTACAATGTATAAAAAAATTGCACATGAACAATGGAATTCCTTGGGTATTATTGGTCACAGTAAGAATAGCAGATAATTAAAGAATGTTGTACTGTAAAACATCATCAGAAGAGAATGAGGTGGAGAGGAGGAGGGAGAGACAGAAAGTGAGAGAGAGAAACAGAGAGGAGGAAGAAGAGAGGAAGGGGCAGAGAGAACAAAGAGAGAGAGAGAGAGAGAGAGAGAGAGAGAGGAATGGGAGTGAAATAAGAATAGAGAGGAAAGACCAGAACTGAAGAAGAGAAAAGGAAATTTGAAAAGTACCAAGTTCGAATAGAGAAAAGGGATGAGGGAGTGAGAGGAAGGATAAAAGTACATTCAATATCAAAATACGAATGAATGGAAGAACCCGCTATGCCAATCATCATGACAGTTAATATTGCACATAATTATATTGCTGAAATACATGACATATATTGGTGTTATTGGTCACAGTAAGAATAACATATAATTATAGAATGTTGTACTGTACAACATCATCATAAGAGAAAGAGGCAGAGAGAGCAAAGAGGGAGAGAGAGAGAGAGAGAGACAGAGCTGAGAGAGAGGGGATGGGAGTGAAATAGAAATAGAGAGGAAAGACCAGAAGTGAAGAAGAGAGAAGGAAATTTTAAAAGTAGCAAGTTCGAATAGAGAAAAGGGATGAGAGAGTGAGAGGAAGGATAAAAGTACATGCAACAATAACATCAAAATATGAATGAATGGAAGAACCTGCTGTGCCAATCATTATGACAGTTAATATTGCACATCATTATATTATTGCTGAAATACATGACATACAACATACTGATAATTACCTAAGCCTCTATTTATTATTATTCAAGGATCGAGTGAAAGATGGGATGGGGAAATTTCGGTACCTCGTAGTTCTCATCTTAGGCAAGGACAAATCAAGTGCATTTCGCAGAATGCGGCTACAGTCATTGACTCTGCTCTCAGGCAGGAGATGTCGATGAACCTCAGATTGGAGAAGTGATTCTGCAAATCTTAGAGAAAGGGATGTGCGTCTCTCTTTAAGAGAGGAGACACCAAGATGAGATTGCAGTTCATCATAAGTTCTAGAATCAGGGTAGGTAATGATCCTGAGAGCTCTCCTCTGAACTCGCTCGATGCTTACAGAGTGGTTGTTTGTGATCCCTGATGTCCAAACAGGTGCTGCAAATTCTAGCACTGGCCTGATGTACAACATGTAGATAGTGGCAAGATCCTTGGTGGTAACACCATTCCTCCGAAGCTTAGTCAGGAGATAAAGTCTTCTGGAAGCGTTAGAGATCAAACGGTTGACCTGGCCATCCCATTTGTGTCATTTGTCATTTAAAAAAAAAGGTGCTTTGTGAAACGCCCCCCTGATTTGTGTATCAAGTTTTCAGCCCTACATGGAGCTTTGATCACTCAAATTACCAAGAGAAACGAAAATACTATGTCAATTCATGTTCATGATTCTATAAATAAATAAATAAAGACTTGGTATCGTATTGAACATACATGTACCTTGGTCTTGCCAAAAAATCTGTGTCAAAACAAATAAAATTGAATATACATAAACATAGATTGTTACATCGTAATACATACCGGTACATGTAGGCCTACATGAGTATTTCCAATGTTTTGTTTTCCAAAACAGATTGTCAATGAAAGCATGATAAGTATGATATTTTGCAACATTCTAAAATTCAGTCCAACTAGCTGTAACAACCGCCTGTACATAAAGATCACATCTTTCAGTTTTTCTTTTATAGTGATTTACACTGACTCACATATATCAAAGAACACTGTACATAAAGACCACCTACATTTAGATCACACCCTTTTCTCTTCTCTGTTGGATGGTCTTTATATACAGGTTTCACTGTAATAATCATGAGATTTGAAGGCGCTTACTTTGTTTCCAATGTACACCAGCCACAGAAAGGATCCCCTTCCTCATTGGTTGGTCCGAGGCATTCATCACAGCTTGAATACTGGCTACAATTGATGACAGCCAGTTGCATAAGCTTTAATCAAGAAAGGATATCAAAAATAAGTCTTTAAAAAATCATAAAAGTCAAAACTTGGTGTACAGGTACCCATGATTGCCTGTATGTAAACATCATTAGAGAGCTATTAGGGTATGTGTGTTCATAAGAGCCATACGTTTGCAAGCAAATCAACATGAAGAAAATCACCTATAAAAATATGATAGATTCATATGGCTAAAGATTCAAAGTATAAAAGGAAACAAAAGTTTCAGATAAACGAGGCTCTTTGGAAGTTAACTCAAAGTTGTATTTGTACTAGGGTGTACATGAGCATACATGTAGTCTGCTACCATTCTCTTTGACAATCATAATTTTGGTGTTTTAACATGGACCCCCGAATATACATGAACATAGCAAAAAAAAAGGAATTCTATGGTTTAGTCTAGTTGAAAACCTAGCTACAATTTGTTGCATGTCCCCATTTAATTTTGAAGTAATTGTATTTCCATCAGATGCACCTGCTAAGCTTGAAAATGTCATCTTCATAGCAGCTGTTCTTCATTAAACACTTTCTTCCGTGGGCACATTTCATGTTAACATGAAAACATTATCCAAAAGAATCTTCCAACAGCTATGGCCCACAATCTGTCCAGTTGTGAACTACACTGTACTCGTAATTGCCAAAATTACTCCACAATGACTCAAAACCTATCAATTCTCAGCTATTTGTTACTGTATATATTGTTGTTTGGTGTACTGTCGGTCTGGCATCATTCTCATTGGTATGATTCAGGTATTACACGATAAGACACGTTGTATTTCATAATACTCATTTTCATTTAACTTTGGCTTTTTGACTTTGGGGGTACTGGGGATAGCAAGAATTTGTCATTATGCTACATGTGAGGCGATGGTAAAATTGTGAGCTTCCGCGGGTGAAGTTATACATTAGGCCCTCACGAAATTGACTATTTAACCCTTAGAATGTGGCACATTCCACGACATTAAACTTCATAGAAATAAAATTTCAGGATATGATCTTGATAGGATTTTGACTTTTGAGATTCCATTTGAGATTGAAGTTCGGCGGTTTCGGCCTATTAAACATTTTGGCACTCTAATGGAAATAAGCTTCTAAAAGTGTCATGCAGGTACATGGAATCTGCTTGAGAAACAAATGCTAAAGGACTGTATTCTTCTTACAGGCCTACCAATAATGATAGCACAAATGCCCACAAATCTCAACAGTTTACATCACATCACAAGTGATGTCGTAGAATGTAGATAATGATATTTTGAAACATCTACATGTGTGTAAAAAAGAAGATGTTGACTTGAATATAATATCAGATCAAAGGATGCTTTGCTTCAAGGGGTGGGATCATAATGTAATACTCAGCAACAACAAGAACAACAGCAACAACAAGAACAACAGCAACAGCAAGAATTAGACAAACCAATGATGCAAAGAAATTGAATGAAGAAATGCATGTAGGTTATCAAATTTGGCCATGGGACACATGCATGCTTAAAAGATTTAAAAGAATTAAAGAGAAGGTTGAGTTCTGGGAAGAGGTGAAAAATAATTTGTGAGCATTACTCATTCTTATTATGCAAGTGTGGAAGAACATCAGTTAAGACATGTTCCCTGAAAAGCATGGCTCTTCAAATGCCTTCATATTCTAAATATGCATGTAACATCGTAAAAATCGGGGGGGGGGGGGGGGGGCCGGCTTTTTACGCGTGTTCGTGTAGTCCCATATACATCTTTCTGTGCAAGTGTTTGTAACTTTACCAAGACTTGGCCAAATTTCTTATCATTTTGATGATTCCAGAACCTTGCAATACACACAAATTCTTATATGCTAGATGATCAACCTTTTCTGGTCGGTTCCACACCGTTTCTTGCACAATGCAATCGCATGACCAGAACTCAACTTCATCTTTAAGCATTTAATTTGTATTTTAATGTTCCCTCTCCAGGGCCATCCCTACTGTACTCACTAATATTGAGAGAGTTTCCGAACAGAACAAGGGAGATGATATTAATCTGAAATGGAATGTTATTTTATCATATTCGTAGTATTTCTTACCTCCTTGGTGGTCAGAATATACAGCTCCTCGCTATCCTCGTTGATATGTACATCATGTAAGACATTGCCATCAACATCAAAATTGATCGTCTCGTAAAGTCTCCCAGTATTGTCAGGCTGTACATGAATCTGAAAGTTTAACCATGAGATATGACACAATTGAAACATTTTTTTCTGTCTTTGGTTACATAGGAAAATATTCTCCATGAGTTCATCTAGAATTTTTTTAATGACATTTCATAAAAACAAACAAACAAACAAAAAACATGATAACCCTTAGAATCAACAAAACAAGGTGTTGACAAAAACAATATATAAACACATGAAATTATGTATAAATACATGCTTAAATAAATAAATATGGGCATAAATACGTAAAGAAAGAGAGAAAGAGAGAGAAAGAAAGAATTGATAGACATTTATGATTTTGTGATACAGAATACACAATACATCTATTAGTGTTCAATCTTTCTATTTTGTAAATATTATTACATAGTTATCTTTCTAGGTCTATGTATATGTATTAACTGGTTGTCATCACTCGCTCAAAAAAATTTCAATTAAAAGGCCTAAAACTATGATGTATACATATACTTTGTAGAACAAGTTTTGATGCGCTTTGTATCTGCTCTGGATAGGATTGGAGTGGAACTGCAGTATTTGGTAACACATAGATTGGTTCTTGAAAGGAAAGGATCGCAATAACAAGGAAATAGACTATGATCCTGTTCATCTTTTAGATGTAATCATCAAGAGCTGTTTACTTGCAATCCACTGTGTTTATGTATGACACGACTTACAAAAACAAAGGAGAATATAGGGTGTATAGGATCTCATCTTGCAATTATTTGTTACAAGAGAAAGAAACTTAAAATTTAGGAGAGTAATTTTGGGTTCAAGTATCCCCCAGTTTCATACTCAGAAAAGAAATTTCAGTTGTTTTGTTATCACAACATCACTTTTCACTGTTATACTGTGTCATAGTACTTCCCATGTGAGTACTTTGGTGGACATCCCATAAAGTAACAAGTATTGAGGTGTTACAAACATGAATTATTCAATTAACATGAAATTAATGATCTTACATCATTATTTGGCCTCAGCCAAATTACTCTCTTATGTGAACTTAAAACAATTATTAGATGGGCAAAAATCTCATAATACATACATGTATATATATATATATATATATATATATATATATATATATGTACACAATATTACGAATATTAAAAGTATAATAAATATAAAATATATACAATATATATATATGGTATGTACATTGGACTTGCCCATGAGCATCGAGTACATAACCTTTATGTACACGATATGCTCTGTTAATGATCTACACATCACTGTTAGCCCACACAGTTATTTGAATATCACCTATCGTAAAAGAATCATGACTGACACTGTATAATGATCACATAAGTTTGTATTTAACTGCATGTTTTTTTCTTCTTCTTAATTTTATCTTTAAATCTTTTACCAAATGCACATGAAACTTGAATACTAAACTTAACAAAATAAGAAGATGAATTAAGAAATATTACCTTGCTGAGAGTAGCAGCTGATGTTGTTGAGGTGGTAACCAAGGCAACAGTTTCATTTTCTTTACTAAGGGTGACGATAGAGGAATGTTGTCCAGGAAGATCTGCTGCAAGAGGGTTTCCCATGAGGGGAGTTGTAGCCTGTGCATATTTGTAACTGTTAAAGCCATCACTGCTGACACACTGAAGAGTTTCCTCAATAGTTTCTCTAGTGATGGACTGGCGATAACAAAATTACATATATATGTACATATAATTAAAAACAAAATAATTAACTGAAACAAGACAAATGCGACTATGTCCCCAAAATGCCTCAGCTAAAATTCAAAGCTTGAATCATTCTTGAAATATCACGGTGATAACAAATATAGCCTAATCTACATCTACAGTAATTACAAGTAAACTTATCATTACGACCTGTGACCTGTGACAAGACAATCTTAAAATCTGATCACTTGTCTCCCTCATTATATATTTGGTGATGCATACCAGTCACAATTTATTAAATTTTACAGCTAAATTAGCTTGAAATAGTTATTGATGTGATAACAAGTTATAAATAAAATTTAGTTGGATGTACCCGGTACTGTATATTGACTCACTGACTTTTGACCTTCTTGACCCCAAATCTACCCAGTATGTCTCGCCATGGTGATGCATACTATAAACTTTGAAGTTCAGGCTAAAACCCTGAAATTTCATGTACATTGTCCTCTATAATTCTGGACATTTGACCTATACTTTTATCCAAAAATCTAATCAGTCTATCTCACTCAAGTCACTACGGTGATGCATGCCAACACATACTTGGGCTTAAAGCCCATCTGTACTAGTTTGGCTAGGAGGGATTGAAACACAAGTCAGAAAAAATCTTGGAACCAGTGTGATTTGAACCTGCCATCTTCCGCTGCCGGGCAGCGACTCCAGGCCATCCCTTGTCCATGGCACAGTCACAATGAACTGAAAACAAATACCTCAACTCTCCAGAGTTATTCTGCCTCTTTGAATATTCATCAAACCTCCGTTATAGGACAATAGCTTTGAATGTTGGGCTATAGATGTAATTTCAATTTGTAAAGAATTTGTTTTGGCTTGCACCCTGTTTCGGTTTTATCATCATTGAATGACAAAGAAATTTTTTAATATTCTTTGCTTGGATGTTAAAAAAAAACAATAAACTGAAACTTACCATGTCTCAAAATACACAACTAAAGGAATACAGTTATGGTAAACTTCATGCAATAAGCATGGATGAATTTTTAAATTATTTTGTACTTCTTAACCCCCCCCCCCCCCCCCCCTGCTTTCGAGAAATTGAAAAATCAAAATTTACCAGTGCTCCCAGTAAATTTCAAATAGGTACTGTAGCTGCATGCGACCATGAAAATCTCAGAAATGCAGTTCTGATAAATAATTTCCAAGGGGAATGGCAAATCGGTCGAATGTAGTCAAGAAACATTGTTTTAAAGCTAAAGTAATATCAGTCTTGAGAGGGAGCTATACAATATAGAGAGTTTATTATTTACAATTTCATCACTTTAGACTGGATTTCAACCGCAACAACGATCATTGAATATTGTCATATCGAATATGTTTCTAATGTTCATTTAAACCAAATTCATGACCCCATACCAAAACTTTGTATTACCTCTAAGCTAAATAGATATCACAACTCAAAATTGTAATCATGAGAAATAACTCTGTTTCTGAGAGTAGAGAAATGAAATTGTATGTACTGACCCTTGCAAGAGGTGTGCAAATTGAATTGCCGTCTTCGCCGCTCATGTATGATATTCCTGTTCCACTACAGCTATCTGAATTAATAACACAGCCACAAGTAGCATCAACAAACTTATCCTGAATGTCATTCATTGTGTATGAACACAAGGCCGAATATGTTTCATCTGTGAAGACACCATACAGTACATCATTCGAATCAATATAGACTGCTTGAAGAGTGCTATACGACCCGGACTGGCATGACAATGTGATTTCAGAGTATGCATCAAGGTCACTTTGAGTATTGTCTGTACAGATTCTACCTAGTCTTGAATTTTCTGAACCACTATGTGCAATAAAATAGTTATAAGTCTTCCAGGAAACTCCTTGAGTATAATTAACTGCAGCAATTACACCAACTATTTCTCCTGTATATTCAAATATGTATTCTGGATCAAGTGGGTGCATCAGTTCTCTCTGAGTGATTGGTTGTGCCCCACTATCGACTTGGGGTAGGGATTGGGCAACATACATGATTACCGTACGGTCATCATCGTCTCCAAACTTTCGAACTGCGACAACTCCTGCAGACATACCTTCGACATGTACTACTTCTCTGTGGATCGTGTAACCAAATTCTCTTGAAATATTCATCAAATTCCTAAGTTCGCATTTGCCTAGTGGTCCACCGCACTGAACGAGTTTACTAACAGGTGATGGCGCTACCTCCAAGATCTTGGTATCATACTGGCATAGGTCCTCACATGGGTCCTTACTTGGAACTGTGCTCTCCTGCTGCAGTAGGGTCAAATTCAAGGCAAGCTGATAAAGTGTTGAGACTCCTCCAATGTAGACAAAGTCTGTTCCACTTTCATTGCTGACCACCATCTGGTTGAGCTCCGTGCCTGACACATCTTCAAAATCGGCTTTGAGGTAGGATGACAGCTGGCCATCCCTGCTTCCATCGATGCATTCCACCCACATCACCACAGCGATCAAGACGAGGAAGTAGTGCGGCCTCCATTTTACTTTCTGCATGGAAGCCATGTTGATAAGGCAATGTCTGGTAGAACGTATAGACAAGAGAAGTCCCTACTCACTAACCTTCCATACAATGAATATAGCACCAACCTGAAACAAAACAAGAAAAAACAAGAGAAAAAGGCATTATCACATTGATAGGCCCATTTACACAGTGCAAACACCATTTTGAAAGTTATAAGTTATTTGACTGCCATTTACACTACTGTACTAGAAAAACCCATTAAAAACCCGTTGGTATTTGCTCATTCCAATGTTGTTGGTGAACTACACTGTCTATGTCTGTATAGTGTGTATGAGCGATTTGCATGCTCGTACTGAAGGGGGAGAGTCACGTGGCCAAAAACCAGAATCATTAACTACAATTACTAATAATAGCCACCAGAGCAACAACAATTCATATTTAGAACAATTCTATTACAAAAACTGAAGGCTGAAGCATATAAACTGTACTAAGCTGCTAAGTATTAAAGCTGCTCCCTCCAGATATCTTGGTTTCTGCAACAGCAGAAACCTTCCGTGGCCGTGGAACCCTATTCTAGAAATGCCATTGATGGCTGAAAATTATTTGTACTTGCACTGTGTACATAATACACCAATTGACTGCACTGCACAAGAGCACCTTGCCAGACATTTCAACCTTGACGTTATATCCTGACTGACGGATCCTCTCAAGTACCGACGTAGAAGTAGTTAGACTTTAGCATGGTTGCATCTTTTGCATCATGTTAGTCTTGGTTTAAACATACATTTCCATGAAAGTTGCTCTTGGATACAGATCACTACAACTTAATAAGGAAGATCATGATTCACCTGTTCGTGTTAATTCCTCTTAAAGATAAAGGCCAGTTATGGTCCTGCGATTACATTGTGAAAGAAACGTTGTGGAATCGATCAGAAAAGGTTGATCTTCTAGCATAAAAGTATTGGTGTGTACTGCAAGGTTCTGGAATCATCAAAATGATAAGAAATTTGGCCCAGTCTTCGTAAAGATACAAGCACTGTACACAGAAAGATGTATATGGGACTTCACACACGTGCGCGACCCGTGCGTTTATCTCTCACACACCAATAGATAAACTAATTGACCAAATATATCAATTACATGTAGTAGGCGGTTTTCCGGCAAAATTGTTATCATCATGTATTAGTCAAAACATACTCTTTCACATATTTGGTAATAAGAGGTTCCATTTCATTTTTTGAAATTGGGGCGTTTCCAATACTGGTCTTTACCTTTTCTCGACTTAAATACATCACACCTACCACCACATAACGTCCCCCTCATTTTGTGTGAATACGAATACACAGTCGCAAGTGTTGGAAGAAGTTCATCAAACAACTTACCGTAACCTTGTGGCTCGTAAACACTACACACAGTTTAACTTTGCTTGTACTGCAAGAACATTATAATTGACTCCGATAGTACTTCCTAAAAAGTAGACTAGAATCAGTGTTCCTTGCTCAAAACCCTCGGTGAAAGTTAAACAGTTTTTTCAGGTAGCAATGGATGTTACAGGTTTTGTGAGGCGAATGACAATACTTCCTAGTTGCTTGCAGTCTGACTTACTCTAGAAAGATTGCAACGAAGGTACATACGCAAATTGGGTGCAGAATTATGAGAATGATCCTACTTCCGCATTTAGACAACACCAACATTTTGGAGGGGTGTGGAGGGACTATTATTAGAAACTAAATCTTACATTGGATTCCAAAACATGATGAATCTTACAAACGAGCTTTATTTTATTCAATATTGTCACTTTTTACTAATTTAACTATATCTACAGCGAAAAGGTATTCACAAAAGCAGCAATATATATTCCAAATCGTGGAGCTTTTTTATTTTGCAATCGATTTCGGGTGTACGTACGTGCGTAAAATTAGGGAAAACCCCTGTCCAATTTCGTTGACAACGCGCGGAGTACGCGTGTGTGCAAATCGGCGGGGACAACGTTTCGCCTCATGTTTCCCTAACAGTTTTCCACGACTGATCGCTTTGTCTACAAGTGTAAATAATCAATAAGGAATTTCTTAATCGCAAAAATAAAATGCCTAGACTATGAACAGTCAGAAAATCGGTCAAAACGTCTTACCATCAAAACATGACATCAAACATCAAAACATCACCGTAGTTTTACTATTACATTCTCGTCGTAATTATTTTTACCATCAAATTTTCTTTCCAAAAAGGAAATAGGGACCGCTATTTCAGAATGTCATTTTGCTCTGATTCACAGTTTCATTTCTAATGTCTTCCATCAAAGATGTCCCGTATAAGGATGACTCAATATCGCCCCGGTAACAATTGCTCTGGGCTTCAGTATTAGGGTTGGGGTTATGATTTGTTTTTAAGTTTGATTTCTGAATAGGGTTAGGGCAGGGGTGGTGGAGAGTCTTACAAAGTGGAAAGGGGCACCAACAAAAGGAAATACCAACGCGAAAATATCGGAAAATATACCATTATTAGACATTGGTATGCACCCCCTAATCTGTGATTACATTATCAGGGACAGGCGCGCCGGAAGCAGTTTGGGATTGGGGGGGGGGGGGGGCAAACATTCCAGGGGGCTCACCTTCCAGGGGCAGTGACGTAAGGAGCAAAAACGTTTGGAAGGGGGGGGGGGCAGAAGAAAAATCTGCATCACTACCACTCTTACTCGTTACATGCAGGCACCGCGGAACGTTTGTCAAATTGGAGTATTTTTCAAATTGGAGGCTGAGCCCACGGAAGCTCAGGGTTTTTAGGCATTAAATTACGGTCAGATAAGCATATTTAGATACCGTATTTGTGACACTGGTAGGTCACTAATTGGCGGAGAGTCCAGGGAGCAGAGCCCCGGAAGCTCAGGGGTTTTAGTTATTTAATTACGGTTAGATGAGCACCCAGGGGCTCTCTTTAAGGCCACTGATGTGGTCCAGGGGGCAGAGCCCCCGAAAGCTCAGAAGTTTTAATATTTAACTACGGTCAGATGAACATCCAGATGACCGCCTTAGGGCCTTTGGTGGGGACCAGGGGGCAGAGCCCCCGGAAGCTCAGGGGTTTTAGGTATTCAATTACGGTCAGAGGAGCATCCAGGGGCCGCCTTAGGGCCCTTGGGGAGGTCCAGGAGCAGAGCCCCCGGAAGCTCAGGGGTTTTAGGTATTTAATTACGGTCAGACGAGCATCCAGGGGCCCGCCTTAGGGCCCTTGGTGGGGTCCAGGGGGTAGAGCCCCCGGAAGCTCGTGGGTTTTAGGTATCTAATAACGGTCAGATGAGCATCCAGGGGACCTTGGTGGGGTCCGGGGGCGGACCTCCCTTAAGCTCTTGGGTATTAGGCATTTAATTACGGTCAGATGACCATATTTTGATACCTCATTTGTGACATTGGCAGGTCACTTATTTTTTTCTCTTTTTCTTTCTTTCTTTTTCTCTGTAACATACTTTTTCAAAAAGTGAAGGGGCTCGAGCCCCCGAGCCCAGCCGTTTTGCAGACCATGACATAGAGGATTGGCTAAATAAGCATATGTTTCGCCCGACTTTAAATTTGGGAATTTCTAAATTTTCCAACAAACGCATAAAAAGGTATGAATTACAAAACAAATGAGAAAAAATACCGGAAAATCATGTCATTTCAGCAACATTTGGAAATCACTGGTATCGAATAAAAAATAACCCACCCCCCCCTAACCCATCAGTACGCCAGCGTTCAGGGGCTCATGTCTTCTCACCCCTATAACAAAAAACAGACACGCTTTTCCATTCTCTCACAATAATGTCCACGATATGCGCGTATCGCTATTATAAAAACCTCCATTGATAAACATAGGTGGCATGCGCAATGTTTAGGACATTTAATTCCTGCATGTTAACTTTACTTTTGTTTTAATGGAATTTTATATGTGATTTAATTCAGGATTTTTTTATTGTTATGTTCTTTTGGGTTAAAAATACAAACTATCTTTACTCCTTTACTGCTTTTTCTTTTTTTCTTTTTTTTTTTTTTTTTTTGGGGGGGGGGGGGGAATGCGTTTTGCCCCCCCCCCCACTTTTTTGGTTGGGGGGGGGGGGGGGCAACTGGCCCCTGCCCCCCCCCCCCACTTCCGGCGCCTATGATCAGGGAATTATGTTTCTCTCTTATACATAGTTGAAGATACTGCTTTAGCATCATAATCATGCTTATACTCATCAAATTTTTCCATTCATGCACTTTCCCCTCAGTTACTGACATGTTTGGTCCCTTTTTCCATCCTCGCCGTTTCGCCCAGCAAGTTGTTGAAGTAGTCGTAGCATTGCTATCCTTTCTTCAACAGTGTTCTCTTTGATAATACTCCTTCTTCGTTGTTTTCCTCCTTGTTAGCTAAATTCATGAGTTTCCAACTTAACTTATCTTTCTTGGGTATACTTAGACTGCTTGTGTTTTGCTTTATCTAGTATCCTCATCGGGATCATGTGATAAGCAGGGGCGGCGCCAGGTTATTTTGTTATGGGGTGAATAAGCGCGCCACGCTTAAATGGCTCGCTTTGGTGCATACTTTTTGCCAACTTCAACTAACAAGGAACAAGAACGCAGGTGGTGTCTAAGGGGGATGTACCCCCTCAGAAGTTGAAGAATTGTTTGAAATTGATGGATAAATGGCTTGATTTGGTGCATATTTTTTTGCGAAATTAAAGAGAAAACAGTCTTTAGTTCAACTAACAAGAACAAGAACGCAGGGGGGGGGGGGTGTAACCATATTTTTCAGAAGGGTTGTTATAGATGAATTTGTCGTTTCAATTGAACAATCAGCGATAAGGTTTAGGAGATACAAAGGATTAATTTGATTTTTTTTTCAGTTGGTGAAAGGTTTTTCATCGTAAACCAATGTTTGAGCTTCCGTTAATGTGAATGTAATAATGACGCGTCTATTAATATAATCTGATTTGGTTTGTTTTTCTCTCTTTTTCTTTATTTTCTCTATCTTTATTTTGACCCCCTCTCCACCCGCCCTGCCTTTCGTCATAATTTACATTTTATAGTTCTCTTTTTCCTAGCCTTCCTCCTTCTCGTCCCCTTTCTTTTCTTTTCTTCTCCTTCTTTTCCTTTCCTTTTCCTTTCCTTTTCCTTCTCCTTTTCCTCTTTCTCCTTCCTTTCCTCTTCCCTTTTTTCAAAATGAAAGGGGGTGCGGCCGCACCCCCTACCCCCCTGTGGCGCCGCTTCTGATTTTTAGCTATAGGTTGACTTCCTCTCTGGCTTATTTGACTCTTGGGTCCTCCGAGTATGGAGTTTTATTGGGTCTCATTATAAAGTTCCGTTGCCACTTCATTGTTTATTTTAAGAAGCTGGCAATATTTCAGTAAGAAATTTCCCTCACTTTCGTCTTCTAGTATGCTGAATCTGTTGTTGATTCCTTTGCTATATCTTTCTTGCAACTCGATCCTTCTTTCAAGACAGACAATGCAAAACTCGACCACTTGCAGTTGCTGCTTTTCTTAAAGGTAATAGAAAGTTTTTGAAAAATTTTGAAATTTGGCCGGATAGTGATTCTTTACAATTTTGAAATATTTGGATGCCTTTAGCACCCAAAACAATTCTGCTTTCGCCAAAAACTTAAATATCAAAATTTACAGGTGCTCCCGGTAAATTTCGATAATAAATTATTTTCAAATAGCGCCTACGGCCATACAATGGTAGCTGCGACAATGAAAATCTCAGAATATGTAGTTGTGATATATAATTTCAAATGGGAATAGCGAATTGGTCGATTTTAGTATTAGCTAAATTAATATCTTGACCTTGAGAGGGAGCTATACAACGAAAATTGTTTATTATTTACAATTTCATCATTTAGAGTCGATTTCAACCGCGACACCGATCACTGAATATTGTAGGATCGCACTATGTTTCCAACATGTTCATTATTTTGTACCAAATCTATGACCCCGTACAAAAACTTTGTAAAACCTTTAAGCTGAGCTTAATTTTTGCTGCATGACACAGTAATGTTCAATAATCCTATCCAATGCTTGTGAAGTTCCGTATGATTCTACATTAATGAGGAGTGTTCATACATATCTTCCTCATGAGGATGTAGTCCATAATTATAACAGTAGATATTCCCTACCACAAGTATGTTTTCCACATTTCAAGTAGACCCCATGTTCATGGTTGCATCATGGAAAGTGAAGTTACCGTGCTCATGCAGGCCTGATCCTGGCATCAACATCGCCAAAAAACTAGACGAACTATGAGCTGTGTCAGTACATCAGATCGAGATGCCTGTTAAAGAAATAATTTTTTACCTCCTCTTCACTGGCGTTGGTTTGGCTGACGCAACTACATATTATATCAGGAAAGTTTTGTCCTGTAAATTCAGCTATGCATGATGCGATCTATAATTAACTTGTTCTCGGTGAGTACTGCGCCGTGGCTGATTTTCTGCTTATTATTTTATAAGACATGCCTACTACTATATTTGCAGCTCCCGATGTACTCCTGTATTTACAGCTCCAGTTTTGTTTCTGTAGCCTGTTGAAGTAACGAACTTGTAGCGACTGGTGCTCTCTGATATTCATTTACCAAGTTTGCTCTTGGATGCCTAATAATTCTATTAATTCCTTAAAGGGGCATGTTCCC